GCACCTGCCGCGGCGCCGGGCGCGGCCCTGCCGGCCGCTGGCCACCTGCCCGCTGCCGTCGGCCGCCGGATGGGAGGGTAGGAGGAGGAAGGGGATCTGAGGGGTAGGAGGAGAGGGGATGATCGATCCGATCTTATCTAAATATCTTGGTGAGGAGGAAAGTCTCACCTGTGACTTAACCGACCAGAGATGGGAGAGAAATATTTACTCCCAGTTGGTCTGGAGTTAAGATGGATTTTATTACCAACCGGGAGTAAAGATTAAAACAAAGATGGATTTTTAGTTCTGGTTGGTAACTCCAACCGGGACTAAAGATATATGGATATTTAGTCTCTATTGGTAATACCAACCGGGAGTAAAGATTAAAGATCATCGGTCCCCTGATAGGCTTCTGATAGGGGATGAATCGGGACTAAGGATTAAAAAAATTTTTAACCGGGATTAAAAACAATCTTTAATCCCAGTTCTTATTAGAACCGGAACTATTGTGGAAATCAGCCGACTCAGCAAAGATCACTTTTCCAGTAGTGATGTGGTTGGACGGCCCGTCTACTCTAAAAGGTCTACGAAGACCACAATCTTCATGTGTGGGCAATCCAACAGCACACAGATTCGCAGGCAGGCCGTTTAATACGACTGCACACAAAGATTGATTATCGCATACGGTTGCGTAAAGCAACATGCCTGCAAAGAGTAATCTTCTTGTGCGGCTATGCCACTCCTAACTGTTTGGTAAGATGTCGTACACTATATAACATAATATTTTCCCGCTATTAATCGAATTTTTGAATGGTACGCGTACTAGCTAAGTTATCTTTATTCACTGGACCGATCGATCGAGCATCCATGGCGGGCATGACGCTCCTAAATTCTGCAAACTCACTCCAGCAGCGATCAAAACAAGTCGGTACGTTAAATCAATTTTGTGTACAGTCAACTCAAATTCAATCCTGAACCTGCGGCTATTTGAGCAAATTTTCACAGCTTTCGGTCATTCGACACTACTAGAAAATGATTTTTTATGGTGGTATCCTATTCTTTTCGCTGGCGGTTATATAAGAAATCCGCTTGCGAAATTTTAAAGAGGGGTGGAAGGTTTAGGTCCATTTTCGCTAGCGGTTGCTTAAGAAATCCGCTTGTAAAAATAACCCTATTTTTACTGGCAGACATCTTAATAGACCACCAGCAATAATCCGATTTTCGCTAGCGGTACTAAAGAGCACCAACACCAGTGAAAAAATTCACAGCCATTATAAAAATCACCATCCAACGGCCAGTAGTACTTATCCATCCATCCTCATCAACCAGCCTCTCCTCTCCTCTACCCCCACCAGCACTCTCTCCTCCTCCCACCCCACAGTCGGCGGTGGTGGCTCCGGCGTGGTGACAACGATGGGAGGTGGGCGCATGGCGAAGGCGGGAGGCAGGTGCACGGCGACGGCGGGAGAGGCGGGCGCGCGACGGCGGCGGGAGGTGGGCCCGCAACGACAGCAGGAGAGGCGGGCGCGCGACGATGATGATGGCGGGCGCGCGACAACAACGGCGGCGAGCGCGCCACGACGGTGGTGGAAGGCGGGCGCAAGACTGCGATGGTGGTAGGCGAGCGCACGGCTGCGATAGGAAGCGGTGCGCGACGGCCACGGGAGGCGGGCGCTTCTTCTCTTCTCCTCCTCCTCCCCCTCCCCCTCCCACGGTCTCGCTAGCGGCTGGGCTTCTCAGATCTGGTGTTGCGGGGCTTGGTGCGGCGGGAGGAGCTCGGCGGCGGTGATGCTCGATCGGCGATGGGGCTCCCACATCTGCTCGGTCGGCGACGGCGATGACGATCTCCTTCCTCTCTCCTGTTGATGTTGTTTTTCTTTTCTTTTTCATCTTCAAAATGCTTGTATGTCGTGTTCACTTGCATGTTAATGGAATCTAACGAGGATTTGAATGGATGCTCGAAATTTTGGATGTGGATTTCAATCTGTACATGCTGCCCATCTAAATGAGGATTTAAGGATTGATACCAATATTATGTATTTGTGATGCGGATTTGAAGACTGTTATAAATTTGGCCGGCTGGGGAATTTTGAATCTGGGGTAGGTGATTTTTGGCGGGGTGGGTTAATTTTCACTGGCGGTTATCTTTAGGAAACCGCCAGAGAAAATGAGTTTTCTCAAGTGGACCTCAACCGCCAGCAAAAAATCATGTGTCCGCTTGCGAAAATAGATTTTCACAAGCGAAACGAAACTGCCAGCGAAAATCTTATATCTTCACTGGCCTTTACTTTGTGGCGGCTCCAAATTCCGCCAGCGAAAACCTAAAATGCCCGCCACGAACGATGATTTTCGTAGTAGTGTCATCAAGTTAACGCGGCGGGCGTCTACGCCAACTCACCGTACACAGGCCCGCCCATCATTGACGACGGTTGAACTTATATGATGAATTTTAATGTTAGGCAACACCAGAAAAAATTATGCACTTTGGGTGTATTTTGTGTTTCTTTGGTAGTAGAATTTATCTAAATGATGTTGATTGTTGTCACCGAGGAAGGAGACCCATGATTTAGCAAATTATTTTGTGCTGAATTTATGACAGGCTCAGGAAACTCGGCAAAAGATTAGTGTGTTGGTTAGACACATAGAGTAGAATTTCCAGTTCAGCTGATGTTGGAATATACTAGTTTTATAGTTGAAAAGCCTGAAACAGGGGTTTCTAACGAAAATATTGGTTATGAGGACAATTTGTATTCATGCATATTACGGATTGATGACAAGAACGCACTTAACTCTAGCAATATATTACTGTTTATGCTAAACTAGGTAGAAACATGCATGATGTTGTGAATTCTGATGAGTGCTGACAGTAGCTGAATCCCCTTAAGCCTTTTTGACCACCCTAATGAAAGAACCGTGATGCCTCCTACGCGAGGAGAGGGGGGGGGTTAAATTAAATGGCGTTCTTATTATCACATCTCATAACATATTAAAATGGTGAGAACTTTTAATTCAAATTAAAACTTCCAACATAAAATCCATTGAACGATCCAAGCCTCCGTTAAGTGGCCACAAAAATTGAGTCTCTTTCAACCCTTTTTCTCATGAGGTTGTACCAATACACTCATCGATTTCACTCTTGATCTTTTTTCCCCTTGCGGAGGTGAAATCGAAAGTCTTGACAAACTTCCCGTGGCACACCACAACCATAGGTGCTCACCGGAGAGGCGGAGATGCCTACCCGTATAGGAGACCTTAGTTTCTGTAACATCCCGATTTTTCCGTTTCGTTTAAAACCTATTTTAAATACAAAATTATTTTCAAAATTTGGTTCTTATTCGGATTTTTGCCTATGCCATTAAAGATCTCAAACCTCTTATTCCAAGTCCACAAATAAACTCCCATAATATCAAAGTTCACAGTCCCTTTTACAGTCCATTTACAAAAATTCAAATTCAAATTCCAATTCCAATTCAAATCTCCTTCGAATTCCCAAGAAAAAAAACACAACCCCTATCCTCTTATCCCCTCTCTCCTTCCTTGGGCCAGCCCCCATTTCCCTCTCCCAGACGGCCCATTTCCTCTCCCTCAGCCCGGCCCAACTACTCCCTTCTTTTTCCCCCAGGCAGCCACTCTCATCCTTGTCTATTTCCCTTCAAATCAGGACGGCTTGACAGCGCTGCTCCTCCTCCAGCCGCCAAACCATTGAAGTCGAAGTGGCAAGCTGTCGTTGCCGGTCATAGTGACATTGCTCATCTTGCCGTTGTTCCACATGACGGGCTTTGGGCTGTTGGTGCAAACAATCTCCTCAGGGGCTAGTGGACACATTGATGAGGGAGCAGCTGATGAAGAGGAGGCCAGGTGGAGCTCGTGGAGGAGAAAGGAGGTACAGCGGAGGCTGAATCGTAGCCGTGGTGACCGAATTGGAGAAAGAGTGGCTCCTCTCTTCTTCCTCCTCCTCATTGTTTCCTCTGCCTCCGCAAGTTACGAGGAGGCGCTGTTGTGGCGCACGGGACTGGATGGTGCGCGTGCGGCACCACATCCACGCCCATCTGGAGGTCACGTTCTGGGAACACCACACCAGCACCCCTTGTCCGCAATGAGCTTGAGCGGCTCGGCCTCACAACCCGCATGGACACTGACATCGGCATCATCATCGACTTTGGCTTTAGCCTACTCCCCTTCATCACCCTCCTCATTGACATGGAGTCATGGACACTCTCCCTGCCTCCTCCCTTCCCACCCCGCTCATCGGCGTCCTCACTAACTTCGGCTTGCCAGCGGAGGGAGGAGATAGAGGTAGAGAGGGTGACATTTTTATCTTTTTGTTTAACCGATATATGGGCCTCAATATATTTTGTTTTAATTTTCTAGTTTTCAATTTTGTTTTTTTATCAAGCTATCATGTAAGCGTCACGTCAATGCGATGCAGGGGCGGGCCCAAAGGGTAGTCCAGGTAGGCCCTAGAATTTGGCCCACGAAAAAAAGCCTGGCCCATAAAAAAAACCCTAATCTCTTCTCCTCTCTCCCGTGCAATCTCCCTTCTCTTTCCGCCACTGCTCCCGAGTCCCGACCGACCGATGGCGACGACGCTCCCGCGAGCCACGACGCCAGTGCGATTCCGGCGCTCCCGCCATCCCGCGAGGCCGCTATTCGTGCCGCCGATCCTCCCGCCGCATCCGGCCGGCGGCCTCCCGGCTCCCAGCCGTGGCGGCGGCGCCGCTGCCTTCACGCGCCCAGCCGGCAGCCACCCAGGCACCACTGCCTCTCTGCTCCGGCTCTCCGCCTCTCCTGACTCCGGTGAGCAATTCCAAACCTACTAGCTGATTTTGTCATTACCTTTTGGCCGTATTCGCCATAGATGTACAGAATGACAACTATCATTTGGGCATTGAACTATATCAACAAACATGTTTGGAGAGAATCTTGGAACGATTAGTAGTACATAAAGTAGAATCAGCTATTTGCCTATTTCTGAAATAGAGGCGAAAGACCGAGCAAACCATACTACTAGCGTACTACCCGCTTTAGCAGAAGGGAGGCGTAAAGTAGTGCAGGCAAGGCGAGAAGGGCAAGAAGGAGGAGGGAGGAGGGATGGTGAAGAAGAAGGAGGCCGGCGATGCGGAGGCCGACGAGCGGCGCCGCCTCCGCTCCCTCGCCTTCTCTAATGGCTTACTCCAGCGCGGGGAGCCGGCGGCGCCGCGCTCGGCGCTCGCGCCCTCCACTGCCGTGTCGCGGCTGCAGGGCCGCGACATCGTGCGCCGCGGCGGGCAGCGCAAGAGCCGCTTCCTCTTCTCATTCCCCGGCCTCCTCGCGCCCGCGGCTGCTGCCTCGGGCGGCCGCGTCGGCGAGCTCGCTGATCTTGGCACCAAAAATCCTCTGCTCTACCTCGACTTCCCACAGGTATCCTATATCTATCTATCTATCTATCTATTCCGTCAGGTAGGTGAGATGGTATGATATGTATGTTGTGGGTGGGTAATGAATGTTTCAGGGGAGGATGAAGCTGTTGGGGACGCATGTGTACCCCAAGAACAAGTATCTGACACTGCAGATGAGCAGGTCCACCAAGGGCGTTGTCTGCGAGGACGTCTTCGAGAGCCTGGTTACTTCAAACTTCACATCTTTGCTCTGCCTGCCCTGTATCTATCTTGGAAGTGGAACTTGCATCCGCAGAATTGCTGCTATGCTCGTCCCTTTTCTCTGGGGTGTTATTGGTAACTACTTATGCTGCTGTTTTATTTGGCAGATTGTTTTTTCTGAAGCCTGGTGGATTGGAACAAAAGAAGAAAACCCACAAGAACTGAAACTGGATTTTCCAAAAGAGTTCCAGAATGTGCGTGTGCTCTCCATCCATATATGTTCTTAATTTTCGCTTCTTCTACGACGCTACTGTGCCTCTCATCTCATGTGCTTCTTCATTTCAAACTGGTAGGATGGGGCTGTTGCAGATTCTGATTTTAAAGGTGGAGCAGGTGCTTCCTGTGATGAAGCTGTTACCATCAATAAACCGCCAAAGGAAACCACCACAGGATCCCTTTCCCCAAAGATTGAATCTGACATTGATTCTTCCGAGGATTCAGACCTTAAGGACGAGGATAACACACAAAGCACTAGTCAAGCACCTTCAGTTAGGCAGTCTGCTAGAACTGCTGGGAAAGCCTTGAAGTAAGTCAGTTTCACCCTTTTCTGTTGCTCTCTCGGATAAACAGAAAAGCACACGGACTCTAGTTGTTGCTTAGCAGCTGAAAGATTGCCTACTACCTGTATTTATTTGGCTTAACGGCTAATGTTTCTAAAAACAAATATATTCATCTCCCACCCACCCAAAAAAAGGCAAAGAATAAAAAGGTATACTTGATAGATCCCTCGCTCTTTATGCAGGTATACTGAGATATCCTCTGGAGACGATTCATCTGATAATGACGATGAGATTGATGTCCCTGAGGACATGGATGAGAAGGTAGTGATACCGAATTTAATTTCCCACGCTTTTGTTGCATATAACGTAAAAGTAGCAGCATATAATGTAAAAGTTGCAGTTTTGTGAAAATTTCCCACGCTATTGTTGCAGGAAACTGAAACATGTCGCTTATGTTGCAGCAAACTGATAGTTTTGTCACTAAAGTTGCAGTTTTCTGAAATTTACTCAATTTTATAAGATTCAAATATATGAATCAATGTCTATCAAGCTTTTATCTTTTGTAAATAATTTTATTGTGTTTATTTGCTTTCTTCGTTTGAAGCAGGTGAAGAGTCCGGCAGTTAAGAATGAATCCCAAAGTGAAGACATTAAACCTGCAGATTCATCTGCGCAGCCTATCTCAGCTAAGAAGGAGCCACTCGTTCAGGCTACTCTGTCTAGCATGTTTAAAAAAGCAGAAGAAAAAAAGGTGGAAATTCATACCTGTTATTATAATAGTTTCTCTCCTTGTGATAGTGGGCAGTTATACCCTTAACTTCGATATAATGTTTGCTTGATGCATTAATTGAACCAACTTCACAACATACCTCTTTTTTCGTATGTGTGTTTTGAACATTATCTGTTTTCATGCCTGGTACAAATAAATTAGTTAAGCATCTGACAAAAGGATTTCTATTTCAGAGATGTACTAGAAGCCCGAAAGGATCTCCAGCAACAAAAGGTTCTTCATATTTACGCAATTCTAGGTTTCTTGTGTTTTCCTTTATTACACAACGAAAATTCCTTTTGATTGGACTTGTGATTGGCATTGTTCTACAGGACCTGCTGCTAAGAAGCAGCGAGCAAGTCCAGAGGAAAAACATCCAACAGGGAAGAAGAGTGGTAAGTGCAGTAGCAAGTCTGTTGTTAGAAGCATCTAATAGACCTTGGTGCGATTACATTTGTTTTAAGCCTCTGAAGGCCTTCTTCAATGGAGAAGACTTGTTCTAAAATAATCCAAAGGCTTTGGGAGGCTTACTTGAGAAGCTTTCAGCTTTTGTCTATGTAAGGGGCATTTAAAATATTAATCCATTTCATGAAGCTTTAGGACCATCTCAAGCCTGTCGAATCGGAATAAATGATGGAATTAACATCTATTGTGGTGGCTCTATACTAAATATGCTATTTGAATTTTACAAGACTTGATATTGCTGGGTAAAAGCTGTGATGCATGGGGGGAAACAAATGCATTTTAGTGGCTCTTAGTGCAATGTGCAACGATCTATCAGCTTTTCTTTAACTGAGTACATCAGTACATGTTAGTGTTCTTCATATGAAGCTGACAATTGTATTTACATGGATGTAGCTGGCAGAAGTCAGAAAAAGAGAAAAACACAGGTACTTTACTTAGCAACAATGATCAGGGATTTTAATTTGAATGTCGCCCATTGTTTACTTTGCTGATTGCCTTTGCCCTCATTTTTCTGTCACAGGTAGAAGATGACGAAATTGAAGTGCTCTCAAGTTCCTCCCAGGTGATTGTTTTTCTGATAGCTACAGTGTAGTAGATTGGTACATTATGGCCATTGTTCTTGTTGTTGTTGTTGTTGTTATGAGGTTGTGCCTTCCTCCCAGCTAATCCTAACAGCATATGACAGGATAACAATGTGGACGATGATAGCGATGAAGACTGGGCTGAGTGATGTGCAGCTGAAGTTGAAAGGAATGTAGCACTCGGTGATGAAGAGTGAAGGATGCAAGATTGTGGGCAATTGTTTTCTTTTGGGGCAATATCACAATTGATGTGTTTGAGGAGCTTAGGTTCTGACCTGACCATTGATGAGATATATCATCATAGTCTTTTCATCGTACTGGTGAAATTGAAAACCGAGAAGTGTGATCTGTTAGCACTAGATTTATTATTTATTTGACTTGTTGTAATGTAACATAAACAAGAGCTGATAAATCATTGTTAGGGTCTGCAATGCAAATTAGTACGGCAATTGCAGATATAAACTATACCATTGATGAAGAAAATGATTGTTGTGTATTTATTTATGGTATTGATAAATTAAACGGTTTTATCTGAACAACTGAGAGGGTCCTGGGGCTTAAGGCAAACAGGCCTGTTTTTGTAAGAGAAAAAGCTGACCCCGAGCTTGTATGTTCCTCTCTTTCGCCACTGCCTTTCATTCCTTTTCCGGTTTCTCATCTCCGATTGAGGGGCTGCTCAATCGCAGGATTTGCTCATCAGCTTGAAGGATTTGGCCATGGTATATATGCACGGAAAATGCCAGCCTCGCTGTGCTTGGGCGTGCTCTTGGTATTTCTTATTCTCGTTTATCCTCTTTATCTATCTCGCATTGCTAGCTGATCCATGTTGGGTCGATTGTCTGATTTAATTTCCAGGGATTGTTTTGCTGGAAACTTTGAAAGAACGACTTAAGGAAACCTCAATTGATCCAAGCGGTTTTGATAGACTGGCTGGCTCTCTTAAGTGATTCTGATGCGCATTTTCCCAGCATTGCGAGTGACTCTGAGTCTGAAGAGCATCACCCTAGCATGCGTTTTTGTGTTACAGACCCCAACCTGCGCTCGATAGCTTTGCCCCTAATCAGTCCAAGTTAGATTTAGCATCCTCCCTCCGATGATACCCATCCATTTTTCAGTTGATACTTGGTCCTTTAATTTATATAAATCTACAGACCAGTACTATTCTTGGTTTCTTGTCAATGTGATATGTATGTGAGATTACAGTTCATTTTCGTTCATAATTGCAGGTGGCTCAGCGAGGAAGGTAGAAAGAAAAGAACACCGGCGAGTCAAAGATAGCAGTGAGCAAGCATAGATAGACCATGATTATTCCTGGTAGGTTAGCACTTAATTAGCACTGGAGATTTGGTGTTAAAACTTGCAATGCGATTGGTGTTTCTGTCTGGCTGGTGGCTCGCAACTGGAGTACATGGAAATTGAAATGTTTCATGGCAGCAAATTACGACATGGTGCGATAACTAAAAATCAAGATCCCGAGAATTGCCATACATATATTTGAGTATATTCAAGGGACCCATGGAACGCAAGAATCATATGTACAAACTGGAACTGTTTCATCTTATATGAGTTCTACATACTACATAAATTCAGCTTCCCGTAGAAAGTATAGTTTTGGCTTATATTAACTTTCTCAAAGAATCAAATCTACACGATGTGTTTATTCAGCTGCCAACAATGTCCGTGGCAAAGTCAAAATCTCTGAAAACTAGTTGTAGCTGACCTTATTCAGTTAGAATTAGACCCTTTTAGGTGCCAAAAATACGCTGGAATGTCCAAGGTGCCGCAGCAAACGATACATTGAACAAATCGAGATAAAAAAAAGTCGATTATACATGGGAAAAGTACACCAAAGGTCCCTCAACTTGTCATCGAGTTACAAAATCGTCCCCCAACCGTAAAACCAGATACCGGAGGTCCCTTAACTAACCAGATCCTGGCTGGTGCTGGGGAACAGGGCATTTTTAGGTGTCAGGGGACAGAGGTGGGAGCTGTGCCCCCTGCCAGGGACAGTCCCATTGCCATCCCTAATACAGGTGTTACTGCACATAAAATAGTGCTTGCACACGTGATAACTGTGCAAATTATAGTTCATGTTAATAAAAACAAAAAAACACTGATGACAACCTCTTATGATCAGCACCTCATTCTGAACATAACCAGATCCTGGCTGGTGCTGGGGAACAGGGCATTTTTAGGTGTCAGGGGACAGAGGTGGGAGCTGTGCCCCCTGCTAGGGACAGTCCCATTGCCATCCCTAATACAGGTGTTACTGCACATAAAATAGTGCTTGCACATGTGATAACTGTGCAAATTATAGTTCATGTTAATAAAAACAAAAAAACACTGATGACAACCTCTTATGATCAGCACCTCATTCTGAACATGAAAAATCGTATCAGTAAATTAGTTATTTCTTTCATAATTTTTACGAGCATTAGGTTTGCTAAAACATATACTGTTAGTGTACTACAGATCATCATCAACTATACTGTTAGAAGTAATCGATGTTCATTGTGCTTTAAGCAACGGTGACAAACAGAGTGGAATTTAAGAAACAGGTGCACAATACATGCCTAACATGACTAACCTGTTTTCAGGAACATATATACCTTGTTATTAAACAATGCCAACATATTAATTAGTTTGTTCAAAATAACAGAAAGCTATTTAAAGCAGTGCGACTGATATCATACTTCTTCGGTTGTGTTTAGTTCCTTCTAAAGTTGGAAGTTTGGGTTGAAATTGGTACGATGTGACTAAAAAGTTGTGTGTATATGACAGGTTGATGTGATGAAAAAAATTATTAGTTTGGATCCAAAGACAACCTTCAGCACAGACACTCCTGAATCCATGTCATAGTCGAAAACCGAGGGTGGGGTCCTCATTGAGCTATAATGGAACCGAACAACAGATGAACCAAATTGTGATTGCTCAGGTTCCACGTCATATGCTGGATCAACAAAATCAATCTCCCGACCTCCCTCAAGTTGCCCAATTGGCTCTCCAGTGGCTGGTAAGCGATACGCGGTAACTTTCGGTAGACCATTTTGACGTTTCATATACAGCAATATGATTCTCAAAGAGCTGGAAACTCTGTATTTTCACACTGGAAAGAGTTTTATAAGTTTTTAATGCAGCTGTAGTACTAACATTGTCTTAGGGCAATGCAGCCCTAATACACAACAGACCCATTGGTAAGAGAGCAAAGTACAAGAAAATATGCAGAATAATTTAAGTGAACAAGCAATGGTTGTGTAAATGTTGTCCATTAGGCACTCTATCAGATGCAGCAAATTACATTTCTATATTGATAACATAGTTAAATTATTAAAAGTGCTTTCAGAGTGTACTTCTATCAGATGCAGCACAATACACTTCTATCTCGATTACATAAGTTTAAATTCTTTTAAAAACAATCAGAGTGTACTAGATAAAACACCCTGGAAACTCTATGCCCCACACCGCGTTGTGCAACGAGGCACATGTTAGACTATATATGGCATGTATCATGTGATTGGCTCTCCTTCCTTGTTCTCCCAAATTTTATTGCCATGAATCGGTTGAGAGCATATGGCCTATGATGCCTATATCTGTATTGCTCTGTGATAATACAATTCACGTTGAGTCTATCCGTCAAACATGGTATTAGCTTCTCGATTCCCTACGCCGCCCGTCGCTCGTCGCCATGACGACCGCCGACTCCTCCTCCTCCTTCTCGTCTCCGCGTTTTGCTCACTCCAGGGCGTTGTTACGCCGATGTCACAGCAAACAACGATATTTTCATCTTGCTTTATCTCTCTCTTCCAAGTCATTAAATTTGCTTACGTGGTAATTGAGAGAGCCTACTAATAGAGACCTTAATTTGTGCGTGCCCTTATCTCTATTTTTTTCTCCTTTCTCTATCTTTCACCTATGCATTTAATGTTTTTATTTTGGAGTATATGAATAGCTAACAGTTGCATGTGAGCCAGCCTTCTTCTTTTTTTTCAAATTTTCTCTCCACCGCGTAATCTTATAATAGGCTTATAGCCTACTATTAAACTTGCTCTGAGATGAAAATTCTACGAGGAATACGATGCAAAAGAAGCGTTAGAGCAAGTTTTATAATGAAGGTGAATGTTACCTCTAATTTGAGCCATATCATCTACTAATTAATTAAGAGGTAACAAGTACAACATACCATCTCTAATACAAACCCTAATAATGTTTTTTATTAGTTCACTCTCACACTATTTTTTTTAAACTTTTCTTGAAGATTGTGTGGAGATTGCCCCTTATATTTACATATATAAGGGATATCTCATCCTCTTTCTCCTAACTTTTTTCCTCCACCTCATCACATAATCATCTTAGAAGGGAGCTCGAGGGGCGATTAGCGATTAAAAATTAAAGGGTTAAGCTAGATGACTATTTCATCAGTACAGACTCTTGGTGATGTGGAGTAGGGAAATTTTTCGATCATAGTGATATTCGTAAAACTAATATAATAATATTGACTTCACCAAATGTTACCGTTTTTCTAATTTATGTGTGCGGCATTGCAGTTAACATTGAAATTCAGTTTAATTCATAAAAATTAAAATTTCCCAACCATTTTCAACCGTTTCCATAAAATAATAGAAAAACAATACAGTTTCCGAACATTTTCAACCGTTTTCATCCCTTATTATGGACTGTCTATATGTCGCATTGGGCTAATTAATTAACTGATATATACATGCTCTAAGTGGATCCAAGTACCAACTTGAAAAAATAACAAAAGAGAAAGTAGATAGAGTCAAGCTGATGATACATTGGAATCTCACGGGCTTCCCTCCATGGCCTTTATATCCTCTTTAGTGTTTTTTATCATGCAATAACCCATGATTAGTATCCCAAGGACGGTGAGTATAGCGAGAATGCATGCAAACACCTCCTCCATGGTCTTGCAGTGTGGAACTACCTTCACAACGACGATCCCAAACAGCACGAGACTAACGGTGTTGAAGAACCACTGCAATATGCAAATAATTAAGAATTAGTTAATAAGCATTAAGAAAACGCTGGTGTTATTGGTAATAATAAGATTAAAATCCTTAATCAATACTAACTCCTATATTTTTAAATAGATGACGTCGTTCACTTTTTAACACTTGTTGACCGTAGGCATTCGTCAAATGTCCTTTTTATTCTGCTGTAATTTAATCATTAAAAAAATTCTAAGTAAAAATTATACTTCAATATAATTATACTATTTTTTGTTATTTTAATAAGATGAATGGTTTAAAATCCAACAGTGTATACGTTATATGTTAAAGTATGATTAATGGCATGGTGCCATGCATTGGCCAGATCCTCTGCAGTCACTACACCATGCCTTTATCACTAACATGTGAGCCCGATGATCTCCGAGCCTATATGTTAGTGATAAAGACGCTGACATGTGGTCTGATGATCTCCGGACCCATATGTCAGTGATAAAGATGTGGTGCAGTCGACTATGGAGGATCCCGATCGATTCGTGTGTCGTACGTACCACAGCTACGCGCATGCAGGCGAGGGCATGGGTAGGCTTCCACCGATTCTCAGTATCAACTCTCCCGTGTTTTGGCTGGGCAACGGCGGCGACGACTTCCGCCGCCGTGATGGTCGTCGGCGGCGGCTCCCGTTCCACGCCGGAACGGCCTTCTTCCAGCAAGCTGCACAAGAGATGATCCCACTCCGCCGCCGCCGTCTCCATTGTGCTCGATCGGATCAATCGATCGAGGATATATATCAACCAAAATCGATCTATCGATCCACCGCGCGCGTGCTGTGTGTCATGTGTGTGTATATATATCGAGACCGTACGTACGCGTGCGCGTCGTCGTAGACACGTCCTTCGGGCCGTTTTTTTGACAAATTGACCCTTTTCAAAAACTTATTTCGAAACTAACCCCTGCCAAAAACTTCAACCAAAAATAGGTCGTCGCCTCAGCGCCAAACACATTGGCGCTGACGTTGGCCGTGTTAGCGCCAACGGGACTGGCGCTGACATTGTGCCACCGTGGCGGCCGGGGCCGATCCCCAGCTGACGTGGCAGCTATCTCAGCGCCAACCGGACTGGCGCTGAGGTGGGACTTGGCCGCAACCCCAAGGCCCAGACCAGCAAGCCTTCTGGATGGCTTGCGGGCTGGGACCTCAGCGCCAGCCAAAATGGCGCTGACTGTGGGAAACTCAGCGCCAGCCAACCTGGCGCTGAGGTGGGACTTGGCCGTTTCGGCCTTGGCCCAGCCAAGCAAGCCTTCTGGATGGCTTGCGGGCTGGGACCTCAGCGCCAGCCAAAATGGCGCTGACCTTGGGAAACTCAGCGCCAGTCAACCTGGCGCTGAGGTGGCACTTGGCCGTTTCGGCCGTGGCCCAGCCCAGCAAGCCTTCTGGATGGCTTGCTGGCTGGGACCTCAGCGCCAGCCAAAATGGCGCTGATCTTGGGAAACTCAGCGCCAGCCAACCTGGCGCTGAGGTGGGACTTGGCCGTTTCGGCCTTGGCCCAGCCCAGCAAGCCTTCTGGATGGCTTGCGGGCTAGGACCTCAGCGCCAGCTATAATGGCGCTGACTGTGGGAAACTCAGCGCCAGTCAACCTGGCGCTGAGGTGGCACTTGGCCGTTTCGGCCTTGGCCCAGCCCAGCAAGCCTTCTGGATGGCTGTGCTGGGACCTCAGCGCCAGGTGCACTGGCGCTGAGTTTGGACATGTCAGCGCCATTTTGCATGGCGCTGACGTCCCAGCCCTGCTAAACTTTAGCAAAACTTTGCACACAACACAGGCAAACATCAAATGACAGAAATTTACAGGCAGTAATATATCCAGAGAACCATACAAAACATACATCCATCCATCAATCCCAACATCATTCCATACATCCATAGAATCCATCAATACATCCATATATGAAGTCCATACATATAAGAAATAAAAACATCCCATCGATCCTCGGCTATACATCCAGTCGAGTCCATACATCCAGTCCATACATCTATCGAACCATGCATCAAGTCCATCCATCTATCCATCCATCCATTGAACCATGCACTCACCTCCTCCTACCTCTAGTGCGAGGACGAGGCACGTCGGGGGTGTACCTCCAGTCCTGCGAAGGAGCCCGCCGGCGTCGTGGTCGAGACGGGCCGGGCTGCGAGATATCCGGCTGTGACGACTCTGGTGCGTCCTCTAGCTGCGAGGGACCGAGCTCATCCGCCTCCTCTTCTCTGTCCTCATCCCCTTCTTCCTCCTCATCTCCTTCCTCCGCCTCTTTGTCTTGCTCGCCCTCCTCGTCACCCACCTCCCCTTCTTCATCCCCCTCTTGGTGGGCATGAGCATGTTCGACCACATCAGTCGACCTGCAGCCGAGCCTTGCTGCCAACTTCCGACATCGCTGTCGTAGTCTCTGCATAAAAAATAATCCATGTTAAGTTATCGCTTTTGGAAGAAAACACCGTAGTTTCATCTCTTTCCAACGATTACCTGTAGGGCGTTGCGGAGGGTGCCGCCCTCTCCTTCGGAGCCAGGAGCCGTGCCTAGCGCCACTCCCGCGTCGTTGACGGTCCGCAAGAGCTCTCGAGCCTGTAGGATTGAAATGAAGTAAGTCACAACATATATGGCATTGAAATGAAATAATATACAACATTAATGCTAGAAACTAACCACTCTGTCGCGAACAGGTCCCGTCTCGACCGTGGTACCTAGACGGGTACGAGTATCGTACTCGTTCTGCTCCTCAACATCCTCGGGGTCATCCGCTATGTCGGCTAGTGTCCAAGCCGGACGTAGGACAAGACGGTAGGTCCTGTGGAGCCACGCCAAGTACAAGTCGAACTCCGTCCCGTTGTGCTGACCCTGGTCTGGTACTCCATTCTCCTCGAACTTCTCCCATTGCGTGATATGATCCTGATGGTAGTAAGCCCAATCAGTCACCTTCTTGTTCTTCCGACGGTCCACCCTGCACGTATGCAAAATGTCCAACTCAAATATGTAGTAAATGTTGAAGTGACTGATTGGGCAAGCAAAATAAATTGTTAAGTGAAATTACTAACTTGTGTAGGTCGATACTCGTGGAGAAACGGTGCGGGATTGTTTGAAGCCTCCCGAATTGCCGCATCACGCGGTGGCACATCTGGAACTCCACTGCATAGAAGCAGATCAGTGGGCACCGTAGGGTCTTCAACGCATCCTCTATATGGCACATGGGATTCAGTTCTAGCTCGAGCACTTCCTGTGCCTGATATGGCATCCACACTACCTGCAGCAACAAAAATAAAACACATTGAAGCACATTTAGTACTATATAGTAAGAAACCATCTTCATGTGTGATAGAACCCCGAATAGCTTACATGTTCTGGCTGTAGGTAGTCCATCTCGTTTGTGTAGTGGTAGTACGCCAAATTCCTGCGGCCTACTACTGGAGATGGGACCGATTCCCACAGGTGAGCTACAGTGGGACGTCGGTCTGCATCCTGGTGCGGCCAAGCCTGATGGGTCCTCCACATGGGCCGACCAACTGGAAGCCTCATCCACATCCAAACCTGCGTCACATGCGTTAGCTTCCAACATGTTAGCAAGAAATTGAAATGTTATGAAACATAACATGCGTGAACTTACCTGTAGCAACCAAACACAGCCTGCTAGGTTCGCGTCCCCGCCTTGCCTTCGGCAAGCATCACAGAGTTGCCGGTACAACCAGGCTAGGGCAGCCGACCCCCAGCTGAAGGTACCCGCCTCGTCCCAGTCCGCGAGCAACGGCAGCCACATCCAAGAAGCCATGTCTCCACCAGAGTCAGGGAACAGAATACTGCCGAAGATGTACAGCACGTACGCCCTGCAGTATCGCTGTACTGTAGCCTCGTCTGCCTCAGCGGGACACTGACCGAAGTTGGCTCGCAACCAACTCAAAGGAACCCCTGATGTCTTCGTCTGCCTCTGACCATCAGGTGCCACTGGAGGCTCCAGACCAAGGTACTCCTCGACCCTCTCCCTCTAGTTCCCCGACGCTGTGTCACCTGTAACCGGAAATTAAATGGAATCATTAGTAATTGCAAAAAAATTAACAAATGAATACGAAGACTCGTTAGTAATTCCCTGACGCTGTGTCACATGTGACCGCCTGACCCCGGATAGGAAGACCCAGGATCATGGCGACGTCCTCCAGAGTGACCGTCAGCTCCCCGCACGGTAGGTGGAAGGTGTGTGTCTCTGGACGCCACCGGTCCACTAGGGCCGTCAGAGCAGCGGCGTTGTACAGAGGCACCGGTCGCTGCGCCATGGTCACGAACGCCAAGAGCTTCGCCCGCCGTAGGTACGGGACGTACCGGTCGTCGAACAGTATGTGCGCCGTGTGACCTCTGACTCGAAGGGTCTTCAAGCGCTGCATCAATAGACAAACATAATAACATAAAGTTAGCGACAATATATCATATACAAGGGTTGTGGAAAATACTTCATGCAACTAGGAACTTTAATTTTGGGATTGAGCAAGAAAACTGAAAAGAAGATCTGTGTGTTTACATGCTCTGCTTTGAGGCTCATGAACTTTGATTTGAGATATCTCTATGATGGATGATCTATCTGTACAAACTAAAATCAAAGAAGAAAAAATAAATTCGATCATAAAAAAAATGGAATATTGTTGATGCTAACCTCTCCGCTGGCAATCTGTGGGGCCCGGTGCTTCTCCTCGTAGAAATCCTCCAACCCCGGAAAGTGCTCCATCCTGCAAATGAAAATGGAATCATTAGTAATTGAAAAAATATTAAATGGAAAAATCACAATGAGAACGGAAAGGAGGACAACAGAAAGTAAACATTGAAGCAACAATATGAACTTAGCAAATGAATGTCATCCAATCCCACCTGTGTGCTACCCTCACCACCTCCCCCCGTCCTACGGCGCTTTTTCGGTCGATCCTTAGACTTGTCTCGCTTCGGGCACCTAGTTTTCTTATGGCCTAGTTCGTGGCATAGCGAGCATCTATTTTGCATGACCGGCTCTGAATTTGTATTGTTCGGCTTTTGTGACCGTCGGTTGGCTGAGCCTTTGTATGCTTTGTCCATATCGTTCTTGAACCTTCTTGTCCTTCTTCTTCCTCGTGTGTTGTTCTTTAACGACAAGTCGGGCACGAAGAACTCTCCATCATAACTTGGCCACTGCGATGGATCTAGGTAAGGTTCAAACCTAGGGGAGTACGAGTCCTACACAGCCTTATTGGAAGCTTCATAACACATTCGGGGGGCCACCTCCACTCTTCCTTGCATTAATCTGCCATTTGCAATGGCGATCGAGACAAGCCACAGTATACTTTACTGACGCGTTAGATTCCTTCACATGGTACGGCCGGTGGACACGGATAGAATAACTCTGTAGCCATATTTTCAGATCATCCATCGATCGAAACTCCAACCCCTTCCTTGGTTCATCACACATTGGTTCGAAGGCACCGTCATATTGTGGATCCCCATCAGCAATTGCTAGCCCAGATCTGGTAAGATCCTCGAATTGTGTTATTTCCGGGTTTCTACCCACCAGTTTCGCAAACACAGTCCTTTCATGCTCTGACATCTTACGCACTGGACGATCATCATCGGAGTCGGAAGCGGACTCATCCAATTCATCCTCTGTATCATACTCCAACCAGCCTGGGTTCAATCCACTGCGTATCATAGCCTCCTCACACTCCTCTCGGGTATAGAATTTCAGCCTAGCCAACTCCCTTAGGCCCATACTTACATTCTTAGCATTCGCTTCTTCCTCAGGCAACTCCACATCATCTCCTACCTCCCGACCATCCTCAACATCTCCTTCCTCTCTTACCGGCACATTCTCCTCCACATTAACTTCCTCCCTTAACGGCACATTGTCCTCTGCATGTACTTCTTCCCTTAACGGCACATTCTCCTCTGCATGTACTTCCTCCCTTACCGGGTCATTCTCTTCCCTGACCTCCACATCCGCCATATCATTTACTCCCTCGCCCCCCTCCACGTCTTCCTCAATCAATTCTTCCTTCCTACTACACCTCTCCGACAGTTCGTGACAACTAATGGGTGATTCTATGAGTGGACTTTCATTAAGCTCTATAAGTTCTTTCTTCCCTATCCTACCATCTTTCTTCCATGCAAACACCTCAAGAGATTTGAAATGTGACCCCAATACTATATCTATATATGTTTGCCATTCGATCTCTCCATTCAAGTCTAACATAAATTTATGTGACATGACACCGCCGCCCACATCGTATCTCCCTTGCATACCAACCGACTCATCATTCCAATCCAATTCATGCTTGATGCGAGACATTAACTCCTCAAAGGTAGGCTTCGCAAAAAACACTAATTGTCTAACTGTCATTCCCTCAAATTGGCTTCCATGTGTACTTTCATCTACCACACAACCACCATAATGAAGCCGGACCAATCTATCCATCTACAATTTTTAACCCATGCATAAACATTAATTACTTGAAAATAATATGTAATTACCATTGCAATACCAATACTTCAAAAGCTAACAACATGTCTAATTTTTCCAATAAATAAGTACATTACTCAAATACTACACATTATTGATAAAAAAAAACTCTACTCCTACAAATTACCTACCCTTCACCACACATCAACCCCTTTCAAACCCTCTCAATCACCACAAATCCATCCCACATCCTAGGCCATCACCACACATCCATCTCCCATCAAACCCTAGTGCATCACCAAACATCCATCCCAAATATATTTTGTCAAATGTATCAATAACAACCAAATGGATAAAGATATGCCACCTCCACACTTCATCCCCACCCATATTATCCATCTAATAATCCATCCTTAGCCAACTATTATCAAACCACGTCTACAACCAAAACAATGCAAAATATCCAATAAAACTTTGGGGAACTTAGGGTTTATAGAGGGGTTTACCTTCTCTTCCGATCCCAAACTCAATGCCGCACAAATCACCTTCGATTAGAGAGGTTTTTGGGGGAGATTGGGCGAGGAGAACGCGGTGTCGACCGAACCCTAGGCGGGCGGCTGGGGAAAAAACGGAGGAAGAACTGGCTGGGGCGGCCTCAGCCGGGCTCCAAGGTCAACGCCAACTTACTTGGCGCTGAGGTTGGGCACCTCAGCGCCGAAGCGGTTGGCGCTGAGGTAGCTGCCACGTCAGCTAGGGGATCGGCCTGGCCGCCACGGTGGCACAATGTCAGCGCCAGTCCCATTGGCGCTGACACGGCCAACCTCAGCGCCAATGCGTTTGGCGCTGAGCCGACGGCCTAGTTTTGGTTGAAGTTTTTGGCAGGGGTTAGTTTCGAAATAAGTTTTTGAAAAGGGTCAATTTGTCAAAAAAACGGTCCTTCGGGGGTATACGTGTATGTTTCGGATGAGGGAAGAAACGGTACGTACGCCGTCAGGATCGTAGTTGGACTATCTTCCCGTATTCCAATTCTGATCGTCTCTCCATGTCGGAGTCTAGTAGTAGTAGCAAATTAAGATTACTCAATTCGTACTACACGTATATGATCTCCTAATCCGAGAAAGCTCTGATTCGCGCGTGCATCGAGGCGCCGCTAGGTTTCTTTTTTCTTTCCGGAATTTCTTTTCGCTGTTAGATTTCTTTTTTCTTGCATATAAATTAACTAATTCGATTAGTTTTAGATAATAATGATAATTAAGGTAATGTTTATTTTTTCTGAAGATTTTTTAAGTAACAGATTGAAAAGAAATCTATACGTGAAGTCAAATTTTGAAAACTTTTAACCTAGATTTAAAAACTTTCAACTTAAATTTTGAATTTTTTGAAGTCAAATTTTAAAAACTTTCAACTTTTCATCTCAAATTTAAAAAACTTTCAATCCAGATTTGAAAACTTTCAACCCGGATTTGAAAACTTTCAAGTCAAATTTGAAAAGTTTCAACTCAAAATTTGAAAATTTTCAACTCAAATTTAAAAACTTTCAAGTTAAAATTAAAAGCTTTCAATGCTACATTTGTAAAGAGGTGTGCAAAAGATTGAAAAAAATCGGAAAGAAATTGCCAAAAAAAGAAAAACGCGGCGCCAAAATCGAAAAAAAAAAGGTCTGAACAAAATCGCACTGCCAAACCCACAGTGCCACGTACTCCACACCCCGGAAAACCTCCATGCACGGACGCCGCGCGAGCATGGAGTACATGGACTCCATGACCTAGTCGGAGCGAGGCGAGGCGAGGGCGCGCGGCGGCGAGGCGTGGAGTCGCGTGGGGAGGAAGAGGAGGAGCGAGAGCGCGCGCCCCGTTGGCCTCTCGCTTCTCGGCGCGGCGTGGGGAGGAAGACGAGAGAGGCAAGTAGCCGTAGAGAGGAGATTTTGTTATTTCTGAACTGGGCGACGCGACGCGAGGAAGGAGACGACGGCACAGACGCATGTCTCTCTCTGACAGGTGGGCCCTCCGGTCGGGTCAACTGTCGTCAATGACTTGTAGGCCCAAGCAGGGTGAGTCGGCCTCGCTGCGTTAACTTGGTGTCAAATTTGCTCTCTGACAGGTGGGCCCTCTGGTCTACTGTCGTCAATGACAGGTGGATCCGTTCACGGAGCTGTCAAATTTTGCCCAATTGAGGCTCAGATTCAGGATTGAATTTGAGTTTACTCTACGAAATTCATTCAAACGGGTTCCCAAACTTTGTGTTTGATCGCTGCTGGAGTGTATAGAATGAGAAAATTTGATCCATAACACAGAAAAATTAACGGTACCAAAAAAATTAAATAGCACAAAAATTTTCCCACATGCCAGTAGTTTTTCTTCGATGTGTAGCACTTCAATTTTAATGTTTTTCATGCAATGGCAGTTCAGAGATGACAAGTCTTAATAGAGCATGCTCCAAGCACAGACAACAGAAATGCATCAGGATGAACTGCGTTGTACGAGTTTAAGCATAAACAAGTTTCTTAAAAGAGTTCATTGATCAGCATAGTAGCATTTTTTTTTCTACTAATGCTCAGGCATCAGATCTAACATCAACAGAGGTTCTGCATTTTAAGGAGTGTTGGCCTAGTATCCCTGCTTAGGCCTTTCCTCGTAGCGGATCTTCTCATCCTGTAAACAAGAAGGCTCAAAATGTCAGTATTCAGTGGCAGCAGTATGGATTTACATATCCTAAAAAACATCTAACATGTCATCCAAAAGGAAATAAACCCAGTCAAATATATTGGTCCATAGCAAATATTTGAACTAGCATTTCGTCGCAGAATAACTGGAATCTTGGTCGTGAAAGTATATGAACTCCATTTTGCATCGATACCAACAGCAGCAACATCAATATTTTTCTATAATATAGTGAACAAATGACCGTGAAAACTCGAATCATGAGTAGAATGCACCAATGCTCAAATGGTACACCATAGGCAGCATAAGTAACTGAAAATTTGAGTAGCAGCACTAGAAGGAGACCTCAAAAGCTTGCTTGAGATTCTCAAGCTCCTTGTCTAAATCATTGATTGCCTGTGTGTACGCTTGAGTAGGGGTGGACTGGTTTGCAGTATGGACCTGCCAACATATTAAAACAATGAGACTAAATAAACCCCAACCTGACACAATATATAGAGTAAGCAAAACCTTAATCCTACCCTGACAAGGATCTTGTACTGAAGGGGATGAGGGAGCTTATAACCAGCAAAGAGGACGTTTGGGTCCCTGTGGAGCTGCCTGCAAAATCTCATAGGTACAGAACATTCAAAAGTAGCAAAAAATAAGCAGGAGCAAATTAGTCATAAAACTCTTTTGCACATACATGCGGAGGATGTTGCCAATGGTGTGGTCCTCACGCTCAATTGTGAATGACCCAGCATTCACAATCTTTGTATCCCGCTCATATGATACCCTGCACAATCATAAGTTTTAGAGCCATATCTGCAGGACTGCAAATACTAGAGCAGCACAGAACAAGAGAAAACTCTCTATATGCCACTCAAAATTAGCCACTCAGATATGCCATTCCCATCAATCTAGTGTTAGTGTGCTGTTAAATTAGGAATAGAAAGACTAAAATGCCCTTGTCCCAAAACTCTCCGCTCATTTTTCTTGATGTATTCAGCCCTCCAGTCTACCGTCAGCGCCAGTAGCTGCCACCGGCTCTCTCCCTGTATTGCCTAGCCAGAGTTGGGTGCCGCAGTCACCATCGGCACCTATCTGATCTGTACTTGCGGCTGGACCAGGATGTGAAGACCAGGCCACCCCTACCGTGTCGCCTCAATGTCTTTAGTGCAGGCCCCATTCCTTCCCTTGAGCTCCCCTATGGTTTTGCACTCTCGTGGGCTGCCTCAGGCTGAGTGCCCTCAGCTCACCAAAAGAACAAGTCACATTTGAGTGCCGTCATAACGATCTGATCTCTTCCTTTTTTTTCTTATTTCTTTTCTTCTTGTATTTTCTTTTTCTTTTCCCTGCTTGCTGTTTCGTTCTCTGTGGGAAGAACAGCACGATAGGCGTGCCCCTCTATCTTTTAGTAATCCTTGTCCATCCAATCTTTGTCTATCTTCCTTAGATGGCATCGGCTCACACACCATGGTAGTCTGTACAAGAACTTTCTCTAACTGGTGAAGGACAGCATGCCAACATAGACCCTGTGTGAGCTGACAAGGTGGCGCTTGAGTGGAGCCTCGTCATGACAAGCAAAGAAGGCCGCTACTGTCTGCCATAGGCACTGCTTGAAGCAAAAGAAAAAAAAGGGAGGGAACAAGAAGAATATGGCATGTGGGCCTAAAACATGGGATGAGGGTAGGGAGGCCAATTTTGCAAAAAAGTTGGTGCGTTTTTGTACATTAATGGCAGGAGTATATACAGAGTTAATGGCAATGGCATATAAGGGGCATAAAATTTCTCCTAGTGGCACAGAAGGGAACAGCTATTTTTGATTGGCATATAAGGAAACCGATATGATGTAGAGGCCGGGTTGACTGCGACAGACCTAAACAGCTATTTTCTTCCCGCTAATTTTTATGGCGGGCTGTGTACATCCAAGTTGGATGTAGAGGCCAGGTTTTTACTCCGTTTTCTAAAACAATATAAGGAAACCGGTATACTTTGAGTGACACAAAGGGATTTTTTTTCCTAATCAAAAGCAAACAAGCCACCAGGGCACAACACCAAGCATCTAAAGCATCTTTAGATAATAACCGCCAAGCATCTGGGATTCTGGGTATCATAATTTCATACCGATTCTCATGAACAGATCAAACTGCTAGAAATTACTCTACTCTTTCTGTGAATTGTGTCTTACTACTCTACCCTTACAATTAAAATGGCAATTAAATTAGTAAGCCAAAAATAACTGGATAAGTGTCCAGTATAAACTGACTAATATCTGGGTTCCCTCAGGCACGACAAAGCCTTAATCCAAAGCAAACAAGCCACCAGGGAATCTAATCATCTTTTTTTAGACAACAAACGCCAAGCATCTGAGTATAGCAAGTGCCAAGAATCTTAGTATAGCAAGTTCATAACCTCATACTTCGCATAAACAGGAGCAAACCGCTAGAAACAACTCTACTCTTCGTGTGAACATGTTTCTCACACTACTCTGACTCTTACAACTAAAATTCTTCTTAAACAGACATTATACAAACAATGATAATTGAATGACTGTGTCGAAAATTACTGGGACAACTGCGGGGGATGAACTGACTCACTTCTTGGTTCCCTCAGGCACCACAAAGCGTTCGTAGCGGTCGGGAGCATTCATCTCGAATCAAATCTTCGGGGGGGGGGGGGGGGGGGGTCCTCCCTCTCCAGTCACTGCAACCGCAAAACATCCACGGAAACAAAATTAAAAACAAGCTTCAGAGATTGCTCCCTTGATCCCTAAACCTCATGTCCGTACGGTGAACAAAGAACCCTAGACTAACATAACAGATGAGACGGGAATCAATCAAATCGAGAGAGCAACCAAAAACAGCAGCAGAGAGAAGGAATCAAGAAACACAGAGAGAGCCTTGCCGTGCGATGATGCTCCAGCTCCCTCCCCGCCGCTCGCGGAGTCGCCGGCCGAGCTACCCTGGTCGTCGAGGCGCGGAGGCGGAAGCCGGAAGGGGAAGAGAGAGAGAGAGAGCGAGAGAGGAGGAGGAGGAAGAGGAGTGGGCCGGGTTAGGGTAGTAGTAGGGTTTCGGAGGCTAAGTAGGCCGTATTATTGGGCTTCCACGGCCTAGTGGGCCTCTCATATCTTCCTCCATCCTTCCCACTCTTCTCTCTTCCTCGTATCTCCCCACCCAATTTTGCTATATATTTGAACTTGCACCAATCGTTTCATTGCTCATGGTTAATAGTATGCCCCAAGTTTACTGCGAGCATAAATGTATGTGAGCATTTGCAAATTTGCCGCTAGTTTTTTTATTTTACAAAAATGCCATTTGAATGACTGTTCTAGTGGCAATTTTGTAATATTCTAGCGGAAGTTTTACAAGATTTAAAACAGTGGCAATTTTACAATTGCCTCAAATGTATAACTTCTGAAATTCTTGCATAGTTCACACGCGGTGAATTAATTTACGGTCGCTACAAGCATCGCTACGACGCAGGCCCATGACGATGAGGGGAGGGGTAGAGGTGGAGGGGCCTCTGATGGTGGATGATGAGTTGAAGCACAAGAAGCAAAAGCAGGTTACCAGAGTAATGACATCAAGATCAACCGAACCTCAATTTTCAGAGAATATTTACACTGCTAGAAGAATGTGCAGCCAAAAACAATGCTGGCTGAGTATGAAGTATGATGACAGCCACAGTTCTCTGAAGGAAATCATAGTGATGTACAAAAAACCTTAATACAAGGATATCATTTCTTCTATACTTTCTAAATCAATTTACTACAGAGAGGGTGTACAAAGATGTCAAAATTGGTACCCAGTTTCTATCCTCTACAAGAGCATTTCCCTCCACAGAAAATATGAAACCCAGCCGAGTCCCTGACCAAGATCTCTTTACCGGTAGCTGCAGAAGTATACTCCAGGAATGAGTGGCAATCACCACACATGCGGACGTTCTTCACGACGCGGATGGTTTCACCATGTCCTGACATTAGAAGGCCATACATGGCAGCTAGCTTCACGCTATGGTACATCAGGAAGTGCCTCTTCTGGTATTCCTCGACGTCGTGTAGCACGAAGGTGGTGTCCGGTTCATACCCAGCCTTCATGCACTCAAGGATTAGCACGTCGAGGCCAGCGTAGATGTCCTTGGACTGGGGATGTGACCTATCCCGTGCGAAAAATGAGTGAATAGAGTTGCCATGAAATGTCCAGCTCCTTGCTGGAATCTTACGCATACCCTTTTCACGCATCTTCAGCCTTGTGCTCTCAGAGCATTGCCATCTTGCTGATTCTGAGTAGAGATTTGATGCCAGGACATATGTGGATGGATCCTGTGGTTCCAGTGCGAGTAGATGCCTCATTGCTAGCCTCCGCATGGTCATGTTGGGCTGCCTGTTACAGCTGTCTAGACAAGATCGCCAAACCAATGCACTAGGCTTGAACGGCATTTTACCGATAAGCTGCTCTGCCTCCTCAAAATGACCCCAGCATCCAAGGACATGAACAAATGCTGCGTAGTGTTCCACAGCTGGTTCAATGCCATATATGCTTGACATAGAAAGGAATAGCTCCCTACATTTATCAGCAGAATTTGAGCTTGTGTAGCTGCAAGATGATATGACCAGGAGAAAGGTAACAGAATCAGGTTTGATGGGCAATCTCTCCATCTGAGACCACAGGTCCAGTATCTCATCTCCCTGGCGATGAAGAAGATGAGAAGTGATCAGAGCATTCCATGAAACCAAGTCTCTACAAGGCATTCGCTTAAAGACATTGACTGCAGTTTCCAATGCCCCACACTTGCCATACATACTAATGATCGCATTACCAACTCCCTGAGCACTCAGAAGCCCAGATTTTGCAGCAAAGCAATGCATTTGCTTTCCGAATTCAGCAAAACCTAAGGCTCCACATGCTCCAAGAACAGTAGTCAAGATGAATTCATCAATGAACTGAACATCATTGCTTCTAAACATCTTAAGGAAAGTGGAAAGTGCTTTCTCATACTCCCCATCTCTGAAACTTGCAGCCAGCAAAGAATTCCAAGCAATGTGAAAACTCTCCTCGTGGCGCCATTTCTCAAACAGAAGATGTGCATCTCCAGACCTGCCACACTTGATGCACATGTCTATCAAAGCGGCATCGATCCAAGGAGTTGAACCGCAGCCACATTTAATCGCAAATGCTTGAACCTGCTCACTCATCTTCCTCTCCGCAGTAATAGCACAAGCATTCAGGACACCTGTGACAGTTACATCTGAGATCTCCAGTCCATCCTCCAGCATCTGCTTAAACAACCCGAGTCCTCGCAGCCCTGACTTTCTAGCAAAGGTAACCCGGACACCTTCCTTGTTGTGGTTAAACCCAGTCAACACTGCATTGTATGTAACAAAATTCCTCACAGGCATACGGTCGAACACATCCATTGCCATGTCAACAAGGCCAAACTCCATGTATCCATTGAGTAACCCGGTCCATGAAATCACATCCTTCGCAGGCATTCTCTCAAACACATCAACCACATCCTCAATGGAATGACCATGCTCCGCGTAGAACCCGACGAGCGCGTTGCCAACGCTCAAATCCATCTCCAGCCCAGACTTGAGCGACAACGCATGCACCGCCGCGCCCTCGTGCAGGCCGAACCCCTCGGCGGCCGCAGCCAACAGCGCCGAGAGCGAGAACCTGTCGGCCCCAACGCCGCTGTCCCGCATGTCCCCGAACAGCTCGAACGCCTCGTCGTACCTCCCCAGCTCGACCAGGCCGGACAGGACCGTGTTCCACGACGAGACGTCCCGTCGCTCCATCCCGTCGAACACCTTCAGCGCGTCGTCGAAGCGGCCGCCCTTGACGTACATCCCGAGCAGCGCGTTGTCGACGAGGAGCGAGCCGCCGCCGCCGCCGCACGGGGAGTTGCCTTTGACGGCCAGGGCGTGCACCTGGGACCCGAGCCGCGGGTTCCCGCGGCGGGCGCAGGCGGTGAGGAGGCCGACGAAGGTGTACTCGGTAGGCGCCATGCCCGCGAGCCGCATGCGTCCGAGCAGCTCCACCCCCGCGGCGGCCGGGGAGCCGAGGCGCGCGTGGCCCGAGATGAGCGCGCTGTAGGAGGCGGCGTCGCGGGCGGGCATCCGCTCGAACACCCCCCGCGCATCCGCCAGCGCGCCCGCCCGGAGGTACCCGCACATGACGGCGTTCCAGGCGCGGGCGCCCGACGACGCCGCGGAGCCCGACTTGACGGCGACCGCGTGCGCCGCGCGCGGGTCGGCGGAAGCCGCGGCGGCGAGCGCACGGGTGTGGAGGCGGGTTCGCGGCGGCGGCGGCGAGGGGCCATGGGCGGGAGGAGGAGGCGGCGGCGGCGGCGGGAGGGGGCGGGAGGTGGGTGGAGGTTGGGGCGGGAGGAGGCGAGGCGGCGGAGCGGCGGATGAGGTGGAGATGGCCATTCATTTCACTCCGAGGTGGACGAAGCTTCGAGCTCGCGTTGCTTCGGCTTCTTTCTCGCGCAGGCGTGGATTTCTTCTGGAGGATGAAACTGGGGCCAAATTCGGCCCAAATTTGGCCCAAATGAGCTCAGAGATTGCCCAAAAAAATTAGGAAAAAGTACATCGAAGGTCCCTCAACTTGTCGTCGGGATATAAAATCATCCTCGAACCACAAAACCAGACATGCGAGATCCCTTAACTATACAAAATCGGTCACCCCAGATCCTTTGGTGGTTTTGACCCCGGTTTTGGTCTACGTGGCGGCTGAGTAAGTGTGGGACCCACGTGGGACCCACATGTCAGGTGTCCACGAAGCATTTGGCTGTCACCGCCCCCTCCGCCGGTGGCCATCGCGGCGCCGCCCTCCCACCTCACCCCGTCCAGCTTGCAGAGAAGTGAGAGAGAGAGATAAGGAAGGGAGTGAAGAGGGGAAAGAGAGGGTGACGTGGATACCTGACATGTGGGATCCATGTGGGTCCTACGCTGACTCAACCGCCATATAGATCAAAACCGGAGTCAAAACCAACTAAGGACTTTGGATGACCGATTTTGTATAGATAAGGGACCCCGCATATCTGGTTTTGTGGTTGGAGGACTTTTTTTTTATCCCGACAACAAGTTGAGGGACCTTGGGTGTACTTTTTCCAAAAATTCACTGAAGTGTGGTTTGAATGGATTTTGCCTCCTTTTTTTTTACCAGCGTTGTACTTAGTTGACAAAATTTGGCAACAAATCGCTACAATTTTCAAACAAGGAATATCAACTGTGTCATAATTTGAAAAGGGAGGAATTCGGCCCAAATTTGGCCAAAACGAGTTCAGAGACTGCAAAAGGATTAAAAACCTCGCCTGTGCTGCGCTGTGAAGTGCTTGGGCGAGTTTGAACATATTTTGACAAACTAGCCAAGAACCCATATGTTCCAATAAAAAAACAAATTATGTCGTGTGTTGTTATTGTGGGTGGGGAACTAATCCTCCACACACGTAAAATGGAGAAACGGATTAACGGATGATTAATGGAGTATTAGTTTAAAAAACTTAAAAAATATCAATATATATTTTTAAAATTAACTTGCCTATAATTTTTTTAAAAAAAATACACATTGTTAAAACATTGTTTAACAGTTTATGAAGTGTGCACGTGAAAAAATGTGAAAGTAGAATGTTGAGAAAGGGGGAAAAGAATGCACCCTAAATCTAATTCAACAAAATCAACGAAAATTCAACCTTTTTTGAAACTGCCACGCATGTTGACCAAAACGGTCAACTTGAAGGAGTACAACCGTTACACACTCTTAGAGCAGGTACAATAGTGAGCTATAAACTAGCTACAAATATATATTTTAAAGAGATAAATAAGGAGAGAAGAGCAGCGGGCTACAGATTTATAGCCAGCTGTAACACGGACTCCAAGACACAGTGTGCGTATGACAGGTGGGACCAGGTATTAATAGTGTAGTATGTAGCTATTGTATGAATGGGCTATTAGATTGGCTATAGATAAATTGGAGCTAGTAATTGGCTATACTATTAAACTTGCTCTTACTAGTTTCCAACTTTCCATCTCTACATGCTAACTACTCCCTCCGTCCCAAAAAAATAGTACAATAAATCTGAACAAAGGTATATCCAGATTCGTAGCACATGTGTCACATTCAATACTAGTTTGATCTTTTATAGGACGAAGGGAGCAGAATCTTGATGATGGGTACACGCACACTCGTGGAGTGGAGACGTGGAGTAAAAGAAGCACGTCCATCTCTACATGCTACAGTACACGGTACTACTCATAGGAAATAATTTTCTTCTGTCAGGAATTAATCCGAAAATATTTCTGTGTCATTATTAGCCTTTGCAGGGTCACATACGTACGTAGTACAAATCTCACAAATCCATCCGATTCGTGCGTGCAGTCGATCGATCGATCAAGCTGTAATAATGTGAAGTACACACCAACTATCTATAATTAAACTTGCTCCATCTGATCAAGAAGCATCTGGCTGTCACCGCCGCCGTCGTGTCCCTCCGCCGCCGCCGCCGAGAAATCTCTGATGATGGACAGGTACACCGTGGCTTGGATGACGACGATGATCGCCATGACCAGCAGCATGACCGGCAGCATGAGCAGCGCCTCCCCCCAGCTGGTGCTGTCCACCACCACCATCCGCGCGATCACACCCAGCACCACCACCGTAGACACGACGAACAAAACCTGCATCATATCCACACACAGATCATCAGCTAATCAAGTAATCCACACTGAATTACGAGGTAATTCCTGTGTTTCATTATGAAACATTTTTCCTCGTCAAATTTATAAAAAAAAATATAATAATATTTTCAGCACAAAACAGATATATTATTAAAATATAAAAATTGAAAATGCTTCTGCCGGTACTTTGGTACGCCATTCGTGTATAAGTCGGTTTTCAAGTTCGTTCGCTTTTGAAAATACATATCCGTATTTGAGCCGGTTTTTAAGTTCGGTTTTGGAAGTACATAAGGGAGTCGTAAAAAAACTTGCATGCTAATTTTAGATGAACGGACTCCTAACTACAGCTCATAATTTATATATATATATATATATATATATATATATATATATAACAAACTCATATAACAATAGTAAGATTAAATAGTTTCCACCCGTTGCAACGCACGGGTTTTTTCTAGTATTATTAAAATATTTACAATGTTATATTTAATAAAATTAATTTGTTGTTGTAAATGTTGCTTAATTTTTCCTATAAACTTAATCAAACCTGATATGTTTGTCTAGAAAAAAGTCAAAATGACCTATAATATAAAAAAAAGTGAAAATAACTTATAATATGAAAAAGAGAAGTACTCCATCCGTTTCACAATGTAAGACTTTCTAGCATTACCCACATACATATATATATATATATATATGTTAATGAATCATGTATATGTCTAGATTCATTAAATGAATGTGGACAATGCTAAAAAGTTTTATATTGTGAAACGAAGGAAGTAGTAATTAACTAGCAGTTGTCAGTGGTCTAGGTACGCACTGTGACGAAGTTTTTGCAGGCGGGGGTCATGGGGCGGTGGGGGAGGTGGTGCGGGGGCACCCTCCGCCGCTCGACGTAGTTACCGTCATCGGCGGCGGCGACGTCGACGACCGTGTGGGGCGGCGCCGGCGGGAGCTTCTGTAGCGGGCAGTGTAGGGGATCTTCAAGGTTGTATGCACCCATGAAAGGGAACATCGACATGTCGTCGCACGCGCGAGGGACGGACGTACACGTACGGCTGTCTTCCCTTTCGATCGTGCCGCCTTATTTTTATAGCGGGGAGTCCCCAATCCGATTCCGTCTTAGAAACGCAGACAGGACATATACACGGGATAAATACCCCGGTAAATATCGGCAAGTGAGTCATGCATTTGGTTTACACTAGTATCATTTTCCAGTAGCATCATCTTGATTCAAGTTCTATACTGAACATTGGAATTCATATTTTACGGCTATTATTTCTTTCAATAATAGAGGATGTCCTTATCAGTAACGAGATATTTATGATGATTTCATAAATCTTAAGATATGTCAGTTCAATTTTAGTGATGCCCGTGGTAGTAAGGTGTATGTGTGTCAACGCTTGTGGTGACTTAATGAATCTTAAGATATATATGTTGGTCCAGTCTTCAAAGATGTTCGTAAGGGTAAAATGTGTATTCATATAGATAAGTGCACACGTGTTTATATGAGAGCCCGTGTTTGTGATGTGGTTTAAAAATAAAAAGTATCTCTATTTCCGAAGGAATCGACGTCATTTTTTTCGTGCTTATTATTCAGGCCACGTCACACTTTATTTTGTATTGTGGAAAACTTTTTGCTGATAAAAATACATTTCCTCTATTTTTTCTGCTACATCCTACATTGGAAGAAATTAGCTAGTGTGCTTATCAAAATTTACGAAATTAATCCTAAATTTAGGAGCGACGCATCTAAGGGGACAAGGAAAAAAAGAGTAAATTTTATAAAATCCTAGATATTGGGGCGTCCATAGGACCATAACATAAAAGTCCCATTATTATTGTTGTTCTTTTCAAGAAAGCTCATGTTTTGAGGCAAAATGTTTGAAGAATACCTCATATTTATGTAAAATTATTTTTTTCATAAATTTATATTAGTTGACTTGAAGTACACATTCTAGATCTTGACTAGTTTTTTTCCTTAGTTTTTCATAAAAAAAAACTCAACGTAATCCCAACTAATAATGACATACTACAATATTAGTTTGAAAGATGATATAAAGCTTATATTTGGGGTTTAATGAACCATTTTACCCTCAAAATCTAGGGGTTTCATGAAACAAAGTAAAAATTGAGGTTTTGAGTTACGGACGCCTAAAAACCTAGGGTTTTATGAAATATGCTAAAACAAGCCATAGTCACCAACTCACCCTTGTCATTCCCCTCAGGCAACAACAGGGGAATTAGCCTAAATAGAAATTGAGAGATTAATAGGTAAATATGTTATATAAGACAAAAGCATATCGACAATTTAAAACAATGTTAAAAGCAATTTTCATAGGCCGTTCTAAAATGGGCAACTTATTAAACTTGATGGAGGTACCTTTGAAATCGAGATGGGTTTATAACGAATGGGCTAGACAAAATCTAGAGGCACGTGGCTAAGTCTAGGGCACTTTCACATCACCTTTCTCCTCCATCGTTGCTTCTCACTCCTAGTTGACAACTGTCGCCACCACGGCCGAGCCACACTGTCATCGTCGTCAACCATAGCCACACCACCATCGACCTGCGCCCTCAATAACGGTGGATCTGGCGTTGGTGGCCTCGGGAGCGACGAATCCGCCATCGCCAGGGGCTTAGCAGGCCTTATCATCACCATGATCCTGGGCATTGGGATGTCAATGACGGCGGTAGGCCTTGGGACACCGGATCTAACGTTAGGCCTTAGTAGTGAGGACTTCATTGGCGATGACGACTACACACTATAGTGAGGATGTCGGCGAGGCTCATCCTACGACGACATGTGTTAACGATGGTGGTGCGAGGGTGTCAACGCCAGCAGTTCCACCATCCACCAAGGTCCCGAACGACCACTTGCTTTTGGAATTTGTGAATTTTTGTTTTGGAGTTTTTTTTTTTGAATTTGTGATTGTGTCTATAAAAATTTGCAGGTTGTGATTGGATCGGAATTCATGAATTGCAGGCTTTAATTTTATCTAATTTTTCTTCTTTTTTTGCCAACAGGCAAGCCACTTTATAGTACCACCTGGAAATACTAATTTTTACTGGTGGTTCCATCCGTAGAAATTGTTTTCACATATGGGTATCTTAATTTAACCGTCTATAAAAAATATTTGTAGACGGTTATCGAACTTCACAATTTTTAATCTGTCAGAGGCATGTCGCTCAACCATCTCTACAAGCCGAATTTGTCCGCTAGTGAAAACTAATTTCGCATCAGTGCATTGACACAATGACACCACAAATAGCCAGATTCCATTGGCAGGTTTATAAATTCACAAAACCTCAGGGGTATATATATGCTATTCTCCCTTAATTTAAAATTTAATTAAGCATCAATCGTGTAATGGGCAGTACGTGTACGTCTAGTAAAAGGCTGGCAATGCAAGAGTGCTAGCTACACATATGTGCTTAATCTCTAATAAAGTGCTCTCTAACTTTGCCCTTTATAAACTAGAAAGATAAAAGTCAGCTCAGCTTCTAGGCATGTCTGGTTATACTTATCCGGTGCTCAACAAGCTAAGACAAAGGTCACTGTTTTAATTCTCACCTGATAAAAAGCACCAAGTAAATTTGTTTTTTTTTTGGGGGACACCAAGTAAATTTGTTGCATATGAAATTTTACACATACATATAATTTTGTTACTAAAAAAATAAAGAAGTAGTTAAACACAAGAATGCCATTAATTATACTTCAAATCTCACATATATTTCCTTCAAAGCTCTTACATATATATACATATGGCGTATTTACAAATTAGGGTCCCAGTGCTAAACATAGCGTATATCTACAAATATACAGGTCCGATATCATATATATACACACACTGCAATTACCCAACAATAGGAAAATGAATTCTGCCATATCATTAAACTCCATAGCTAGCTCACACATATACATGGCACTTTTTGTACGAAGACTGTTTTTATTTCAGAAACGTGCGTCAACGATCTTGCGGTCAACTCCATCGTAGGTTCATCGAATCCAACCTAGCTTTAACTCCAAAAACACATCATTTTTTTTTTGAACATTAAAAACACATCATCAACCCCACATATCTTTCCTCCTAGAATCTCCCCATCCATATCAATGATATCATGGATATGGTACATCTCCACACAGAATTTAACACAAAAGGGGCTGTTTGGTTCCCAGCCACACTTTACCATTACTTGCCAATAAAAATTGCCACACCTTGCCTAAGGTGAGGTGATTAAATTGTTAGCCACAACTTACTAAGCCTAAGGGAATCTTGCCACACTTTTTTGAGCCATTGACACGTGGGACCCAATTTGTTGGAGGGGAATCTTGCCACAACTGTGGCTACAACCAAACACCTGTCAAATTTGCCTAACCTTAGGTGTGGCAAACTGTGGTAAAGTGTGGCTTGCAACCAAACACACCCAAAATAGTTATCCAAACTCCCAAGGCAGCATCTCAGCAACCATGCATCCGGTTGCATGATTTGCATCACTCAACAACTAGGCCAGTGCATTATGCATGCATGGACACCACTCTATCCATTCCATCTTAGCAAAGTCAATCATCACTAAAAGGGGTTATTTGATGTAAAATCAAAATCAAAATGATAAGATAGATCAATATGTGATATATTACTACATAAATATATAAGTTTAAATTCAACCTAAATAAGTTGAAAAAATATACTACAACACATTTCAATATGCAAAGTTAATTTAAACTTGTACATGTTAAATTTTAAATTATATGTTTATGAAAAGATATATCGCGATCTTAGTTAATTTATCAGAAAACTTTTTAAAACTATTTGAAACGAAGAAATCTCCCTCGAAAATTTAGAAACCATCCTCATCTCATCATCAAATGGACCAACGATCATTCACTTGGAACTGATCAATCACCCCCCTTATTAATTCTGCATATCAACAACGTGCCAATAATAAATCTAGGTCACTGACGACAACGACGAGAGGAGGAAGAAGAAGCAGCAGAAGCTGAGCCTGAGAAGCATCCGGCCACGCGTCACCGATAAAGGGCGAAGACGACAGTTTAAGTAGTACAAGCTCTTTGCATCGCCATTGGTGTTGGGGTTTCTCCCTCTGTTGGACTCGACTCTTGATGCATTGTGGCATGAAGGGAACATCAGGAATCTGATTTTATGCGCCTGCAGGTGTTGCCTGTCATCCATTCCCTGATGGCTTGGTGATTTGGTAAAGAATGGTGTGTGGTTCACTGAGGTTGGAATTGGGTTTTCTTTAGGGTATTGTGCATGTGAAGAGGTTGCTCTGTGCATCTAGTAGATGATAAGTGTGTAAGTATAAGATAGGAACTAGGTGATAACCCGTGTTTTGTTGTGGGATTTATGGATAAGTATATGTTAAATATTATCGAAATGATGAAAGTTGAAATGTTGAGAAAATAATGTGAGGAAGATAATTTGACACATACTTATTGATCTATATAATACTACCTCCGTTTTTTAATAGATGACGCCGTTGACTTTTTCTCATATGTTTGACCATTCGTCTTATTCAAAAAATTTACGTAATTATACTTTATTTTGTTATGAGTTATTTTATCACTCATAGTACTTTAAGTGTGATTTATATCTTATATATTTGCATAAAATTTTTGAATAAGACGAATGGTCAAACGTGTGAGAAAAAGTCAACGGCGTCATCTATTAAAAAATAGAGGGAGTATAATATTGTAATTATGTGTGTCACGCTTGCAGGGGTTTTAAATAGGCTAGAATAGTAATTGCTGGTGAGTGAAGATGTGGCATACTTGGATAGGATTTTAAATAGACTAGGATAGTAATTGCTAATGGGTGATGATGTGGCATGCTTGTATGTTAAGCTTTAGCTTCTAATAATTGTTAATGGGTAATACCAACTATATAGAAAGTTAGATATGTGATATATGCTTTAATGGTGTTTTTTTAAGTATATTGCGTTAGTAAGTGACAATGACGGTGGATATTCCAGCATATAAATGAGATATGTAAAGCAGAACTTAAAAGTATAATTGCTTATGGTATATTATATTCCCATAGTTGGAGTACTTGGTCACTATCTATAGGAATAAATTGTTGGATGAGCGTTTGAGAAAAATATTATATGATTATTAGACGATTCTTCAAGGAAAAAAAGAACGATTATGTGATTGTTGGTTTAGAGGGAAATTCGGAATCATGTGACTCGATTCATTATTATGAAAAGCAGCCCACATGCTTTATCTAAATAAGTTGAATTCACATGCTATTATTTTAAGTCGTGACATCCTAGTTGTTTTCTTTTTTATGGGTCATGCTAGTTGTTTAGCATTATCTTTTAGAGGAGTCTATTATAATCTACTTTGCAGGTTTTGCAAGGACTTGATTTCTTTTGTTCAATTTGTAGAGTATATAAAGTTCTTTGAAGGGGAAAATCCATTAAAGAAAACATAAGTCACCATCCAACGTATGCTTATTTGTAAGTACCTTTTTCCTTATAACTTTTGGCTCAACGATAAAGCACATGACTCAAGATATTTTTTCTCAAGTCAGTAAATTAAATGAAAGAAAAGGTCAAGTAACTTTTCATTGGAGAAATAAATTAAATGAAACTAAAAAAAGATTGTCCAACCGAAAAAGGTGAGTGACTTAGCCTAATTTGAATGATCCGAAGGGATGGCACATTATCTGATTTTGTGATAATGTTTGAGAATAAAATGAATTAATTGACTATTACAAATTTTAAAAGTTGTCTATAAAAGCATTATAAGCAACAATTTATAAGTAGAAAGTTTTGTAAAAAATTCATCGTTTAAAAGCTTGTGAAGCATGTCATAATAATCTATAATCTATTAGAGGAAAATAATGGGGGTATTACTGGACTTCATTGATGTTTAACCTTTAAAGGGATTAAAAGGCTTCCATATATGAAACTCAGCTAAAGAGTAAATAGATAAAAACTGCCTAATCAGCAATCACTGTACTCAATTAGGTAGTAATAAATTATGATGGCTAAAAAAAATTGTGGCAACAGGCCCACCACAAAGAGACATGGTAACAATGGGTGCAGAAAATCCTGAACAGTGGAGTTACCACAGGGATGTGCTGTCCTCTCCTCTCATCAGTTTCTGACTGCAGTGAAAACTGAAAACCCCCAAAGGAGGAACTTCACAGGAAGAGAACAACAGAAACTCACAATATTTTTTTGGCACTCATTGGCACTTGTCTTCTTCCAATGGAAAAGAAAGGAAAATTGGAGATGCTGGTAGTACAAGGCAGCCAGAATTATACATTTCCACTTCTATATGACCACAATAAACTCAGCTGCTGCTGCTGCTGCTGCTACTAGTCTTTATCCTTTGCTTTCCACTTGATTTCTCCACTGACTCATCCCCATCATCTCCTCTTCTGTTCAGAATCTCCTCCTGCTAAAGCATTTCGTTGCTGATTTTTTTTTTTGCTGGAATTCTTGTTGTGGGGTAAGGCGCAAAGCGCTGCGAGGCAAGGCATAACAGCTGAAAGTTGCAATCTTTATCGGTTTTGGATTCCTCCTCCTCCTGCTGCTGCTCTCTCTCCTCCAAGGCTCCAACACATCCTGGTCCCGAGAGAAAAAGGGGAGATATTTTTTTGGGGGCGCATGATTCGATCCCTTGTTGTTTGCTGTTGTTGCCTTGCTGCGCAAAGATTTGGTCCTTTCTCGGTCTGTTTCTTGGCCTGTTCAGCTCGGTGGTGGTGGTGTTGTTGGTGGTGCAGTTCTTGGAGTCACATGGTTGGTGGTGGTGTGGGCAGTTCTTGATCCAGGCTCAGATTGAAACTGGCGGTCGAGAGATTCCTGGTTGCAGGAGAAGTTCTTGGTCGCATTTCGGGTGGTGGTGGTGGTGGTGGTGGTGGCAGTTCTTGATCTGCTCCCTCGGGAGAATTCGATTGATGTGGTGGGTTCTCTTCTTCTTCTTCTCCTTGGAGCTCAGTTCCCCAATTCGCCATTTTGATGAGGAGCTCCCACTGTGAGAGCTACTGCGCTCCTCCCTTGTGCAACCTCCCCTGCCTCCCCAAATCCAAAGACGATTCGACCACGGACGATGCCGCCGCCGCGTCGTCTCCAACTCCGGCCACCGTCGTCGCCGCAGCTTTCGCTGAGGACAAGCCTCCTCCGCTGCAGAAGATTGAGGCGGCGGTGACGGCAAACAAGGATCATGATGATGATGGTGATGGTGGTGGTGATGAGGGTAGCAAGGAAGTGGTGGTGACAGTGGTTCCCAAGAGTAGCCTGAAGAAGACTAATTGTGAGGACAGTAAGAATGTGGTGAAGGGCAATGTGAAATGGATGGATTTGCTGGGGAAGGATCTCACTCAAGTTAAAGAATTTGAGCCAAGGTACATACATTTTTTGTTCACTCCCATGTTTATTTACTTACTTAATTACTGTTTGTTGAAATGTATGGTGAATTTTGGTGTGATGTAGTTGTTCATCAATTTAGGTAGAGACGGCTTGTTAGCAGAAATGTGGGATGTCTCTAATCTCTAGAGGAATGTTCTGGTCTTAGGTAATCGCTTCACGCGTTTGCTATAAGTCATGGTCATTTGTAGTTGGTTGATATTAGGGGTTCATTATCAAAAAGGCTGAGTCAATGGTTGTTTTTTTTTTGCCTTCTGTCCCTTGATGATGGTGGACTTCTTTTGTTATTCCGATGTAGTGGCCGTGTAAGATGATAATGGGGCAAGTCGTTAAAGTATTGTGCAACTCTACTATATTTTGACTTTGGTTTTGGTGTGTAAGCATAGATGCGGCTGCTGTGAGCACAGTCCATCTGGTCATCATCAGATTAAGAAATTAGATGGCTGGGGTCATACTCTGAAGAAGTAATATCACAATACATTACTAATAATAAAACCCCAATTTGTCGTGCTTGGATAACGGTGAAGACCAAGCCATCTTCTTCCCTTATTGGGTAGCTGCTCTAGATTTTTTTTCTTCAATGTGTCCAAAATTGGCGGTTTTCTTCAATGCAGCAAGAAAACATAATTGAATATCCAAATTACATTTGTCGCTATCTATATTTGTGCAAGACCACCTGTCTAAATTGAGGCCTAGCCACTTTGCACTGCACTGAAGTTGTCATGTACTTCGCTTTTGGTCAGTTTTTCTTTGTAATTTTGGGTAAAATGTAAACCTGAAGCTCTGCAAGAGATTTGATTTTTAAGACTGAGATGTATCCATGCAGCAGCCATAATCAGATTTAAGGTGTGACATGGACATCATCTTTGTAAATATAGGTCATGTCCATCTGTCAGTGAAATGTTCTGAATATGTGCTACTCAACTAATTAATTATAAGTGCATTTGCCAAGTTTACTCTTTCCAGATATTTTTCTTCTCCAAACTTACACGTCAAAATGGATATTTGATTGTCAAGCTGCAAGCAATCTTTTGTTTTTGTCATTTCTATCTAAAGAACTGGTTAACTGTTTTTTCCTCAATTAGTTTGCAGCAAACCAAGTGGGTAATTGTATATCACCTTGTATGACCCTCTGCACATCCAAGCTAAAGACCAAGCAAGCTTTCAATCTAGATCAGCAGATTCAGCACCATCTTTATTAAAAAAAAAAAATCAATGCCCAGGGCGGTTTTGTACATGAACCTTCATTTTTCAGAAAAAGTCATTGGGTTTGTTGTGGATTGCTTCCATCTGCTTTATATTATCGTATCATGAGTGGATACATTGAATGTTGATTATCTATGTCTTTCACATTTAAACTAGTAATGGCACATTAACACAAACATCTTTCATAGTCTTATTCTATGATGATGGGAACAGCATACCGACATAATTATCCGTTGTTGTGTCGCTTTCGAAGTTCCTTTCCCTTTACAGCTCTAATTGATTTGAAACTCTCCACGCTAAGTAGTGTATATCCTTGATTGCCATGACTGCTCAAACCTCTTATTACAAAAAGATCAATGTATCATTGTTCTTTGATGCTTATACTACATTTTCTTGCGTGCAGCGAATCTGGAGACTCGGATGACGAAGACGGCAACACCTGCATCTGTGTCATCCAGTAAGCAGCCCCTTGGAGATCATCCCTGTAAATTCTCTGAAAGGAAAAACCGAAAAACAAGTGTCTGGGTCAGCCATTAGTTGTTTATTTGTCAGTAGAGAGATCAGAGAGCCCCCCATTGTGTCGTTGGTTTATCTGGAATTGTGGATGGAATTGGGTTGTGTTGTACTATCAATCAGCAGCAGCTTCACCAGTACATGTTGCACATGCATAGAGTTTAGATTTTAGAAGATTCCTGCAAAGATCTGATGATTATGTTCTTGTCTGACCTTGTTCTGGTAACCTGGTTGGGGTGTTTTGGTGGCAGTATAATGATTATAACCAGCATTGCATTAGGCTGACTGGATTGGCTGAAATGTGGGCCCCCTCTTCTGTATGCCCAGCTTGATGGGCTGGTCTGGGCTGGGCTTAGCTTGGGCCTTAGGCCGCCCAGTCTGATGACACCGTCCGGTCCGAAACTATTCGGGATTCAGACTTCCAGGCCAACTTGATTCATAAGAATCCACAGAAATTTTAGATTAAGCCCTGTATTTCTCCTGAATCCTAGTACCATTTGGACGAAAAATCCTGTAAAAATTGCTTGTGAAATTACCCTCGGCCTAGAATTTTGGGAGTATCTATGCATCTTTCGAAAGATTTTTATGATCATATCACATAGATTTTTAATCTTTGCATTAAAATCCAATAAACACAGTAAAAGATAAAAAACAACTAAAAACATCATAATGGACACTAATTACCATATCTTCAAGAAAAAGACCAAATCCATGCGAAGATAAATTTCAAAACTTACATGCGAAGATCTAAAAATTACACTGTAACTTACAAAAGTTACAATGTAAGTTTCATAAATTACACTGTAACTTACAAGAAAATGCATTGTAAATTTGAGTGAGAAAATCGAGTGAGAGATAAGAAAAAAATATTTCGAGTGAGAGGTAGCAAAATCAATAATTTTTTTGCTTGTGAAGTTAGGTCTTACACGTGGGCCCGGAGCCCCAGAGAGAGAGAGAGGGGGAATACAAAAGCAGATGAGATCAGATGACCAATCCAACAAAGCAGGAGAGAGATTTGGCATGTGGGGCCCACCGCGCAGTGAGAGAGAGAGACACGAGGCAGATGTCTCGCGTCGTGTAGTGGCCGTTTCACTGCTCCCCTCCTGGCCTCCTCCCTACCAAATCTACCCCCGCCTCGATCCCCAAAACCCGCGCCGCTCGCCGTCGCCGGAGACGGCGCCGCGCCCCCCCTCCCGCCACGCCCGCGCGCGGCATGGCCTCCGGTAGCTCGGTCGGCGGCGACTCGTACGACGAGGAGGCCGCCGCCGCCGCCGTCCCCCGCCGCCCCCCGGTCGAGCTCGACGGCCGCGGCGCCGCCTCCGACCACCGCTCTGGTGAGTGAGCTCGGGGATTTCCTTCTCCGGGGTTCAGGATCGCGTAACTGGCGAGGGCATGGTGCGGGGATTGCGGGCGAGGGATGCGGAGAATTGAGGGAGCAAACGGGATTGCATTTAAATGTGATCAGAAGTCCCGCGTTCTTAGCGTTAGTCGTGTTGTGGTCGTTGGTTTCTGAATTTATGCAATGCGGTTGCTGCCTGCAGCTGCAATGTATGAATTAGTAGAGCTCGTGGACCTTGCTTATGCATCACTGCTACAATTCAGCCACTCTTATTGTAATGTGACAGAGAGTTAACTAAATTTTATACTACAGGACGGGGTTAAATGAATGGGCTAAACGCGGCATTCTGGAGTTCCTCCCTTTTATGTATGCATTTAATCGTTTGGTGAAACAAATTGTCTATCGGAAAGGACAGAAGTATATACATTGTAATCATCTTTCTACAATGACCCTTATTGTTGTCAACGCAGAAATTTTATTTGGTTAAGCTTGTTCTATCTGTGTGGAGCATGCTAGAGATTTAAAGATATATTGGTGAAATGGGTGCCAATTACTTGAGCATGGCATTTTGTTTTCTATACTGCACTAAGGGTGAATAAATAAATATAGGGTTGTAGTAACAAATTAAGGGCATGCTAGCTTTGATTCCAAACTCAAATTTACCAAAATTTGGTAATGCCAGTTTTTGGTAGGCTGCAGGTATGTTTGGTTTGAGGCCTTATCAAAGTTTGGCGTGGTGTTAAATATGGAAGTTTCTAGAGTTAGCAGATTTTTGTATGGAAGGTCATTTGAGTGTTCAGTTTGTTGCGTTGCCAGCATTTCTTAAGGTTAGAAATGGTAGTATACCAAACTTGCCCTAATATTATGGAAGCCTTAGAGTATATATATCAGTTCTAGGTAGTGCATACATTCTTTATTCTTTGTTCCATTTTCTTGTTTGGGGATATATAAATCACGGTTGGATAAGGAGCTCTGGATTACCTTTTTCCCTTTATAGCTATAGTTTTAAGATAGAGATGGCAAAAGGAGATTGGGGACTGTTGTGACTTGTGAGTCTAGTTTCCAATATGTTCCTTCTTATTAACGTTATGCGTTTACTTGGTTGAGGACCCAATGATTGAGGATACTAGCTGATGACCCCGCTCTATAACAAGTATTTTTTTTTCTGCAAAGCTTTATATTTGGTACCACATTATTGTGTGTATTGGGTTAACTGCATTTTATCTCACTTCTCACAAGGAATTAAATGCTTTTGCCTTTTATTTCACATCCTCTCTCCCATTCTTTTCTATTGGCATCATTTTTCCCATTATATACTTATGTTGCAAAATGGTATCATCGAAATGGAAGGTTATGATGATTCATATAGGAAAAATCATAAAGTGACTGGTAAATGGTTTCTCATCAGTTTGCGCTTCGCATTCTATAGTAGTGTGAACTCACTTCTGCTTTGCCATGTTTGAATTATATTGAACAGATACAGCTTATTTCTATATTCCAGAGTTGAAATTTTGCAATCATCACAGCATACAAAGTTGCATGTAGTTCCATTCAGTCGCTATATTTTTATTCATGTGCTATATAATGTAAAAAGGATATCCTTATGCATTTGATCTTCCTAATAAATTTTATATTTGCTCACCCTCTTTCAAGATTATCTCAAAGTACTCATTACTATCATGGATTCATGGTATCTATTGTAGGATTCATTCCTAGATATCAGGTGGGCTCAAGTAAAGTTGACACAAGTGAAAGATACTTTGATGAGTGGCAAAAGAAGCTGCCCAATACAGATGAAATCCGCAAGAGCAAGCCTAGATCAAGATATTTCACAATATCTGGGGTGGAACTATCCCCAGATAATATGGCAGTTGCAACTGTGTATTTTGTGCAAGGGGTTTTAGGCCTTGCTCGACTTGCTGTGAGTTTTTACTTAAAAGATGATCTTCATCTTGATCCTGCAGAGGTCTGTGTTCCCCTCTAAATGCTATCTTTTTTGTTTTGGTATTGGTATTTATTTATGTAATCTCATTCCACCCATACAGTAAGTTGATTCCTATATAGGTCTTGATAAGTGATCAATATGTTTTCTCCCATGTAGACTGCAGTTATATCTGGCTTCTCATCCTTGCCATGGTTGATCAAGCCCCTGTATGGCTTTATCAGGTCTTACAAAAGCTCCTGCCTACAGTTCTTTCTGCTATCTGTACAGTGGTGTAACTAGAATTCTGCTGTTCTTTGCCTTTCAGTGATTCCATCCCACTCTTTGGATATCGACGAAGGTCATACCTTATTCTGTCAGGATTCCTTGGTGCTCTTTCATGGGGTTTGATGGCTACATTGGTGGATAGTAAATACAGTGCAGCATTCTCTATTCTGCTGGGATCACTTTCTGTTGCCTTCTCAGATGTTGTAAGTTTAAATTGAATATTATACGAGCTAGTTATATTTATGATCTAAAAAGTATATATTAAATGCTATATATTTCGTTTACTAGCATCACATCATGTCCATGCATTACGATGGATCCCAACTGAAGATACTATAAGCAGTATGGGTTCATATTAAGAAATGTTTCACTCGACTACAAATTTCTGCGCACATGAGCCTATCTTCCTAAATGTTTCAACTGCGTGCGTGAAGATATTGATAGTAGTCCACTTATAAATTCTGTAATGCATAGGTGTCGACAACCGTTTTAACCAAAATTTCTCTTATAAGTCACCATTATGTCATGCTACAGTCAACAGAGAACAAGACGTCATGGTTCACTATCCTCAAAAGTCAACAACTATTAATGAAATTTTATATGATTGTTTACAGTTACAAAATGGAAACAAACTGGCATTTTTTAAGTTTTCTTGAATTCTTCTCTTTTATGTTAACATGTGCTGAATCTCATCGATTGATGGCTTTTCCTCTAACTAGGTTGTGAGTAATGCACCTGTATAACCTATATAACATTGTTGTTTCATTTAAGAAGATACAGCGTGCTATTACTTATAAAAAATATATATATCTCCGGTTGAACTTTTGCACTACATTTGCTATATTCTTCAAACTGGTCAAATGCCCTAACAGGCTCTACATTGATTACATCTAGCCTAACAGAGAATGCCATTGTGCAAAGTATGACCAGATGATCTTTTTGTTAAAATAATTTCCACATCATATGTTTGGCCAAGGCTTTTGTACATCTATCTCATGAAAACGTTGCAGGTGGTGGATTCTATGGTTGTTGAGAGAGCTCGTGGCGAATCACAGAGTACATCTGGATCTCTCCAGTCACTATGTTGGGGATCCTCAGCTTTTGGAGGAATAGTGAGTGCATATTTCAGTGGTTCACTTGTGGATACTTATGGAGTAAGGTTTGTCCAAAAGCATCACTGAATCTACTGCAGTTCATCATGTATTTTAGACTTTCAGTGCTGTCCACTGATGGAAGTATTCCTGTAAACGCAGATTTGTCTTTGGTGTTACAGCTTTTTTACCCCTGATGACATCTGCTGTTGCAGTTCTTGTAAATGAACACCGTCTATCTTCAGGGGAACGTGCTATGTCACACTCTGGTTCAGGATTCATTGAGACCTCTAAGCAGCATATCCGGCAGCTTTGGACTTCAGTAAAGCAACCTAACATTTTCTTGCCCACCTTGTTTATATTCCTCTGGCAAGCAACACCTAAGTCGGATTCCGCCATGTTTTTCTTCATGTAAGTATCAAACTAACTACAATAGTAGCTCACCATGACGATATCTTGTTGTGAAGCACTTTTGAGTCCTTTTGACTGTTGTTCTGGAGTTGGTTGTAAATTCAGTAAGTAAAGCTCTCATGTCTTAGGAGAAAGGTCCGACTGTAGAAGGTCATTAGGTGGTTACTCTACCTAATGTTTATTGGAGCAATTTATTTGTCATAGGGTTTTACATACAGAGGATGTCAAATAAAAACAAACTACTTTATGCAACAAGTAAGTGGTGATTCTCGCCAACTTAATTTGGAGCATCCTTTTCATACATGTGTATTTGTTGTATTCCATCCCTCTGTAGTAGACAGTAGACTAGTCTTGCAGTGTAAAAATATATATTTTGTGAGATCAAATTCTATTATGCTGATTCAGAACCTATTTGGATCTTGGTTCCGCCAGATAGGAACATCATTTTAAATCATATTGGCTCTAGCGTATTTGTTACTCATTATGAATAATTTGTGCGTGATTAGCTGTTTCTCTATGTGATGCTTTTTTAAAATGGTTGATTTTTTCTTGTTATGTTAATGTTTTCAGCACAAATAAGCTTGGGTTCACGCCAGAATTTCTAGGACGTGTAAAGCTTGTTACATCTATTGCTTCATTGCTTGGTGTTGGGCTTTATAACTATTTTCTAAAGGCGGTTCCTCTAAGGAAAATCTTCCTGGCGACAACCATCATAGGTTCAGCCCTTGGAATGACACAGGTGCTTTTTGGTTCTATTCATTTCAGCACTGCTTCTATTAGTTTTGATATCTTTTTTTAATGAAATGGTGTATACCTTCAGGTTCTTCTTGTTACTGGGCTTAATCGGCAGTTTGGAATCAGTGATGAATGGTTCTCTATTGGGGATTCGTTAATCATTACAGTCCTAAGTCAGGTATGAAACCTTACTGCAGTTGCTGATTGCTGTAAATTGTTTTATGCTGTATAACTGGGGGTGCAGGAAAAGGTTTATTTGTTGCACAAAATGCATCCAATTGATCATTTTTGCTGCTTGCATAGTGAGATGAAACACAACACCTTATTTATTGTGCCTGTAACTGAGCTTGTGTGCAAAATGACCAGGGTGTTTTTGTTAATTACTATTGATTATACACTCAGCTCAGTTTTGGCCCTCATGTGTCTGTGACATGTGGGTCCATGTGGTAACTTGTTAATTACCACATCTAAGAGTGGCAAATAGTTGAATATGGGGGGGGCGAGGGGGGGTTATGATAACCACTTCTGAGGAGGGCATTCCCATGTGCCAATGTTCCCTAGCCAGCAAGATTGTTTAGATATCAACATGTCTCATTTTAGATCTATGCTTTAATATGTCCTCATGCCCTCAATTTCTGTCCCTGTATGTAATCTTAAGTCATCTGAATTGTTTTGTAGGCTTCATTTATGCCAGTTTTGGTGTTAGCAGCTAAATTGTGTCCACCAGGAATGGAAGCAACTCTGTTTGCCACTTTGATGTCCATCTCTAATGCTGGAAGTGTTAGTGGTGGTCTAGTTGGTGCTGGTCTAACTCAATTTTTTGGAGTCACTAAGGACAGCTTTAAGAATCTAGCTCTCTTGATTGTCATCTGCAATCTCAGTGCGCTGCTGCCTCTGCCTCTTCTAGGCCTCCTTCCAGAGGAATCAGGTAATGCAGATGACGAAGAAACAAAACATAATTGACTTGAGGATTTCTCTAGCTCTGCCCGTCCAACTCAGATACAGCCCATCGTCTTGGAGTTGAATGAATCTGCAGGGAAAGTATGAACTCATACTGCGGAAGTGCAGATAGCTTCAATTGGCCACTGCTTTCATCACTTAGGTCAAACTTTTTTTAGTCTGACCATTAACTTGCAAGCTGGTACCATGGTTCAAGATCATCAGAAAATGAGCTTCAATGCTAAACAATACAGGTATATCATTTTTTTCTCCTTTTCCATTTTACAGTTTAGCACGTATACCAAAGTCTAATTTACAATGTGTCTATGTGTACTGAGCAAGTGTTGTAATTTTTGTACTCTTTATGTTGCTGATTTAACCCCATGAAAAGTAGATGAGGGGGTTAACTATTGTAGTTAAACCATGAATTCCTTATAAATATGAATGTATTCTGCCAAAAATATGTTACACGCATTACAACTTTACTGATTTTTTTTTGGCCTCTTTGGTGACAACAGGCAGTCCTTCTGAAACAGTAATTCCTTTGACCTCTGTTCTGAGGTTAATATGAAATAGTTCCAATTTATTGGCAATTGAATAGGTACAAGATAATTCTATGTTGACCATTACGAACACTTAACCTGAAAGCTTCATGACATATTTTATATTTACCCTTTGAGTATATGCTGTGCCTCTATTTTATCTGCAGTTCCAACGAATTAGCTATCAGTTTACTATTGCATCATGACTACAATCTTAGAAGGTTATGGTCGCTATTTTCTCCATCGGCAATCCTGCCAGTATGAATTACTATGAATTTCTTTACAAAGAAGTGGAGTACTATACATTATGAACATATATGCCTCCATGTCAAAAATATTGTTTAGATTTTCTCATCAGCTTAAGCTTGGGTTAGTTGGTTGATGCATCATGCATGAAATCAAACATGGTGTTGTAAGCTTAAAGCCAAAAGGTCCTAGTTAAAAGACTTGCTAACACAGAGCATTTTCATTTGGGTTGCTCTTGTAGTTCTGTAGACTGTAGGCCACGAGGAAATGAGAAATACTGTACTAGTATAATTTCCTTGTAGCATTCAGGTTTCTGTCAACATCACCTCTACCTCATCTTCTTGCACCAGTTTATCAGCTAGATATTTAATGGTATTTAATAGTACATGGCACCATTTAGACATATGCCATAATGTCAGCATCCCAGTGTTTGGTTTGCTATATTTTTGAAGTGCTCATCTAATCAGCATGGTTGGATTATTCCAGCACATGACGGATTCTGAACGACTTATTTTCTTTCGTGGCATATGTGGGGTCAACTACTAGATGCATTATTTTGTGCCTTTCCTGATTACTAAAGTCTGGAGATTGTATTCCGATCCGATTTTTTGGATCTGATACAGCATTTTTCTGCTCCCCCTGTTCTGGATCGTTGCCACTCCATATGTTGGTAGAACTCTGAACTATAAATTATCATCATGAGCGAAATTATGAATTTGATTACAGTTGCAGTTGTATTAGTAGTACTTTTATTTGTTTGTATTATTGATTATTAATGGTTGCCGCCATGCGAAACCTTGATGGTGACAAGTGACGAGTCAAGGCCTATCGCATTTGGACAGGATATGATTATCAATTGCCGAGGTGTTTACGTGCTGATGACTTGGCTAAGCAGTAATCAAACGACAAATTATCAATTGTTCTACATGTATGTCGTCAACCGGATAGTAGTAATTACTGGCTGTAGAAAAACGTGCTTTGGAGTTTATCTAGCTTCCTTAGATGTGTGATTAGACATGTCAATGGTCAAAATTAGGACGGTTTGGGACACGGATTTTTTTTTAATTTGTCCTACACACAAAAACTTCTAACTTTTCTGTCACATCGTTCCAATTTCAACAAAACTTCCAATTTTGATATGAACTAAATACAGCCCCAGCTACGTAGAATCCTACATGGTTTCAAAATGAGCGCTGCTACAAAACGGGATCCCATTGCAATGGGATAGACAAATTAACTATTATCTTGTACGAGTATCACGTGTATTAGGTTCTAGGTATCATAGGTACTGGGTAACAGGTATCACAGGTATGGTATCGGGTACCATATAGCTAGGTATCAAGTATTAGGTATTGTCTTATAGAAGGGTGTCCTATTCCAACGGGATACCGTTGTCTAGGTTTTCTGTTTCAAAATAGAGAGAAACTAGAGAAGTAAAGGAAGAGAGTGCATTAGATTTTAAAGGAAAAATAAAACAAGGCTCATGCTTATTTTCCCATGAAATAAGGGTGTAAGAAGCTGATCCATATGAACTTCAACATCACATTCGTCTGATTCAAAGGATATAATAGGAAAATTTTCATAACGATTTTAATTCATCATAAATATTGCAGTGTTTTAGAATCTGAATAAAAATCTAGACTGTTTAGAGAAGCTTTTTGCAGTTGTAGCTTCTATAAGAATCTTTAGCTATAAGAAGCTCCCAAGCAGACTTTTATTTTCTATGGAACATAGCTATAGGAAGCTGATCCATAAGAATTTGAACAGCACATTCCTTCAATTCAAAGGACATCGTATGGTATTATTTTCAAGGATTTCAATTCTTCACAGATGCTTTGAATTTCGTTTGGAACTTCAAGCAAAAAGGAGCCTAAAAACGTTACGAGCATCTATACTCTATACAGTTTTAAACAGTAGCCAATCGCGATCAGAATTTTCCGTGCAGAGGTCACTGCCATGTGGGGTCAAAGCCGTAGTGGGTCGCGTGACGTGTCGGCCCGTGAGGACGCGGACAGGACGAACGGTGGCACACGTTCCGTGTGTGCCGCTTTTCTTATCCTATCCTGTCCAGGGCCTATAGGAATCGTCGTTTATTTTTTTGTTTCTCTTTTTTATTTCCCTCTCCTTTTCTTTTTCAAGTTTCTTTCACATTTTAATCTCTCTTTCTCCTTTTTATGAGGATATCAGAATTTAATCTCAGGCAATATTAACACGTGCGATACAATTACTACTCGTCCTCGAGTGATTACTATGGGTTGAAAATGATCTCTCTTGATGGTTTACCGCGAAATACTGGCAGTCAACAACGAAAAGCTGAAGGCCTCCTCAAGATGAACAATTACCACTAGTTCTCAAGAGATCGCTCAGAATTGAAAAGAAGCACATATGAGTTTTCTTCATGTATGACTTTGACTGTTTAGCGTGAAAATCTCGCTAGCAACTACACAGTAAGAGTTAAATGCTCCCTCAATTTCCCCAAGGATATAAGTAATTAACATGCAAAAATATATATTTAAAAAGTCATGAACATCGATTTCTTCCATATTTCATGTTATAATTATAATTTCCACCAAAACTCTTTAAAAATTTTATGTACCACATAGCCCTAACCTGGTAATCGAAATCAAAAAATTTTCCCTTGACCTAAGGGTCAAGAAAAATCCCCAAATTATAATAGGCAAAAAGTATGGCCCACTTGTCAAAGTGTCCTCTCTTATTAATCCTCATTAATCAAACCCTACTAATCTTAATCTTGGCATCCAAAATTTCCTAAATCTATGGTGACTTTATCAATTTTTTCATGATTTGTCGGTCCAGTCTTCGAACATGCTCATAGGGATAGGATTTGCGTGCACGTATTCATATGGGTAAGTGCACGTGTGTTGTGATTGTCTGCATTATACTGTATAATTGAAAAAAAATCCCAAATCCTTTTCTCCTCTCATAAATAAGCAAAATTAAAACAAAAAAAATTAAAGCATCACTACCATCACCACCACCACCGCGCTTGCTCTTCTTCCTCCCCCGTTTTCCCCAAGGCGCAAACCACCACGAAAGCCCCCGAATCCGCAGCGCGAATTTCAAAGCAGCCTCCCCCCCAACCTCCGATCTCCCGCTCCCTCGCTCTCTCTCTCTCTCTCTCGCGCGCGCGCGCGCCATCTAGGGTTAGGGTTTCGAGAGGATCCCGCTGCTTGCGAGTCCCGACCATGAGGGTGCACCCGGCGCCGCGGAAGCGCACCATCGCCGTGCAGCGGCGGTGCGGGGTGGCCGCGGCGGCGGCGGGGATGGCCGGCGGGAAGAAGCTGAGGCGGCTCCCGCACATCTTCGCCAAGGTGCTCGAGCTCCCGTTCGCCGCGGACGCCGACGTCTCCGTGGAGGAGGACGCCGCGGCGCTCCGGTTCGTGGCCGCGGCGGACGGGTTCACCCCGTCCGGCGGCGCCAGCGCCCACGCCGTCGAGATCCACCCGGGGGTCACCAAGGTTGTCGTGCGGGACCTCTCCGCCGGGCTCGACGGCGACGACGGCGCCGTGTTCGAGCTCGATCGGTGGCGGTTCCGCCTCCCCCCGTGCACGCTCCCCGCCATGGCCACCGCCACCTACGCCGACGGCGAGCTCGTCGTCACCGTCCCCAAGGGCGCCGCCCCTGACGACGACGGCGATGGCGCCGCCGCCGCCGTGCTTGGAGGCTCCGGCGTCGTCGAGAGCGTCCTGCTGCTTGTATAGTATACTTGAGCACCAGTAATTTCCACTGTTTTTGCTCACTCTTGCATGTTTTTAATATTTGTATGGTAATAACATATGGCAGTAAGGGTAACAAATAATGTATATGAATCACTATTTGCTCTGAATTTGCTCTGGCTACAGCTACATCTGATCTTGCAGTTCATCTTGCTAGTCTTGTCTGAGTTGGAGTCAACTGCGAAAAAATTAGTTTCAGTATGATGATGCTACATATGTAGTATTAGTTGGAACAGTTGGTTTGTAGATTGAGGATGAAGTAGTAGTATACAAGCATGTGTAGTTCAACTAGCTGAGTATGGTGATATTTGAATGCGAGTGGTTATATCTGAGTATGTTGATCTTGTCACGTTAGAAATCAAAATGATCTGCTTGATCAGAAGGTCTGATGAGAGATGAGAAGTCAATGGTTGTGTACACTGGAAGTGAGCGTGTCCTCGATCTCGTATCACTTGATGAGATGTATTAATGCTTTCAGTGTCTTTAACTGTAGTTACCTGCCACATTCAGTTAGCATGTCCATCTATTGTGTTAAATCAATGAAAATTGTGTCGCGTTTGGAGGTTAAGAGGTCACGGTTTGATTCAATCAGGTTTTCGTTTTCATGTTGTATGTCTTTATCTTAAGCCGGTCACAGTCTTATTATGTATGTGTTGTTTATTTTGGATTGCTGATACCTATCAAGCAATCGCTTCAAAGACCATATGCAGTTTAATCTAATATATCACAGCAGGAATATGCTTGTGTTTCATATAAAAATAATGCAATAATTGCATCCTCTAGACTAGTAGAGTGTACCCTATCACTTGCTGGGCATAATATAGTCCTAGATTTTGTTATCAACTTTATTCTAGTTTTATTCCGATATATTCACTCCCTTTTCATCTTATCTTTTGCTTCCACAAGATGCTCCATTTGCTTGTCAAACTAGCTAAACTTCTAGTGGGGTGTTACCTGAAAGACTATAGGCAGAATGTGATACCTTGATTCTTTTCCCCTAAAATTTGAGGACCTAAGGGTGCCAACTTGCAAGCTGAAAATTGGTATCGGACGGGTTGTGATTTTTACCTTTTCCATATTTACCATGTGCAAGTTTAGCAATTTCTAGCCTGATGTTAGTGACACGGAGGATGTGTACGGTGCTAGGTTGATGTTGAAGTTCTAGGTTCCTAGATCAATCATTTTCTTGAATTTAAATAGTTGTACAGGGAGAATGAACAATCCGCATCTGTTGTGTACCCATGTTTTTTTTAAAAGTTCTAACTAGGACGGTGGTGGTGGGTAGTGTAGCTAAAGCCAGTTGGCTCTGAATTTTCTTTCTTGCCCATGAACTGTGTCTTGTAAATGTGTTGCAACAGATTTTCTTTTCTTTTCTTCATCTTTACTTCATTGCTGTCCATTCTTTTGTGCAGCTGTAGAAGTATGTGTAAAGATGGTGGTGAGATTGTGACATTTCGAGCTTTTCTGAACAGAAATGAAGGTCTAGGATCGCTCTCCTTTCTCTTTTTCCCCTAGCGAAAGTGAGACAATGTCTGGATATCTTTACTTCTTTTTCCTCGTTGGCCCTAAACGAGTGCTGATATTTCTCATTTGCATAAACTAGAGACTATGAGAAGAGTAACTATGTCCTCTTGTGAGAAGAAAGTGATTGATTCTATTTTATTTGAGTCACCGCAGATGCTGACGTGTGGGTTGGGTAATGGGTACTGAGAATCTGATTTTACTCTTGGCTAGATTTCTTAGTAGAAACTTGAGTCCCTTTCTAAGTAGAGATTTTTTGTTCTTTCGTATTCAGGACGTGATGTGAACAGGCAAAAACGGACAGAAGACTTGACGTTGGTTTCGCCCTTGAGTTTTGTTTGATATTTTGATGATCGTTTTGCGAGTCTATGACGGAAATTGCACGGTAATCCACATATCCCTGGTACTCCAGAAAAAAGAGAAGAACTGGTCCGGTATGAAGAATTAGTTCTGTGCTCATGAACAAGGTCCGGAAAACTGTCAGGTATGAAAAACTACAGAGCTTTTATATTGACTCAACCCATCAAGATCGAATAAAGAAGTTTTGAATCACCGTATCATTCAAACGTGATCCACAAAAGAGAAGCACTTGGAAAAGAATTGCTTACTATGCTCATCAACATAGTCCGACAAACTCATGTATGAAAAACAGCAAAAAAAACTGTAAACCAATGCAAAAACTGTATGAATCACTATTTGAAAAACCATCAAGATCTGTAGTGTACAAATTTCATAAAGCCAGACTGACGGTGCTTTACTCCACACTGTTAACAAAGGCAGACATCACTAGCAAAAACGGTGATCAAAACAAAGTACAGTAGCTATTTTATCAACACATGGCCAGCAAAAAAAAGGTGAACAAAAAAGAAAGTACAAGAGCTATTTATCAACACATGGCTAGATATGCATGAATGAAAGCCCCAAGTGAGCACACGCACACATGCCTCTCAGGACACGAGCCATGTGCCCATACCCCACTAACATTATGGATGAACATGAGGACCATGATCACTCACTAACCTTGCCCCTACCAAACCACACAGTTCCAGCTGCACTACAGCTAAGTAACACAAGCAATAAATGTGTGTCCCAAAAACCATCAATCTCAAGTACAAAAAGGCACTAGAAGATCACAAATCAACATAACCAAGGCATTGCTAAACTAAGAATTGTCTTTGATTAAGTGGTCCATCAAGGTGCCGAAGGATTACATGATAGTTTATTTTTTTGGGTGTTTTTTTCATTGTTTCTGAACAGAATTACATAATGCAGTACAGTCTCAATGGTAGCGTACATAATTTACATCCAGGTTTCTTAGTGGTAGTACAAAGTAGTGATCTAGGCATGAGATAACCTAACACAATGCAGAGTAGAGTGCATCTAGTAGTAGTGGTAACTTAGTAAGCACAGATAAGATGAGATACCCAACCTACCGTTTGTAGTCAGTCACTACAAAATATGAGCCATTGTGCAGATTGAGTTGTCGTCGACATCATCAGTTATTTGTCATGTCATTCATCAGCGACTTTCCTGACTGATCCTACCGGTAGTAAGCCTGGTGGAAGGCAGGTGCCATTCCATTGTTGTAAGCTCCCATTCCATTGTTGTACCCGCCATAGGCGTGGGGATAGCTTATGGGAGGGGAAGAGTACGGCAAACCTGGCGCAAAATTAGTTACCTCCTTGGCTGGGTAGACATATGGCTCCCTGATCGCCGGTGGGCTTTGGTTGCAGTAGAGGCCATGACCAACCGGCCTATCGTAAGGGTAGGGGGAGGCCATGGCGTACGATGTGTGCGAGGGGGAGCGGACAAAGGTGGTGGCAGCTGGGGTAGAAGACACACAAGCATTGTTAGTGAGACGACCTGCCTTCGCAGGAGGCATCGGGCCTCCATTGCTTGCCCGGATGCGCTTAGTGGCAGGGCCACTGCTACCGCCGCTGGACGCACTTGAAGTTGCCTTTTTCTTCTCAGTCTTGGCCTTCTCCAGTTCTTCAAGCTGCCTCTGAAGGTCCTCCAGTGGAAACTCAGCTTCCAGTTTGCGATCCTCAATGCACTTTATAACAGCCCTCAGCACGGATTGCTCTTTCTTGTTTGCATTGCTCTGCAAGGTAACTAGCATTAGATTCTATCAAGCGAACAAAAAAAGTCTATTAAGTATGAAAGTTTAGGCATGACTGCAATTCCCAGGTTGCAGGGAGAGAATCTTGCCATTATTAACAGCAGAAGTTTGTGATGATTTGCTAATTTGAATTCACTAGCACAAGGGGTTAAAAAAGATAGTGTGGGATTGATAATGGACGTACCCCAGATTGACCACTGCTGGTGCTTGAATTATCTGAAACGGTGCATGAAGTCTTCTTCGAGTCCGCCAGGTAGGACTTCAAGAGAGGAACTGGGGGGAACTTCTCCTGAAGACCAGCCTCGTACGCAAAATTCACAGCATCAAGCTGCTGCCCCTTAGCAATTAGTTCCTCGATAATATCTGCAAAAAAATGTAATTACTAGTCTACTTAACTCTGGACTTGATCATGATTGATTACTTGTTTTCAAGAAACATTCCAACATTTCACCCAAGAAATGGAAAATAGTACTGTACATATAGAAGCATTAGGTATGTATGATGTATCAGCAAGGTACCCACAAGGCCACAAGGACAAAAAAGAAACCCACAACCATAGATACCATGAATTTGGAAGCAAGGACAAGAAATATTAGAACTAATTAGATACAGCTAAGCAGAGGCACTGAGGCATCATTGTTGTATCAGCATGGTAAATCAATAGAATGTGATAGGCACTTCCTGGCGCTGCAGGGTGTGTGGCACTGGAAAGTTCCAGCAACGTGATGTTAACGATACTGCAGAACAGAATTTGCCTTTCACTCTAAGGAAACGGAACTGTAGACACAAGAACCTGACGGCATCTAAAGTTTAAAGCAACAGCCCATAGACAAACTCCACTGAGAATGATGGCGATCTGGACAGGGGACACAGTTATCCTTAGGCACTTGACAAACACTAGACAACCTTTCCTAGCACATGGCTATGACAGTGACTAGCCATCCCAGCAAAAGAAGTGGTTTACTCCAAAAACATACTCCATCCTAATCATAGTGCGGTACCATTACACAGTAATGGGCAGTTCAGCACTAATTAGCACCAAAAGGCAGGTATTTTTCATCTTGCAAAACCCTTCACTTACTCTTGATCTATGGTTCCACGCCAACCATCAGATTTCTACGAGCAACCAAATGTTAGATCTAGACCAATTTACACAATTCTACACTTGGCACCCACCAATTAATCATGTGAATATCCCTAGAGGTCCACCGTTTCAGAATTTGATGTACACAACCCGTGAAGAACTAGCAACAACAATAATAATGTACTACTACTACATTCGTCCTAAAATATAAAAGATTTTGGCTATGCGATTATTTTGGGACGGAGGTAAGTAAAATGTGAGACGAAACACAGTTGCAAGCAAAGCAAGCAAGAAGAGAGCATATACCAGCCATGTCTTCTTCAAGGCCGAGGGTGAGCGCGAGGCGGGGCATTTGTCGGCGCCACGAGAAGCTGACCACAATCCTGCGGTAAATCCCCCGGTCCTCCCTCTCCGCCACGGCGAACGTCGCCACGTGCTGCAGGAAGGCGTGCGCGTCGGGCGGCTTGGTCCACTCCACCCCGCCCTTGCGCTCCGCCGCCTCCTTCCACTCCCTCGCCATCCCCCGCGCGCGCTCGCGCGCCGCACGCGGCACCAGTAGCCTTGCCGCCCCAATCTCCGGGTCAGGATCGGCCAGCGCCGGCACCGCCGCCTCCAGGATGAGCACGCACGCCCAGGCCAGGTCGGTGGGGTTCTTCGCCTCGCGGCGGTCCACGGGGAACACGTCGGCGACCGCGTCCATGACGAATTTGGCTGGATCCACGCAGCACTTGAGCGCGGGCGGCATCTCGGCGCGCAGCGCGTCCACCTCCTTCCGCCGCGCGACCACGAACCCGAAGAACCCCGCGGAGTCCATCCTGGCGCACATCGCCCTCAGGCTCTCGGCCACCCCCTCCGCCGCCGCGGCGGCGTCGGACGGCACCGACGAGGCGGAGGCGAGGTCGTCGAGGTGGTCGAGCGCGCGGGAGACGGAGCCATCGATGGAGGCCTCGCGGCGGCGGAGCGAGTCCATGGCGGCCGAGGCCCGCGCCTCCGCCGCGCGGCGCTTGTGGCGGAGCGAGTCCGACCTCGCCGCCAGCCCGCGCTCCAGCGACGCGAAGTGCTCCTCCAGCTGCTTGTACAGCCTCGTGCAGCTCGCCAGCAGCTGCTGCTGCCGCTCCAGCTCCGCGAACCCCGCGCTCACCGCGTCCCCCTCCGCCGCCGGCGAGGCCATGTGGCCCGCCTCGAAACCCTAGCCGCCGCCGCCGCCTTGATCCGCGAAACCCTAGCGAGAAATTCGTCGGCGATGCGAGTGGGCGTCCAAATGGAGAAGGGGAAAGGGAGAGGTGGGAATAAAGAGTGGGTGGGTGGAGACGAGGATGGAGGAGGCGGACCAATCAGGAGGCGACGCGTGGCAGCTGCGCCTACTGTAAAGCGCTGGGATGTGTGAGCGAGTGACAGGTGGGGTCGAGCTACGTGGGCCCGGTGCGTCAGTGATTGGGGTAGGGTGGGTTTGGGTGAGAGATGGTGGTGGCGGGAACGGGAGGTGGACTCGTGTTACGGGGTTGGTGGGTGTTTCAGTGAGTGACAGGTGGGGTCGGATTATGTGGGCCCGATGTGTCAGTGAGTGGTGTGGGGTGGGGTGGTGGGGGTAGAGGTGGAGGGAACGGGTACGAGCTGGGTGCACCCGATAAGCGCACACGGGTGATTGATTGGTTCGTTAGGATGGCTGCTGCCGACGCTGCCTGAATAAGAGCACCTGCAATGATAAAGTAGGTGTTATCTATAAAATATAAAACATGTACATCTCAACAATAGACTAAATTAATAGTAAATCATCTCAATATTATGTCTACATGGGTATCTATAGCTCTCTAATACATTGCCTCGTTTTTCTCTATAGACTATCTACAGGTTAGTAGATAGCTTCACTCTCTCTCTTCATTTAATCTCTTCCAGGTAGGAAAATATGCTGACATGGATCTCTTATAGAGAGCTTATAGATAACCATTGCGGATGCCCTAGCCCTAAGGGCAGTCCCAACCCATAACACTAGACATGGTTTCCATAAACTCTACATCATAAAAAAAACTAGTACTGGACACTACTCTTCCAATGCAAACACTACTATTCCATACTCCCTCCATTCCAAATTGATCTACATATTTCATAGGTATACCAAGACCAAGAAAAGCTAATAACTCTCTTATACTATATTTACTCTAGCAACAAACTTAATGCATGCACCATCCCCACTATTTTCTAGCCAATAGCAAATCAAGATATTGCATGTGGGTTATAAATACTTGTGTGCATGGATGCATGCATCAATGTCCATTTACTCCAATGCACAAATAACGAATAGACCTAATGAATGAACACAAATATGTAGATCATTTAGGAATAACCTCAAAAAACTATATGTAGATCAATTTGGAATGGATGGAGTACTTCAATTTAATGCTACTTATCTCATATGATGTCTTGGATGTTGTGTAGAAACCATGTCTCTTTACTTATTTATTCACTTGCCACATCATTTTTTGTCCTAGGTGGTAACTTATTTAATGCTATGGACATCATCCTAGTCATTGGGTTGGGAATGCCCTAACCACCCTCTTACCAAATTGGCCACAGTAATTCCTTGACTTTGATGGTAACCAATGCTGCCCTCTTTTTGATTATCATCCTTGTTGGAATAGTTTAGGACTTGATGCTTCACCTAACTGTAATATATATATAATATATAATGTTCGATAGCATTCATTCGATCGTGGTGCAGTCAGCCCGTACAACGCTTTGTGTCAGCAGCTACGATAGTAACAATGCATTGCGATGGTTGTACCTTTGCAGTCGAACATACTCTTTCATTCAAAGTTTCAAACAAGCAGAAGCGGATGGACAACTGCCCATGATTTTTGTAGCGATAAACTATAATGAAAATAAATTAATGTGGATAAATTACTTTGATGGTTAAACTTGTTTCTATCTATATAGTTTAAACTAGGGTTTAGAAAACTCCCACACCACTACTACCAACAGCATTGAGAATTGTGAATGAATAAACATACCTCTAGCAATTTGATTAAACTCCGAATGCTTTTGTTGTCATAAGAATTGTGCTTTCATCCATTGGTAACAAGATCCTCCATTATTGATGATGCCAACTCCAACTTCAGCTAGTCACATTTGATCACACGTTCAAGAGATGTGTCCTGGATCCATTCATTGGAGTTGATAATGATGGTTGCATTCATGATTAGCACATCCAATTCATGAGGATTATTCCCACAGATGCACACGCCCACATGCTTTGGTATCAATAATTAGAATCTTTTTTATTTCAGACATCACATCTATGTAGAAAAGTTAAGTACACGGATTGTAATTTCTAAATCTTTAGATGTGATTTATCTCCTGCATTAACTTAAGCTAGCCAAATTGCCCATGCGATGCTATGGGATTCCAGAAACAAAAGTTGAAACATGAATGTCTATAATTTTTATAGTTATAAACATGTATAATAAAATACATTAAGTAATTGACCAATGACAGAACTTGATATTCTCATGTAACTGATAAACCAGAGGTGTATAGAGGATCCTGAGTGCTAACATGGTCATGCTTGCACAGTTGCACCTCCCTACAAACCTATAACCAGCATAGTGCAACAAAGCATAGAAAATTTGCTCTTTATCGCTCGATACGATCTATCTGTTGCTTTGATTCATGAATATGGATTATATAGTACTGAAAATGTTTTAGTTTCTTCTAGAAAAAAATGAAAGAAACCCGCACACAAAAAAAAGGCAACATAATCCGTTCGATCCAATCCCATACAATTATTGTTGATATTTTTGAATTAGATAAAGGATAGGTTGAAAGATCCCCCTACCAAATATATATTGCATTTTTTTTAACTGTACTCCGCTAATCCGAAACACTCAATAAATACATATGACACCTTCTAGTGGAAAATGTGAGTCATCAACAATATCATCTCTCCAAAAATATTATATTTTGGGACAAAGGTAATATAATGATTTGCAGTACTTGTCCAAGAGTTACGGCTATACACCATGGTGGATTGTATATTGTGCGACCGTTGCATATGAAGTTTGTTTTGTAATGCCTGGTTTATTTCTAGGTTTATTATTAAATGAATGGTTTTCACGTGTAGATGGAGTTAGCACGGGATGCATGGGGAGACCGAAGAGGGGTGTGGGAAGATAGACGAACCTACCCTTATAAAAATACTCCCTCTATTTCTTTTGGCGTTGGTTAGCTCAAAATTAAAATTACCAACGTCAAATATTTGGGGAAAGAGGTAGTAGTATAGAAAGGTGAGTTTTTTCCCGGTTCACAAGAAATAAGTTAGGTATTTGTACTTCCTCCGTTTCACAATGACTTATTGTGAAACAGAGGAAGTAATATTTATCAAGGGGGTACAATAACTTGTGAAAAATATATAAGCAGCATTGCTCAAATTTGTGCATTTTCTCCACTTTTTTTTTGGGAGTAACCGATAACTTTATCTTAACAGCCCAGCTAAATCGTTGGCTACCAAACGATCAAACCAGGAGGACAATTAGCCTAGTAGGACGCGTTTTGGAGATTACATTACAACCCATAGCAGCAAGAGCGTGAGGCGTGAGCCACCTTGTTACATTCCCGGGGACAGTAAGGGGCTGTTTGGTTGGTGGCCTCAGTTTGCCACACCAAACCTTACGCGTGCCACAATTTTTCAGACTAGTGTTTGGTTGCGTGCCGCAGTTGAGTCAAGCTACACTTTACTAGCACATTAGCCCACGCGTCATACTCTCATTTGCTAGCCAAAGTTTGACATAGTTGTTGTTGGCCACACTTTGTGTGGCTTGCCACAGTTATGGCAGATCGAGCTATAGCAAAGTTAGCTTCCATCCAAACAGCCCCTTAACTAACAAAAAGAAATGGATTACCCCTCCTACCGCCGATAAATGGAAAGAATTAATTCTCCTGGATTGCGTTCCTCAACATCAACGAATCCGTTTCCAGCTCAACTCTCATCATCCCCCTCTCGCTTGCTGCGTTGAGGGCTGCTGCACAGGCAAGGACTTGGGCGTGGAAAGCATCCAAAAAATGTTCTGCTCCACCTGCTCCTGCTTGAACAACAGCTCCTGTCCAATATCCCTTATCACGTAGCCCCAACCTCCTTGATTGGTATTGCACTTAAAAAGCACCATCAGTATTGATCTTCAGTGTGTTCTGAGCCGGCAATTTCCAGGCCATTCTATTTCTTCCCCTATCGATCATATCCTTCTGGTTCATTCCCTTCCGATTTGTGCATCTTCTCTAGTTTCATTGAGAAACCAGGATCATCTCTTAAGCCTCGTTCCCTTCTGATTACTCCCTTTATCCCAAAATAAATACAGTTTTGGTACTGTTCATGTCCAAAGTTTGACCGTTCGTCTTATTTAAAAAAAATTATGATTAGTATTTTTATTGTTATTATATGATAAAATATGAATAGTACTTTATGTATGACTAATTTTTTTTTAATATTTTTCATAAATTTTTAAATAAGACAGATGGTCAAAATGCTGAACACGGATATCTATGGCTATTTATTTTGGGACGGAGGTAGTACCAAATATGCCCTGAATTTGTGCGGTTGTTGATATAACTAAACGGGCCTTTATCGGGCCTTCGGCCCATGATCTCTCTTCCTCTCTGCTTGATTAGTACTCCATAATTTTTTTTTTGTTTTATTGTTCTACTACTCTTTCTGGAAGAATAATTAGTATGCTGCTAATCATTATCACGAGATGGCGATGGCGATTTGGTAGATTATTGTTGATGCGATTCCAAGATCAGCATCACCGGCGACAGAGAACAGAATCAGAATATCAGATACTCCAGTAGTCAAATATTGGGCTGATAAACGATGAGAGACAAATATCAACGATGCTACTGGCCAAAGTTCAGAATCCAATGTTACTGGATTTGGAATATACTACCTACCTGGGCTCCTGAGGGAGACCGAGCTGGATATGTACTGTACAAGCTGATAAAAAATGGAAATATTTTAGGCTTTTTCCATTTTTGGTTCCTATATATAGTATTCCCTCCATCCTAAAATGTTTAACGCTGTTGACTTTTTTAAAATGTTTGACCGTTTGTCTTATTCAAAAAATTTAAGTAATTATTAATTCTTTTCTTATCATTTGATTTATTGTTAAATATACTTTTATGTATACATATAGTTTTACACATTCACAAAAGTTTTTGAATAAGACGAACGATCAAACATATTTTAAAAAAGTCAATGGCGTCAAACATTATAGGAAGGAGGGAGTAGTAATTAACATACTCCTAGGCCAGAAGTTGATGCTGAGAGTTCTGGAACATTCGTTTCCAGCTTGGAACTAGCTCATCATATAAATATCGTTTTTTTTTGACAAATTGATTCGAAAACTTATTTCAAAATTAGAACATGCAAAAAAAAAAGAAAAAAAAACTCCAAGGCGGTTGGCGCGTCGAGACTACATCCTTTTTGTTTGAAGTTTTTTCGTGCTTTAGTCTCGAAATAAGTTTTCAAAAAGGACCAATCTATCAAAAAGAAAAGGATAAAACTATTATGCAGATTCTAATTTATTCGTGTATAGTCAGTTGCATTTTCATTTGCACACATTGTAAAATTCTATCCGTTTCTCTTTCGACCGTAATTTGCCGTGCCGATTGAAATTGTAAGCTTGCGAGAATGGTACCAAACGAAATTACCATCAATGCAATTTGAAAAGAGCACTGCGAGCTTGCACATTGATATGTCGGAATTTCTCTGGAAATGTTACTCTCCCTGCTCATAAATATTTAATGCGTACGATAAAATTTAGTCGAACGTTTAAAACTTGGATCAATGATCTCTCGAATGCTTAATATGAGAATAAAAAAAAGAAAAGTCTATACGTACTAACTTTTTCTTACTAAATTCTTACTAACACTGATGTGTCATGCTATGAGTGCATCTAGATTTTTTTAACTTCCATCTACTTAAATCAAACGGTTGAGATGATTGTTAGTAAAAGTTTATTAAGAAAAATTTAGTACGTGTAGCATTGCTCTAAAAAAAATGGTACATGTAGATTTGTCTTTAATAAGTGCTATCATAATATTATAAATTTATTATACTCTATTTGTAAACTTTTTTGATATGAAATTAATCATTAAAGTGATAAAAGTCTGTTGTAAACGTCAATATTTATGACTAGAGATAGTATTTTATTGTTTTTTTCTGAAAAATGTGCACATAGTTTAAAAGTAAAACTAGCGGAAAAATTTATTGATGGTAATTATTATTGTTTGAATTAAATATAAGTAGTAATTCGTCAAAGAGATTTTAGGTAAATAATATGGACGCTGTCTTCCACGACGTCCAGAGACGGACGCTGTTAGAAAGAGCTCTTGGTACTGGGCCGCTGTTCGCAACCGCGTGCAGCCGTAATGCCCGTGCCACCAAACCATGGAACGCCCACACACATACCGGATTGAATGTTGCTCGTCTACTGTATCGCTGCCATCCCATTCTCCTTCGTCGTTTTCTCAATTCTCGACTACTGCGGTTTCGCGCTTTGCCATTGTCTTTCTCTCGCGGCGGATGACAATGCAATCTACCAGAAGTCCATTATCATTTGCGACAAGTGCAAATCTTTTTTTTTAAAAAAAAAACTCTAACGCAAATTTGGTGAAAATTTCTCTCAGGACATATTAAAATTTTACTAGAGTACCACTAAAGAGCAGTTTTGGAACGACATCTCTCTTCTTCATCTAAAAAACAAGTATAAGCAACACATGCAGCATCAAGATATTATCTTTTAATATGTATGATACTTAAAACATTATGTTTTAAGGATACCTCACATTTTTCTAAACAAAACTGTACCGCATTTGTCACATATAAAAAATAAAGGAAAATGCTACACACACGACTACGGCGTCCGACTGTCGTACGACCACAGCGTATGCGACGTAAGTGACGTGATCTATTTGGGCTCCGTTGTGATTCTCCATCTCATTGGGCCTTCGAAAAGCCCAAGTCGAAGCTAAGCAGCTAAATAAACGTTTTCTTTGCATATCTTGTGAAACAGTGATCAAACTTGGTTGTAGTCTTGTGATTTCATTCGGTGAACTAAACAGAACATTTGCATGTTTTATTTTTATTTAAGAATTAGAAACTATGCCTGTGGTGGACATCATTGCATTTATATTTTGTTTAATGCAACTTGTTATAGCCATAAAAATAGAACTTGAAACTGTGGTATATACTCTCTCCGTTTCATATTATAGTCGTTTGATATTGATCAAAGTTAAACTACTTTAAATTTAACTAAGTTTATAGGTAAATATAGTAATATTTACAATATCTTGGGTTAAAAATGTTACTACTTTTTTCTATAAACTTAGGTTGAAAATGTTACTACTTTTTTCTACAAACTTGATCAGACTTCAAGCTGTTTAACTTTGATCAAAGTCAAAGATACTTATAAGCTGAAACGGAGGAGTATATTAAGTGGGTAAAAAAAACTTGTCTGGAAAATGAGCATTTGTAGCTGTGAAAACATTACAAGAGAATGTTAGAGATCGAAGTTAGCAGGCAGTGATTCAGATCGACCAAAACTCCAGCAGAACTGTCATGGAGCCATGTCCGCCATGTTAATGCTGTCTTCCTGAGTTTGGGCTTAGAGTCTAGACTTGTATATGGCCTTGCATGGCATTGGACCGATTCATGTATAGAGAACGCCGTCACGTTGTTCGTTGTTGCCGTTTCAGTCGTACGGTAGTCGGATGATTTGCGTCGGACGTATAGCAGGGTTGAAAAATAAAACAAATCACATTATAATTTAAAAGGTATACTTTACTATCTCAAACTATTTATTTAGGTATTCCACTTTGATCCTAAATAATTTATAGGCTCAATTGACCATCTAAACTATTAATAATGGTTTACTTAACCCTTAACCCAATTTCGCTAGGTTGTTTTCGTCAACATGGCAATTTTGATCAAACATGCTGCTAGATCATGCCAACGCCAATGAACTATTTGGCGATGAATTCTCTTACTTCTTATGTTACGCAAGCCATGATTCTATGAGATCACTACACACGTGTGCATGGTTATGACCTGCATTGATCTTAGCAGCATGCTTCATTAGCACAGTCGCTCATGACTTATGAGTAGACGATTTCGTTATAAATAGCCAACAAGAGAGCGAGCAGGCTAGGCACCCGAAGGCAAACATATGTTTGGCATGGTCATCATTGAGAATAGCGGTGAGATTGCTAATGGATGGGCACTATATTAGAGTGAGAAGGTAAGGGACCTTGCATAAGCGATGAAGCGTTGAACATCACACCAAGATAGACGTGGCGAGTATTGTCTTTCTTGGCCTATATGGCTGAAATTGGGTTGTGGGTGACATGTGCAACCCATGTGCTATGACTTGGTAGTGAACCTCGCCAGCTCATTGATCTGTTTATCTGTTTGATTAAAACCAGTGCCACACGGGCAAATGGCCTAGCAAAATTAGGTAGAGATCCAGTAAACCAATATTAATAGTTTTAGGGTTGGTTGAGCCTTTTTTTCTTCCATAAAGTGGATTACCTCAAACTAAGGCACTGTTTAATTCAGCTTAGGATTATTATAATCTGGACTATTAGAAGTAAGCTGAAACAAACAGATAGCTTATTATGATAGATTATTATAATTTATAAGCTAGATTACTATAATATGGTAATCCACTCTAAAGATGCTCTTTTTAAGATTACTGGGTGGCTAAGAGCTAACAAACAATTAATAATCTAGGGAAATAAACGGCTAACAACTTATACTACGTCCGCTTATTATAATCCAGATTATGATTATAGTAATCTAGCTCAATAATCTAGATTACAATAATCTTAAACTGAAATAAACAGGGCCTAAATGAGGTAATAAAGTAGACTTCTTTTTTCTTATAATTAAGGATTAGAGACTAACATATGTAAGCAAGGGTGATTCATTATCTTAAGAAAAAAACAAGGGTGATTGAGTCAACTGAGCGTCATCCTCCTCACTATCAATAGATAAAAATATAAAATGTGTTGGAGATATACAATATTGATAATAATCTAATAATCTATAATTTTATACTATAGTTATTTTAGTTAGTGAGGGATAATTATGTTGTCAATGTTTTTTATTCTGACCGTGGACATATAAGACTAACCTATCAGCGTTAGGGATTATCACTCCTCTTTTTTAATTGGCTATTGTTAATTATATGGTCAAATGTACTAATTTTTAAATTTTCCTTTTGTCTCTCTATACATAAATATCTAATTTATATACATTAACCGTCATGAAAACAATAGCACATCAACCCGATCAACGAACACCTTCCAATAAAAAATATAGTAAAGAGCTGTGAGAGATACTCACAATTATTTCAACGTTAGATAAATCGACAATATACTCATTGGCACGTGGTTAGATCGTTGCCTCTTGACATAGAGAGTGATCACAAGCGAAATATTTATTCGGAATTTTGGTATATTCTGAATTGAAATTGTTCCAAATACAGTGCTAAAGGCTAACATTAACCACTTCCATATTATCAGGGAAGAATTATAAACGGAGATTTCCAAATGTTGCCAAAACTAACACTAAAAACCGTAATCAAATTAGGTAAAAGGGCAAATATCTAATTTCCCATTATTTGTTTGTTCTATTCCCAGACGGCCGCAACCCCTCCTCTCTCTCTCCGCCTTCTCGACTCCATCGATTCCACCCCCTACTCTCCCATCTCCTCTGCTTCCGATCTGCGCCGCCGCGGCGGGAGGGTCTCCGGCGAGGTCAAGGCCCCCCCCGTCTCCGGCGAGATCGTCGCCCGGACCCTCCACCTCTCTCGGTCGGTTCGGGGAGGAGGCGACGCGGCCCGGCCGACCTCCTAGTCGGATCGGATCGAATCGAAGGTATCCGGATTGGATTGGTGGTCGTAGATTAGATTGGGAATCCGTCCTTGCCTGGATTGGTTTCCTTCTCGATTATTAATAACTCGTGTAGTAGTTTTTCTTTTTTTTTCTTCTTTTTTGGATTGATTGATGCGTGGATGTGGTGCTAATAGCGGCGGTTTTTGCGTTTGCAGTGGAGAAGATTGGGGGTTTAGGTGAAATCCCATGCCACCGGTTGCGTCCGGCTCCGGCCGGAAGAGGCAGCTGGTGCTGGAGTCCAGCGATTCGGAGGCGGATGAGTTCTTTGTCTCGACGCGGCGCAAGGAGGATGATGATGATGATGCCGGAAATGCCGGCGGCGGAAGCGGAGGAGGTGGTGATCAGGGTGGGGAAAAGGTGGTGACTGTTAGTCCTGAGAAGGTTTCTGGTGCCAAGTCTACTGATGAAGGAGGTGGTTCAGACAAGAGCAAGGGAAGTGAGGTGGGTAAGAGTGTTTTGCAACCTGATGTGAAGAGGATCAGAACTGAGGCTGCCCATGGTGGCGGCAGCGGAAGCGGTGGGAGTGTATCGAAGGATGGAACCGGCGGGAAAATGCTGCGCCCGGGGTTCCCCAAGTGGCGATTTGAGAAGCCGGAGGTAAGGGCAGGGCGGGTTCTTGATGAGAAAGGTGGGGTCGAGACGAAGGTAAGCAGTTCCCAAAAGGTTAAGGACCATGCATCGAGTTCGGTTTATGAGAGAAGACGGCCAGAGCCACTGAAACCTGAGAAATCGACGCCATCGAAGACTAACCAAGAGGTTATAAGGGTACAAGGGAAAAGCGGTGTCTTAAAGATCCGTCCGAAGAACAATAAGGTGGCTAGTGAAACTGGTGATGGCAAGAACCTGCCGAAGAATGCTAAGGTGGATGGGGATACTGGTGATGGCAAAGTTCTGCCAAAGAAGACTACAGTGGAGGAAAATGGTGATGGAAAGATTTTGACCAAGAGTGGTGTTTTAAAGCTCCTCCCAAAGAACAATAAGGTGGCCAAGGAAACCAGTGATGGCAATCCTCGAAGCAAGAACACTAAGGTGGTTGGGGAAACCAGTGACGCCAAGATTCTGATGAAGAACAAGGCGAATAGGGAAAGTGGTGATGATAAGGCACCGAAGAACTGTACGGTGAATCTAGAAACTAGCGCTGGCAAGATTTTGTCCAGAAACACTAAGGAAGATTTGAAAACCAGCGATGTCTGTAGACAAGATAAGGAGAAAAGCGATGCAATTGATGTGTCCCAAAAACAGGGTGCAGATGGTGAGAAGAGAATCACAGAAAAACTAGTCTCCCCCATCCTATTGAGGAAAAGTGACCCAAGTGTAGTGGGAATTTCTTTGGGCCAGAAAATGAAGCAGCAAAATTCAAAGGCGCAACTGAAGATATCCTCACTAGGCCAACGTCAGCCTTCACTTAATTTGAAAGATGAGAAGAATAAGAAAAAAAGATTGCTTGATCATAAAATGTCACCAGAAAATTTGTCCAAGAAAGCAAAACCAAATGCCATTGATCAGGATACATCTCGTCCTTCTCTTGAGAAGCATGGAATAAAGAAGGAAAGGAAAGGGCCTCGTTACACAATGAAGCAGAAGCTCAGGGGTCAGATAAAGGACATTCTTTTAAACAATGGATGGAAAATTGATCTAAGGCGCAGGAAAAACAAAGATTATGAAGATTCTGTCTATGTTTCTCCACAAGGAAATGGCTATTGGTCAATCACTAAGGCTTATGCTGTGTTCCAAGAGCAGTCTAAAAGTGGGAAGCATACAGGTAAATCATCTAAGCATAAAGCAGGTGTTGCAGATGCTGCCTGTAATGCCATATCAGAAAATGATTTAGCAATGCTACAGAGGAATGTGGTGAAAAGGAGGACCAAGAAAGAACTTGGTGCTTCTAAAAAGAAGTATGAGGACAGCAGCAGCAGGAACTCCAAAGACAACAATGCTGGTAGAAGTTCTGGAAACAAGCATCAAAGCAGTGGAGTTAGGGGATGTGCGCTTCTTGTCCGTGGTAGTACTCATAGCATGGAAGGCAATGTGGACGGCTATTTTCCTTATCGATGGAAGCGGACAGTTTTATCATGGATGATAGATATGGGGGTTGTTTCTGAAGATGCAAAGGTCAAATATATGAATAAGAAGGGCACACGGGCAAGGTTGGAGGGTAGAATTACTAGGGATGGCATTCACTGCGGATGTTGCTCTAAGATTCTCACAGTTGCTAAGTTTGAACTTCATGCTGGTTCAAAAGAGCAGCAGCCCTATGAAAACATCTTTCTGGAAGATGGTGGGGCTACGTTGTCACAATGCTTAGTTGATGCGTGGAAGAAGCAATCACAATCTGAAAAGAAAGGGTTTTACAAGGTAGATCCTGGTGATGATCCGGATGATGATACTTGTGGCATTTGTGGTGATGGTGGCGATTTGCTCTGCTGCGATAACTGCCCTTCAACTTTTCACTTGGCTTGCTTAGGAATCAAGGTAAGCATGCATATAATGTTATGTACAGGAGCACTCTTATTGTTTATTTTATAAATAATACACAGGAGAAAGTGCATCCTCTCTTTAGTTGCTCCCTCTGTTGTGTCAAAACTCCAAACTATTTCAGTTCCTCTGAAAAATACAGTAATACACAGCTGACTTAAAACCCCAGCATATTTAGTTCAACAATTATCTGAGAAAGCTATAAGCAATTACATGAATAGCATTTCCTCTAGACGGAGCCTATCAGTTCTTTCCATTAGCTGTTTGTTAGCTATCTAGTATGATAGGCTAATCGTTTAAATGTATCTCTCAGGGTAACATGTCAAGCTTTTGCTGATATTTGCTTTATTCAAACTTCTTCTGCAGATGCCTTCTGGTGATTGGCATTGCAGTAGCTGTATATGTAGGTTCTGTGGTTCTACCCAAGAAATAACAACATCGTCTGCTGAGTTACTTTCTTGTTTACAGTGTTCAAGGAAATGTAAGGCTCCTGATATGCACTCTCTCTCTCTCTCTCTCACACACACAAATGTTTCTGTGCTTCGGAAGTATTATCTTAAACAATAATTTTGCAGATCATCAAGTTTGTGCACCTGGAACCATGAAAGACTCTGTTAAAGCTGAATCCAATTCCTCAACTGATTGTTTTTGCAGCCCAGGATGTAGAAAGGTATCATATTTCATTTAATGCTGTTATCTGTTATGGGGAATTGAGGATCTTGTTTGGCATTGGCCTGCATCAGGTTGTCTGTTGTTCGCTAGGTAGCTCCCCTTCAGTTTTATTCTTATAGCAAAACACATCCTGCCAAGAAGCTACTACAAATGGTCAGCACTTACTAAACATTACCTTGTTCATGATCGATTAGCAGCACACACCAAATTTGGACTAAGTTTAAGCTTGCACGATTTTTCTGTTAGGGGTGTTGTAATGTACACATTTCAACCTGGTTAGTGCCCATTAATCCAGAGAAATGATGTTTGATTGCTTCTTTTTGTTGGAATATTTCATATGTTGAATCTCCCAGAGGTGCTGGGATCTGTAACATTGACACCTGGATTTGTGCCCATTAATCCAGTTGAATTGCTATTCCCCTGCTTGCACTCAGAATGTGTTGTTGTTCCCCATGCAACCTCCTACATCATAACGAACCATGAAATTTGCATTTACTGCTCACATGATCTCGACTAGTGATAGAAAATGTTGTACAGATAAAAACTTGCATTTGTTATGTTGATCATGTTTGCTTTGATTGTTGAAATTCATGGACACTAAACTACTCTTTTCATGGAAACAACACAGATTTATAAACATCTGAGAAAACTACTTGGGGTAAAGAACGCTATTGAGGCTGGATTTTCCTGGAGCCTGGTTCGCTGTTTTCCTGATAAACTAGCTGCACCTCCCAAAGGGAAAGCTCATTTGATACATTGCAATTCCAAGACAGCTGTTGCTTTCTCAGTTATGGATGAGTGCTTTCTGCCACGTATTGATGAGAGAAGTGGGATTAATATAATCCACAATGTCATATATAACTGTGGGTAAGTTGCCTTTGCCTTCTTGGTTCATGTAAGAATCAATGCAAATGAAAACCTACTTGGCTTTCTATATGGTTTCCCATAGTTAGCTGCACTTCAAATATACTTGGAAGTTAGTAATGTTACTTTTTTAATCTTCACTGTCAGTCCAAGTTTGTAAGGGCAAGTCAATATAAAAGTTGAGCAGATTGAGTTCATGTCCTGTAGAAAGTTTTATTTTGGAGATCACTATGACAATATTAAAGTTGTTGCAGGGCCTACTATAATTATTTATTACCCATTAGCATAAACTAAGATGTGCTAACATTGTCTTGGATTTTTATATGTTCTCATTGAAATTCTGTGATATACTATTGCAGGTCAGATTTCAATCGTTTAAATTTTAGTAAGTTCTATACATTTATTCTGGAGCGGGGTGATGAAGTTATATCTGCAGCAGCTGTCAGGTAAATTTTATATTCATATGCTCTATGCTCCAACACTTTGAAGCTGTTGGCATTGGTCGCAGGCATCGCCACCTCACGATCTGTTGTGCTCATGATTAATCAACCTAGCATTTGGCTGCAACATATCTATGCATTGAAATTTGTTTAGGATAAGCAGTTAGTCATCTCTTTTTTTTGTTCAAGTTTGGCTTCCAACAGAACTGTTGTTTCGAAAAGAGATTATATTTGCCCCTCACTCTTTAACCAACTGCAACTCCATCCATGATGACATATTGTGCAGCTGGCATACTTAGCCTTCACTTGTTATTTTGCAAATTCCAATGATAAAATGCTTATTTTTTCTCTGTGTGAATCAGGATTCATGGAACTGACTTAGCAGAAATGCCATTCATAGGAACAAGGGGCATATATAGGCGCCAAGGGATGTGCCATCGGCTACTCAATGCAATTGAATCGGTAATATGGCGTTTCTTTTCTTCTTTTTTCTGTTTGGAGCTGTGTAAAAGCTGGTTTGTTCCACCAACTACTAAAGATTTCTTGTTTCATCATTTCCAAAGATTTCACATGTAGGTGTAATACTATTGGAAGTATGTGTCCCAATTTTTTCTAGAATTTTTTGTGACATTTGCTACTTGGTGTGCACGGAGTGTGCACGGGAAGCTTGTGTGCATAGGATATATTCCCTTATCCCCCTTATAATAGTTCCAAATCCCCAGTTTAACTGTATGATTGTTGCTGGGAACTGGCGATCCTGCTGTCACTGGGAAATGCTTTTTTCTTAGAGACCTCCCATTTTAGATGTTTTCAATTTTTTACTCTATTTGCTTTGTATGTCGAAATCTGTTGAAATTGTAACTAAAAACGAGAAAATAAAATGAAATGTGACAAGGACTGAGCTTGGTAACTGCCTCCTACCAGGCCCTGTCCCAAGAAACTTGTCCTGAAGGGGCCTTGCTGTCTTGAAAACTTGTTCTAGGTGAACATCATTATATTTGTTGTAACTGTTATGTACGTGCAAAACTATATATGTATTCTCTTATGTCTTTTAAGGTAAATGAGGTGTTGTAGAAAGGTATGAAGTATTACTTCAGTTTTAGCTGATGATGATAAAGTGATACTTCGTACTTAGTTGTTTACTTTTCACTTGAAGCTTTAGCTTCATGTTTGAGTTGTACAAACTAGATTTTGATATTGTTGAGCAATATTTTTCCTTGTTTGTTTTGATGTACCAGTGTTTTCTTTGTTTCATTTTCGGACGAGTTTCTAATATTTTCATGGGTAATTTATTGTTTTGTAGGCCCTTTCCTCCCTGAATGTTCGAAGACTAGTAATACCTGCCATACCTGAATTGCAAAATACCTGGACTACTGTTTTTGGTTTTAAACCTGTTGAACCTTCCAAGAGACAAAAAATCAAGTCTCTGAATATCTTGATTATCCATGGCACTGGTCTTCTAGAGAAGCGGTTGCTTGCAACAGGCACTATTAACCAAGAGAACACTACTGGTACAGGCTACCATACCAAATTATCATGAGAATATTCCTTGAATTCTCTTGTTAAGATTATTGTAACAATTCAATTTTATATCTCAAACACTCTTTGTGTTTATGCAGTTAATGATATGATGGATGCTCAAACACATGTTGAAGCAACCGGATCCCGGACACCTGTTCATTTTTCCTGTGAATTACCAGTGGGTGGTGATCCTGATATTAAGCATCATGATGACTCTCATCCTTTAGTTGGGAACTCCAAAGGCTTGACACTTAATCTGCCTTGTGTTCCTGAAGAAAAAACTGCAGAATTGACATCTCCAGTATTAGATGTTGTTCAGTGCATGCCTGAATCTGAAAATACTCAAGAAATGAAAAATGGAGAAACAGATGCGACACTGACTTCTGAGGACATAATTGCAGAACAGAAGTATGAAGATAAATCTAATTCCAGTCTTACAGATTCATCTGCTATTCCCATGACAGTGGATCCAGGCTCATGTTCATCCAATGAGACTGTGAAAGGAGAACATCACACATCTAGTGAACCTTCTGTTGAAGCTATTCTAGTAAGAGACAAACCTGAACCTTCCATCTCTTGCAACGTTACCAACCAAGAAGACAAAAACTCTTCCATGGTTCCTGTTGATACGACAGTTCATTTAGCCACTATAGTTGGGAATCATGATATTCAGAATTCAGTGGAAGTCAAAGGTATGGAACATAATACAGCTAAGGATCAAACTTTTGTTAGTGCTGTAGCTAATAATGTTGCTACTACTGAAGATCCCAGTGATTCTGTAGCTGACTGTGAAGTGCCAATAGTGAGGTCTATTCAGCAGAAGGATGAGGTTATCGCAGACAAAAATGCTTGCGCAACTATAGATCAAACTGCTGTTGACGATGTAGCTAATAATTTTGTTGCTACCACTGAAAATGACACTGATTCTACAGCTGAACTTGGAGTGTCAATGGAGAGATGTATCCAGCAAAAGGTTGAGGTTATCAAAGACAAAAGTGATTCACCATTGAGAACTTCTATAAGCAAAGTTATGTTGGAGAAATCGGATCAAATGAAGTCTACTGAAAGTGATAGTGTTAAAATGAAGGACATGGCGATTGAGGTGAAAGTCACAGTTGAGAACTTCAGTGAAGCAGGTAAACCAGCTTCAGCGCTTGTCATGTCAAATGACATTAATGGTGAAGTTATGGCTAAGCCTAATCTAACTTGTGGGGATGATCAACTTCATGGAGGGGATGGGACATACAAAAATAGCATGGAAGATGACCTAGCTTCCAGAGAACCTGTTAATGCATGACTTTGCATTTCCTGCTACAAAATGTTTAAGGTATCCCATATCCTAGAATTTGAGCTCATCGTTTGATAATCATATTATTCACATACTAAATTATTCCCTGCCCTTTTTTTGCTGTTCTCTCTCTCCCCCCCCCCCACCCCTCCCCTCCAAATGGTAATGATTTTCTTGACAATAACCTACTTCAAGCTACAGGCATGATAGTTTTAAGAATGCTCCAAATCATTCAAAATTAGCTGTAGAACTTGTAATATAACATCAAAGAATTGATCCATGATCATTTGCAATGCTTATGTTCCATGCGAATTTACTATCATTTATTCTGATATATTGATAGATTTCTTTAGTGGCCTAATAATTCCTAGGAGAAAAGGACTAAAAAGAAATCCTGCTAGAAAACCCCATATCTAGTTTTAGTTTCCTTAACATGGACAATAACAAAAACTTGAACATAGGAAATCCATTGGTAATTTCTAATTCCATGGCAGTTCTCTCTTTTTTTAGTTATATTCCCCACTTGTTCCATTATCAAAAGGAACTTTATTGAATTTGTTTTGAATCCGTAATTTCTGGACTAAGAACTTTGTCTTACCTTTTTATGCTTACAGTGAGCAGAGCAATGGGAGGGACGATCTAGTTTTCTGCAAGTAGCTGCCTCAGCTCGTTCTCCATGGCTACAACGAAGTGTTTAGAGTTGCATTTTGCAGCAATGAAATGCTGATGTTTCAGAATTTTGGTAGTCTGTCGATCATGGGGGCTTTTTGTTGGTTTAGTAGGCATAAGTAGTTCACACCGTAGGACCTCTTATACAAACCCCAAAAAGTGGGCCAAATTTTTGGTGTAAATACATGTGGGAAATTGCTGTTGGCATTTTGGTGCACCTGAAATGTTGTCTGAAGATTGTCGATGAAAACAGACTTGCAGGTAGTGCCTGTACAGATATAAAAATCCATCCTCATCTGTTTGACTGTTACTCTGAATTTTCATTCGGTTTAGAATTCTGAATTCTGGATGGGATTTCAGCATCCAGATTGTTCACCAGCTATGGTCAAATTTGCTGTTTACCCATAATGTGTCAGTGGCTTGAGTATTCGTTATCCTTCGTAAATTCTGCTGTCTTCTACTCATTTCTATCACCTCTGTTCATAAAAGAATGAAGCATATATTTGAAGAAACTGAAGGGAAAACCAGCAAACCTCCCTCGTTCAGAAATACTCGTCAGTGTTGGTCGAGCGATGAATCAAGGAAGAAAATTCTATGCGGCGGTGCCGCACCGGACAGCCCGTGCAACACCGTGTACCCTAGTGACGCGTGTCCAATCCCTGTTGCAACCCGAGCCGATCATTGCAGCCGAGCCGATGTCCAATCTCCCAGAGCTCTACAGTATCGAGTCATATCTACCGGCTGCATGTAAAATCTAATTCATTTTTTTAACAGTGCTCTATTTGATGCGAGATACATAATGCCGTTACTTTTAGACACATATTTAACTACTCGTTTTATTTAACTTTTTTTCATGATTATTATTTATTTTGTTGTGAGATGTTGTAATCACTAAAAATATTTTATGCATGATTTATATCTTATGTATGTCCACAAAATTTTTAAATAAAATAAATGATCAGACGTGTTTTCAAAAGTTAATGAGATCATTATTAAAAAACGGAGGGAGTAATATACAGGGGATTTTTCTAGGGTAATATACATTTTACTAAACTTTATCAATATGCCTCAACTGGTCAGAAATTATTTTTTCATTTGAATAGGGTTGGGAAATTCCATTTTGATGACGTAGAAATCACGGTTTGAAAAGGGCTTTGAGATTACATTTTTGTTGACATATAAATCACGGAAAGTTTATAAGGCTGCGTTCGATCAACTCCAAAAGAGAGAATTTTTAGCGCACGCAAAACGAGAAAGCGTATTAGCTCATTATTAACTATAAATTTAAAAAATGAATTTATTTGAATTTTTTAAATAACTTTTATATAGAAATTATTTTAAAAAGACGTATTATTTAACAATTTAAAAAACGTAAACTACCAAGATGAAGTTTGGAGTAGAAGAAAATAACTAGGCCTAAGTAATAATCTTGCTTCGATAATCATGTTCTGGTAATTGTTTATTGGCACGAGACTGTGTAACTGAGGGAGACGTGGGTGTAGAAGATCGGCTTGGCTCCAAAGAGGCAAAGATGGTCTCGGGCTGCAATAATACATCGGACACGCGTCAATAGTCTGCGTGGTGTTGCACAGTTGATCTTGTGCGGCACTACCGCAGAGAATATTCTTCCATGAATCATCAATTTATTTGATCGTACAACTACATATAATAAATATAAAAAAGAAGCATGCGTTTAAGCATGTTTTTTTGGGGCGTTGCTAACTTGCGCGCGCTGCCTCCCCCGGCTCCAGAAGCCCATCGGGCTTTTTTTCTTTCTTTTATTCGCGATTTTTTTCCTTTTTTTCGATTTTTTCTTTTAGTTTTTTCTATTTTTCTGATTACTTTTTTTAAAAATCTTTAGCACACGTAGTTTTTTTAAAAATATTTTGAGTTGAAAGTTTTTAAATCTTAACTTGAAAATTTTCAAATCTGATTTGAAAGTTTTCCAATCTCGAGTTGAAAGTTTTCGAATCTCGAGTTGAAAATTTTTAAATCTGAGTTGAAAGTTTTCAAATCGAAGGAAAGTTTTGAAGTCAGAGTTGAAAGTTTTCAAAATTTTTCTTTCAAATTGAAATTTCGAATTGAAATTTTCAAATTCGGAGTTGAGAGTTGTCAAAATTTAAATCGTAAGTCAAAAAATAAAAAATCTTTCTTTAATTACTCTCATTATCCTTAACTATTTGAATTAGTTACGTTAACCCTAAGTCCCGCGCGCCGCTGGCGCATACGCGCCAGCTAGTCTTCTCGTGTTTTTTGTCCTAAAACCGCATCATTTTCAGTCCTTGAAGTTGATAAAAGGAAAAAGTCCACTTTGACTCCCTTAAATATACGTCGAATCTAATTCGTATCCCTAAACCGTAAAACCGGATAAGACGACTCCCCGAAATATTGAAACTAGTGCAATTTGACTCCCTCAGCGGTTTTGGAGGGCGGTTTTGCTGACGTGGCGCTGATGTGGCGATGTTGACCTAGTCTTCATCCCACGTGGCGCTTATGTGGCATTGAATTAAAAAAATATCTGTGGGACCCATCTGTGATTCGCACATTAAAAAATTGTGGGCCCCGCTGACATGTGGGGCCCACATGTCATCCTCTCTATCTTCTTCTTCTTCCTTCCTCTCTCTCCCTTCTCCCTTTCTCTCCCCCTTTCTCTTCACCTTCTCTCTTGGCGCAATCGGCGGCAGGGGCGGCGATTCCGGCGGTAGTTGGAGCGGACGGCCGGTGCTCCACCCGAGCGCCTTGTCCACACCCAGCGCCCTCGCCACCACCTCGGCGTCCGCGTCCCGACGCTGCTCGTCTCGCCGTGGATCGAGACGATGCTAACACGGGCGGCGCCGAGGGAGGACTGCCTCGCCATGCTGCTGAACCCGCCGCGGCTGCGGGACATAGAAGCGGGTTGGACACGCCACCGCCGCCGCCACCCACCTGGCCACCTCCTCGCCGGCGTGGTGGGGAGCTCGACGGTGGGGAAAAAAGGAGGAGGAGGCCGACGGTGGGAGGCTATGGGGGAAGATGCTGCATGGGAAGTTGGTCGCCGCAGGACTGCGGGGAGGCTGGTGGAGGCGCTCGTCCGGTGGCGGGGTAGGCGAGCATGGCGACGGTCTCGTCTGGGATGGGGAGGCAGCGGAGCTCCGATGGCCTCCTAAAGCCAGCGAGGGCGGCAGCTCTTCGGGGTAGCAGAGACGGTGGGGAGCCCGAAGGGTGGCACGCTCGTCAAGGGGAAAGAGGCGACTGGCGGTAGTGGGGGGAGAGTGGCACAATGAGCCAATGAGGAATTGCTCCGGGTGGCGTTTTGCTTGATGATGCCGATAGCTTTGAGGAGAAGGAAAGGAGAGAAGCACAGAGACGACAACAGTGGTGGCGCGACGGCGTGGACGTGGTTCACGCGTGCGGCGGCTTCTTCGACCACATCCCCGTCCCGGTCACCGGCGCCCCTTCCCCCGACGACATCGTCAGCGCTGCCCCTGTGTCTTTCGCCTTGGACCGCCTCGGCGTCCGCGTCCCGACGGGACGCGAAAGCAGACTAGACACGCTGCCGCCCACCTCCTCGCCGTCGCCGTCGTTCCCCACCTCCGCCGCTGTCGACCACCGCCGTCCCCACAGCCGCCGCTGGCCAAGGTGAAGAGAGAGACCGGGGGAGAGAGATATATAAGGGGGAGAGAGAGGGAGGGAGGAGGAATAAGGGAAGGAGAGGGTGGTTGACATGTGGGGCCCACATGTCGGTGGGTCCCACCTTTTTGTTTGAATGACATGTTGGTCCTACAAATTTTTGGTTTTTGTTTTTATTCTAATGCCACGTAAGCGACATGTGGGACGAAGACCGGGTCAACACCGCCACGTAGGCGCCACGTCAGCGCCACGTCAGCCAAAACCGTTTTCAAAACCGTTGAGGGAGTCAAATTGCACTGGTTTTAATAATTGGAGGAGTCGTCCTATCCGGTTTTGCGGTTTAGGGATACGAATTAGATTCAGCCGACAATGAAGGGAGTCAAAGTGGACTTTTTCCTTGATAAAACGCCTAGGAAACCTGTAGTTGCGTAAGCTGCTGCGTTGGGCCACAGTCCATTAACCCAACAACAACATATTAACAAGCCCAAGTAAAAGCCCATTCAATCTACACCCTAGATCTCAATCCCCATCACTCACAGCCGTCCGATCCACTCCACCCGCAACTATATAACAGCTCCGCCTCCTCCGCGAACCGGAAAACCCTAACCCTCGCAGCCGCATCGCGCCACCGCCTCCTCCTCCCCCTCCCCCTCCGGCGAGAGAGCCCGCGCCGTTGCCGCCGCCGCCGCCGCCGCCATGGTAAGCTCCGTTCCTCTCCCGCATCTCCCCTTTGCAGTGGTCTCTTTGCGCAGGTGCTAAGGGGAGGAATCGCGTGTGTGTTTGATTTTTGCAGTCGCTGATCGCGGGGGAGGATTTCCAGCACATCCTGCGTCTGCTGAACACGAACGTGGATGGGAAGCAGAAGATCATGTTCGCGCTCACCTCCATCAAGGGTGTCGGCCGCCGCTTCTCCAACATCGCCTGCAAGAAGGCCGACATCGACATGAACAAGCGGTGAGCAAAACCTTCTCGCCTCACGCCCCCCCTTCCCTGATCTGGGTGCTAGTTTGTGCTGTTGATGATGTGCTGGAATGGTGCGTGGCGTTGGATCGTTTGGTGTGTGTAGGTATAACGAATGGTTATTAGTGTTATCGGGCTAATTTCTAGATAATTTGAGCATCTTTGGGTTTGTAGCTTTGTAACTGTGCATTTTGAATCCGAAGTTTTGTGGTTTCGTTGGTTCTACTGTGATGTTAGGTGGATGGATCATGCACTAGAGTTATTTTGTTCGATAGTGACTGGGATTCAGAGTAGGGTTTACTGGCTGGTGCTTTAATTTCTTTGTCGTGGATTGTGTGATCTGTTACATACTCTTACATGGCAATTTTTTTGTGCATAAGGCTGCCGCAAAGCTGATTATTAACTGTCTGCCAACTAAGTTAGATTGCTTGGAACTTTTAGAATTTATTTTAACAGCACAACCGTTGTAATTGTAAGTTATGGATTTATTTTTTGCTAACTTGACAGGGGATTCAAATGCCTGCTAATTTTGATGTGTTTATATATCAATTGGCGATGATGTTGATTGCATGGCTGATCTTTTGGCTCCAGTTAATTGCCTAATACTGTGTTTATTCTGACGTGATGTCACAAGGTGTCAGTTTGTTGCAACTAGTTTCAGTTAAGTTGAATTTGTGTTCTATTTGGCTTAATAGGTCAGGAGTTGTCTGTTACTACTTAGCAGTTCACAATTATGTTGAATGGTAGGGCATTTGATTAGTTTATATTTTCTGGGACGTCATTAATTTTGGGCTACTAAGATGATTAGTCTATTTTTATGCTCGTTTGGAACCTGAGGGTTTAATTAGATAAAAACGTGTTATAGTTATCACATCTATATTTTATTTGGTATTAGTTGTTTCATGCTGCTTGGTTAATCTGACATGCCATACTGTACTTTGCTTATGCTAAGTTAATCTGATATGACTTTGTAACCAAAACATAAGATGGTGATGATTTTGTGCAAAACCAAAGGACTTTTATGTTACTAGTGAGAAAGCTAACAATTATTTTTCTCTGTAGGGCTGGTGAACTCACTCCTGAGGAGCTTGAGCGCCTCATGACTGTGGTGGCAAACCCTCGCCAGTTCAAGGTCCCTGACTGGTTTCTGAACAGGAAGAAGGACTACAAGGATGGGAGGTTCTCCCAGGTTGTTTCTAACGCCCTGGACATGAAGCTCAGGGATGACCTTGAGAGGCTGAAGAAGATCAGGTTTGGTTCTGCTTAATTTGTGCTCGCTTACCACATTTTTTAGGCTTGTTGTAACTTGCATCTGTAAGGTGCTGTACATATACTCCCTCCGTCCAAAAAAAAAGGGCAACCTAGGATGGGATGTGACCCCTCTGGAGGTAGGTTGTCTTTTTTTGTGACGGAGGGAGTACCTTTCATGCTTTTGTTGCATTGATAGAAATTTTACCTAAATTTGTTCTGTTTTAATGAGATGTTTGCGGCATCAACAACTGGTCATGGGATAGAAATTTTAGCTAAATTTGTTCTGTTTTAATGAGATGTTTACGGCATCAACAACTGGTCATGGGAATCTGGGAATGATTCATTGCTGGTTACACCAATAATTCCATTTTTTATCTGATGAAATTCTAGCTAAATACGAACTTTTCATGTCTTTAGTCATTCCCACAGTTTAAATAATTCATTGTATTATGATGAAGCTAGTGGAGTGAACTCCATTTAAATCATATTCGTTTTGGTTTCGAGGCTTTGGACTGCTAACTTCTTTGATCTAATTAATTGCATTCTCACAGTTGAACAAATTGTGCTTTGATTTCGTTTGTACTACGATTAAGGCCCTGTTTCTTTCAGCTTGGGATTATTATAATCTAGATTATTGAGTCAGATTACTATAAACTAGATTGTTATAATCTGTAGTAGAATAAGCGGTTAGTTGTTTCTTTCCTAGATTATTAGAGCCTAGATTATTGGATTTGCAAGTCTAAAGAGGGAGTGGGTGGCATGGTGGATAATTTTTCACCCAATAATCTAGAAAAAGCTCACCTAAATGAGCTTATCAGATTATAATAAGCTGAGCTTCAAATTATTATAAGCTACTTCAATAAGTTGTCTGTTTCTTTCAGCTTACTCCCAATAATCTAGATTATAATAATCCCAAGCTGAAAGAAACATGGCCTAAGTTGAATCGAACTACTCCATTTTGTAATGCAGGAACCACCGTGGTCTCCGTCACTACTGGGGTCTCCGTGTCCGCGGTCAGCACACCAAGACTACTGGCAGGAGGGGAAAGACTGTCGGTGTCTCCAAGAAGAGATAAATTCCATGCCCATCGGCTCAGCAAATTCATTTTGCTTGTCTTATGAGCGTTTCAATGATGTCAGTCTTGATAGGCAGTTTTGTTGGATGATGCTTTTGTCTAAGAAGATAGATCGTGCGTTGCAGGAATCTCAAAACTTTTATATATTGTAACTTGGTTGTTTGGTACCGCAAATTCTGAAGCCTAATTTTTTTACTGGATGTGTTTCTGGTGGATGTTATGTTTTCATATTTCATTGCTTGCGACGGTTGACTTTGTGCTGTTTCAACTCTCACGGTCAGCGAGAACCATAGGAATCGTGCTCGATTCTCTCACAAGATGAGATGTTCTGCCCTGCCAATCCTTCCAGCGCCTTTTTATAGTTCTATAATCCGATTATTCTCAACAGTTCGGTTGATCCACCAACCAACGACGGCGTACTACGACCTGCCCGCTGCCCGCTGTTCAGAATTTAAAAATTAAATATAATTATTATTGGGGTACGTTTATTTTTTAAAGTCCCGCCAACCGCCTTGACCGATTGCTTCACGACCTGCCTGTTGTCCTTCCTTTTAATTGTCATTAGAATTCTATTTGGTGTTTTATTAATAGTTTTTAGATGTCCCATACTCCCATCAACCGCCACCACTCTACTCCTCTAGAGGCCTGCTACTTAATTAATCTCGTCATGTGTTTCAGATGGTCTTTTCTTTTAGTAGTCTTTATGTTTTATCACCAATTTTAGTTATTTATAAATTGTATTCTTAGTTGATATCTTGTTTTTCTTTTTCTAATTTCAGAATTTATTTTATTTTTCGTATTGTGTTCTTTGATATTTTCATTTTTTATTTTCAATTTCAGTTGTTTCAAAATTGTATTCCTACTTTAACTCTCTTTTTAATTTGCCTAATTTCGGTTTTATTTTATTTTTTATTCTGAATTTTAATTAATCTACTATTGGGTTCTTATATGTATTCTTATTTCAATATTGCTTATATTTAATTCCGAATTTCAGTTAATTTTAAATTATGTTCCTACTTGAACTCTTCTTTTTTTTTTCATTTTTCTAATTTTGATTTTTTTATTTTTTATTCCGAATTTTTATTACCCTCATATTGGATTCTTGTATGGACTCTTCTTTTAATATTCCTTATTTTTAATTTCAAATTTCATTTATTTTTAAATTGTATTCCTATATGGACTCTTCTTTTTTTTTTTTTGCTAATTTTGGATTTTATTTTATTTTTATTCCGAATTTTGATTAATCTCGTATTGGGTTCCTATATGGACTCTTTTTTCAATTTTGCTTACTTTTAATTCCGAATTTAAGATATTTTTAGACTGTATTTCTACTTGGACTCTTCTTTTCTTTTTCTCTTATTAATGTGGGAATTTCTAGCCCCCACAGCAAACGTGATGTCTTCTTTGAAGGTTGTTTTAATAATATAACTAGCTGGGTGGCCTGCGCAATTGCGCTGCTAGCACCCAAACAAAATCATATATTTTTAGTATGATTTACTTAAAATTTATTAAATAGTTATCTCGTTGTCTTAAGACTTTAAAAGACCAAATGTTATCATGCTCGTGTTTCTAATTATATAGTTTTTAAAAGTCACAGTTGCTACCCTTACTTCTATCATCTCCTTCTTTATTTACTTGCTTGATCTACTACTATTTCTATTCATTCTCCGTGGAACCTTTAAAATTAGATCTTATAGTTTTTAGAGTTTATTGTCTTGTTGCGTTTCTTTTTATAATTTCTAGAAGTCCCGTCAAACGTTGCCATTATACTCCTTTACGGCCTGTCCACTGTCTTTTCTTTTTATTGTCATTGGGATTTTAAAAATCGAACATTATTATCGTTCGGGTTTATTTTTTACTTTCTAGAAGTCTCGCCAAACCGTCAGCGGTTTTGCCATTGTGCTCCTCTATGGCTCGCTTGCTGCGAACCGTCTTTATTGTCATTGAGATTTTACGATCGAACATGATTGTCATTGGGTTTTGTTTTACTTTTTAGAAGTTCCGAACCTTTAAAAATTAGATCTTGTAGTTTTTTAGAGTTTATTGTCTTGTTGGGTTTTATTTTTTATAATTTTTAGAACTCCTGTTAAACGATGCCACTATACTCCTCTACGGCCCAATCGCCATTTACTCTTTATTGTCATTGGGATTCTAAAAATCAAACATAACTATCGTTGGAATTTATTTTTTATTTTCTAGAATCCCCGCCAAACGCCGGCGGCTCTGCAACTATACTCCTATATACCTTGCCCGCTGCTTCTCCTTTTTATTGTCATTGAGATTTTAAAAATTAAATATGATTATCAATAGGGTTTATTTTTTTACTTTCTAGAAGTCCCGGCAACCGCCTTGCCCGCTTGCTTCACGGCCTACCTATCGTTCCTCCTTTTAATCGTCATTAGGATTCTTTTTGGTGTTTTATTAACAATTTTTATATGTCCTATCAACCGCCATCACTTACTCCTTTATAGGCCTGTTAGTTAGGATTCCATTTGGTGTTTATTAATAGTTTTTATATGTCATATCAATCGCCACCTCTCTACTTCTTTTATAGGGATGTTACTTAATTTATCTCATCATGCGTTTTAGATTTTTTTTTCTTTTAATATTCTTTATTTTTAATCACCAATTTTAGTTATTTATAAATTGTATTCCAAATTGAAATCTTTTTTCTTTTTCTAATTTCATAATTTATTTTTTTTTCAAATTTTAATTAATACTACCATATAGTGTTCTTTTAATATTTTTATTGTTTAATTTCAGTTGTTTAAAAATTGTATTCCTCCTTAACTCTCTTTTATTTTTTTTCTAAATTATGGATATTATTTTATCTTTTATTGTAAATTTTAATTAATCTCGTATCGGGTTGTTATATGGATTCTTCTGTCAATATTATTGCTTATTTTTAATTCCGAATTTCAGTTAATTATAAATTGTTTTCCTACTTGAACTCTTCTTTTCTTTTTGCTAATTTCGGATTTTATTTTTATTCCGAATATTAACTAATCTCTCTTTTCTTTTTGCTAATTTCGGATTTTACTTTTATTTTTATTCCGAAAATTAACTAATATCGTATTGGGTTCTTATATGGACTCTTCTCTCAATATTCCTTATTTTTAATTCCAAATTTCAGTTATTTTAAAATTGTATTCCTATTCGGACTCTCCTTTTGTTTTCTAATTTTGGATTTTATTTTTATTTCGAATTTTGATTAATCTCGTATTAGGTAATTTTATGGACTCTTCTATCAATATTGCTTATTTTTAATTCCTAATTTCCAACTATTTTTTAATTGTATTTCTACTTGGACTCTCGTTTTCTTTTTCTCCGATTAATGTGGGAATTTCTAGCCCCCACAGCGAACGTGGTGCCTTTTTTGAAGACTCTTTGAATAATATATAATAGATAGATACTTCGTCCATTTTATATTATAAGACTTTCTAACATTGCCCATATTCATATCTCTACTACTTAAAAAATACGAGGTGCTTCCATCGTCCAAAAAAAAACCGGGTAAAAAAAACCGGGCAGAAAAAACCAGGTTTGTCCAATTAAAAAAACCGGAACGGAAAAAAGAAGTCCGATCCAGAAAAAAAAAAGGCGAAAAAAACAAAAAAACCGGACCGAAAAAACCAGGTTTGTCCGATAAAAAACAAAAAAAAAGTCCGACTCCTATATCCGTAACAGTGAAAAAAAAGTCCGACTCCTATATCAGATTCACTGTTACAAACAAAAAAAAAAGTCTTACTCAGATTGGTGAAAAAAATTGATGTGCCGGATTGAAGATCTGTTTGCAAAAACGGAATCTACATGTCGTGAGCATTCTATGTTTATATGATTTTAATTTTTGGATTTTTACTTTTATATTTGAGTCCAATTTTTATATTTACATCTGAGTCCCTATAATCTTGCAATAAGCTACTTGAGGTCGTTTTTGTTAAAAAATAATAAAAGTGAGAGAACAAAGGCAGAAAGGTGCATAAAAAGAAAAATAAAAGCCAAAAAAAAAGTCTGACTTAGATTGGTGAAAAAAATTGATGTGCCGGATTGAAGATCTGTTTGCAAAAACGGAATCTATATGTCAAGAGCATTCCATTTTTATATGATTTTAATTTTTGGATTTGTACTTTTATTTTTGAGTCCCTGTAATTTTTATATTTACATCTAAGTCCCTATAATCTTGCAACAAGCTACTTGATGTCGTTTTTGTTAAAAAAATAATAAAAGAGAAAGAGAACAAAGACAGAAAGGTGCATAAAAGAAAAAGAAAAGCCGCACAAAAAAGAAAATAAAGAAAAACAACAACAACAAAAGTTTTTTTTCCTTACTGGCGAAAAAAACTGTAGATCCGACGGAAAAAAGATTTGATTCATATAAAAGGCAAAAAAAAAAAGTGGTGACAAAAAAAACGCTAGATCCGAATCCTTTAAAAACAGAAAAAAAGTTTGATTCCTATAAAGGCAAAAAAAATCTAAAAAATTCGTTCGATTCCCTAAGAAAATGGTGAAAAAATGGTTCGCAAAAAATAAAAAGCTGGTTCATATAAAATAAAAAATGCAAGAGAGAAAAAAATAGAAACGGCGAAACAAAATCTGATTTCTAACCAGTATATATCTCTTCTCTATCTCTAATTTAACTATTTAAAAAGAGAAAATGCATGAGAAAATAAAAACGGTTAAAATAACGTGTGAGGCAAAAGTCAAAAAAAAGCGCAAAAGCACGCTAAAAATGTTCTCTATCATCAATAAAAAAATAAAAAGAAGCGCGAGAAAAATTATTTCCATTGTCGATAAAAATAAAAAGACGCGCGAGGAAAAAACTATCGAAAAAACACGCCATTTCTAAAAAAATGGTTTTTAAAAACCGTGCAAGAAAAAAACACCGTCTATTAAAAAAATCGCCCTGAAAAAACTGTCAGAAAAAAGCTAAAGTGATGGACGCTTCAGTCGGATAGGATCCATCGATTTTTTGCCATCTACTACATGGCTTTATTTTGTCATATATTCTCCTGTAATGCAAAAAAGCAAAAAAGAACCATCGAAAAAAACAAGCAAAAAAACGTGCCAGAAAACAAGAAAAAAAACACACGAGAAAAGAAAAGCAAAAAAAAGGGAGAAAAATATGGTTTTCTTCATAAGTAAAAAAAGCAAAAAAAAACATGGTAGGAAAAAACTGTTTAAAAGAAATGTGCCATTTCTGAAAAATGGTTTGAGAAAATCACGCAAGAAAAAAATACTGTTTGTAAAAAAACAAGCCGCTCATTAAAATAGAAACATTGTCATTAACATGATTATGCATGAAAAACATATATTATTATTAGAATTTTTTTACCCGTTGCAACGCACGGACATTTTTGCTAGTATATATATATATTAATAAATCTAGACATATATGTGCGTCTAGATTCATTAACATTTATATGAATGTGGACAACGCTAGAAAATTTTATAACTTGAAACGGAGGTAGTAGGTTAGTATTGACCCCGTTGACTATTTATCCTGCTTCGCCCCTGGCTACACGTCCATTTTCTAGTCTCTCTTGTCACCTAACAAAACTCATATCGCCGGCTGACATAGCTCTGAGGTGGCGCTCCTACCGGCTGACATACTTCTACTATACTTGCTCTAATAGGCTGATTTAGGAAGGCTCCAAAAATATTATATCATTATACTTCTACTATACTTGCTCTAATATACTGATTTAGGAGGAATCCAAAAATATTATATCATTATATAGGAGAGAAAAAAAAGAGATAAGCGGTAGCACTTCTTCCACGCATGCTGAGTTGGTGATTGTTCAAATGGCCACAGAAAAGCAAAGTTTGGATAATGTATACCATTTGTATGGAATCTATATTCTCCCTCAGATTCTCAGTAGGTGCAGCAGTTCCACCCTGGAACCTGCTCTTACGTACAAGCATTCTATATGAATGGATTCGAATCGGGGATGGATGCAGAGCCTATATGAGTATGCCGTGCTCCCGTATGTTCCTCCCAGATCCTATTTCATTTTCCTATATACTCGCTCCGTCCGTCGGCGAGCCGACCGTCGTTCTCCGCACCTTAACCCCCGACGGTTCCGGACTTCCGGTGCTCTCCTCCTCACCTCCGCAGTCCGCACATCGCACGCCTCCAGTGCGACCTGGGCCATGGAGGTCCCCTCCGGGGAAGTTGCCTCATCTGCTTCATCTGCTACAGCGTCCCTTCCACAATCTGCTCCAGCCGCTGCAACACAGCCGCCAACAGAGGTTCGCCAGCTTCTTATCCTTTTGAACAGAATGATTCATTCTGGGAAAAAAAAAGGGACTCTGTTCAGTCATTCGCTCATTGTGCTGGCGATTTTGGGGAAAAAATGGCTTACTATTTTTTTTCATAGCATCATACACGTGTATGATTCATCTCTACTGTGTCACTAATCAAATTGGAAATGTCAATTGATCAATTCAGGGATCTTTTAGCCGGGAAGTGTTTCTGTTCACCACTTCAGGCGGCATCTTCTTCGTGCTTGCGGCACTCACCAAAGTCATCACCAACGGCTGGCCACCGGTCGCCAGGACTCTCTTCGCCCTTTTCACCGTGTGTGTGGTGATTTTCCTAGCAGCAGGTTCGGTTGCAACCACTACCATGTCAGACCGTCCTAAACTGCATTTCCTGGCGAAAGTTGCAGCGAGAGTTTCCCTAATTATAGCTATCATGATACTAGAGATCCCATTTATTCAGATGGCTACGGGATTGTCAGCTCTTGTGTTCGCGCCAATACTCATGATAGCTACGCTCATTATATTGGGGTATATATGGTGGTGGAGCGAGCCTGACATCGTGTGCGCCTGTTTTTGCCGGATCTGCCGTAGCCGCGGTCAGGTTCAGGTTAATCCTGAGCCCGCTGAGGACAATGTGTGAAGTACTGAAGAAATCAAACTTCAGGTTTGTTAGTACGTTCCCTATCAAAATGTAATTAGAGGTGTAAAAGTGTTGGGTTTTTGTTTATCTTCATCGAGATTGTGATTCACTTCCGAGAGTCTCTGCGCCCAACAGGTCTTCTGCCTGCAAAACACTTCAAAGTTTTCTTCTTCCTTTGTCTTTGGGGACTCTAGAACCATCGGTATGATGTAGTTTCTAGGGGTGCATCACCTTCAATTGATAACCTTATCGCAAAATGTAAAGAAGATGCAGCCCTGTGGGCAGAAAGATTGAGCCACGCTGACAGGGCTGTTGTAGAGTCTTGGAAACTCATTTTATCATCCTCCCCTCACTCTAATGTAACTTAAGCTGCTGTACTGTTCCAATATTTTAATGAAAATTCAGGTGGGGAAGCTCCCCCGGTGACCAGTCTTAAAAAAAAAAACTTCCGAGAGTCTCTGTAATTGGAGTCTTGGACCATGCAGAAGATTGAATTAATTAAAATTCAGATTGTGAATTCATTTCTGAATCTGTTCTTGAATCATGGCAGAAGACTGAATAATTAAAGTGGTTGGCATCGCCATATTGGTGCATTATACTCCGTGCAAGGAGGAAGAGGGGGCGCACGATGACTGCGGTTCGACCGCGTCGTCCCATCCCTCTCCCGCGAGGGACAACACCCCGTCACCGTTGGCGTCCAGCGCCTCGAAGCGCGCGTCGACGCTGCGGCCGAAGGCGTCGTCGTCCGCCACGAAGCCGCGCACCGTCGACTCGTCCAGGTCCAGGATCACCACGCTCATGGCGGTCGATCGATCGAGCTGCTGCTGCTTGCTGATGTTGGTCGTTGGAGTGGGAGGGAGTATGTAACACCCCGCTCGCCGGCGTCGAGGATTCGGCCGCCGCGAGCCGCCGGATGGTGTGAACGCGAGAGAGAATTGGGGATAGTTTGTCACTTTGTCTCCTCTGTTTTTGTTCTTAGATAATCGACAGTTTACAACTCGACTCCTCATAATTTAAACCCTCTCATCCAGGCCCACATGACAGGCACTGAACACACACACGCACTATGATTACATAAATACGTTTCCACCCAACGAAGACGCCTTCGTTCACCCCGCCTTCGCTGAGTCATCCAGGTCCTCTGCTTCCTCTGTCACCAGTGGTGCCGCCACATATACATCATCCGGTGACACCCACCGGTGTGACACTGCCGCCCCCATGAGAAAACGAGCGCGCAGTACTGAATAATCCTCCCAGGTTGCACACTCAGCAGGTAATTCACCCCAACGAATCAACACCTGGGTTAAAGCAGCATTACCCTTCTTAACAAGACGGCGATCCAGGATCTCCGATGGCTCCAACGCCGAGATATCCAGCTGGACAGTGGTAGGTAACTCAGCAAAAACCGGAATGTGAGAAGGAACAAAAGGTTTCAACTGAGAGACATGAAAGACCAGATGAATAAGACTGCCATCTGGAAGTTTCAGACGATATGCTATTATGCTATTGATCCCACTTCACTGATAATCTCAAAGGGCCCAAAATACTTGAAGGCTAACTTGGGATAGGAAAACAGAATCGCCCACAGCAAACTCCCGAAAAGAATGTTTCTCATCTGCATATTGTTAGCCAACTGATGCTGTAGCATATCTGAAAACAGCTGCCTATCCTCCAAGACAGTCTGAACCCCAGCATCATCAACAGGAATATCACCAGGAACCAGCTCAGGAATAAATGCATATCTGGGGTCCATACCAAACAAAGCCTTATACGGTGTGCAATTCAAGGATGAATGGGGGAGGATTTCCAGCACATCCTGCGTCTGCTGAACACCAACGTGGATGGGAAGCAGAAGATCATGTTCGCGCTCACCTCCATCAAGGGTATCGGCCGCCGCTTCTCCAACATTGCCTGCAAGAAGGCCGACATCGACATGAACAAGCGGTGAGCAAAAACCTTCTCGCCTCACGCTCCCCACCCCCCCCCCCCCCAACCCCTCCTCTGATCTGGGTGTTCGTTTGTGCTGTTGGTGATGTTCTGGAATGATGTGTAGGTATAACGAATGGTTATTGGTGTTATCGGGCTAATTTCTTACAATCAGGGAAAACTAGATAATTTGAGCATCTTTCGGTTTGTAGTTGTACACGTTGAATCCAAAGTTGTGTGGTTGTTTCGTTAGTTCTACTGTGATGTTAGGTGGATGGATCTTGTACTGAGTTATTTTGTTTGGTAGTGATTAGGACGAGTAGGGTTTACTGACTGGTGCCTTAATTTCTTTGTGGTGGATTAAGTGATAATATGAGAAATTTTCTGCGCGTTACTATGCTGCAAAGCTGATTATTGACTGTCTGCAAACTGAGTTAAGATTGCTTGGAGCTTTTAGAATTTATTTAATAGCATGACCTTTGTAATTGTAAGTTATGGATGTATTTTTTTTTCCAACTTGACTCGGGATTCGAACGCCTGCTAATTTTGATGTGTTTATCAATTGGCGATGATGTTGATGGCAGGGCTGATCTTTTGGCTCCAGTTAATTGCCTAATACTGTCTTTATTTCTGCCGTAATGTCACGAGGTGTCAGTGTGTTGCAACTAGTTTCAGTTCAGTTGAATTTATGTTCTATTTGGCTTACTAGGCCAGGACCCTGGAGTTGCCCGTCACTACTTAGCAGTCTATATGATTAGTTGATCTTTTCTGGGACGTCATTAATTTTGGGCTACCAAGATGATCAGTCTATTTTTTATGCTCATTTGGAACCTGAAGGGCTTAATTAGATAAAAATGTGTTATAATTATCACAGCTATATTTTATTTGGTATTAGTTGTTTCATGCAGTTTGGCTAATCTGATACGCCATACTGTACTTTGCTTATGCTTAGTTAATCCGAGATGACTTTGTAACCAAAACATAAGATGGTGATGATTTTGTGCAAAACCAAAGGACTTTTATTTTACTAGTGAGAAAGCTAACAATTATGTTTCTCTGTAGGGCTGGTGAACTCACTCCTGAGGAGCTTGAGCGCCTCATGACTGTGGTGGCAAACCCTCGCCAGTTCAAGGTCCCTGACTGGTTTCTGAACAGGAAGAAGGACTACAAGGATGGGAGGTTCTCCCAGGTTGTTTCTAACGCCCTGGACATGAAGCTCAGGGATGACCTTGAGAGGCTGAAGAAGATCAGGTTTGGTTCTGCTCGCTTACCACATTTTTGTAGCTTTGTAACTTGCATGTGTGAGGTGCTGTACATATACCTTTCATGCTTTTGTTGGATTGATAGAAATTTTAGCTAAATTTGTTCTGTTTCAATGAGATGTTTATGGCATCAACAACTGGTCATGGGAATTTGGGAATAATTCATTGTTGGTTAATTTGTGTTCTGATGAAATTTCTACCTAAATATGAACTGTTCATGCCTTCGGTTATTCACACAGTTTAAATAATTCATTTGTATTATGATGAATCTAGTGGAGTGAACTCAGTTTAAATCATATTCTTTTTTGTGTCGAGGCTTTGGACTGCTAACTTCTTTGGGCTAATTAATTGCATTCTCAGAGTTGAACAAATTGCTCTTTGATTTCATTTGAACTACCTTTTGTAATTCAGGAACCACCGTGGTCTCCGTCACTACTGGGGTCTCCGTGTCCGTGGTCAGCACACCAAGACTACTGGCAGGAGGGGAAAGACTGTCGGTGTCTCCAAGAAGAGATAAATTCCATGTACATCAGCACAGCAAATATGCATTTTGCTTATCTTATGAGCGTTTCAATGATGTCGGTCTTGATAGGCAGTTTTGTTGGATGATGCTTTTGTCTAAGAAGATAGATCGTGCGTTGCAGGATTCTCAAACTTTTTATATATTGTTGACTTGGTTGTTTGGTACCGCAAATTCTGAAGCCTAATTTTTTACTGGATGTGTTTCTAGTGGAAGTTATGTTTTCATATTTCATTGCTGCTACGGTTGACATTGTGCTATTTCAACTTTCACACGGTCGGCGAGAACCATAGGAATCGATCACAATTCTCACACAAGAAGAGTGGTTTTGCCCTCTCTAATCAGCCGCTAATGTCATTTATTAAACTATGCAGACTTGCAGCCAAGGCGCAATGTCAGCGTCTAAATTTGCTAGCCATTTTAACGACGTAAGATGATGATCGATGTACGCAGTTTTGTTTGTATCATGCTGATTATGTACAGTTTTTTTTTTCACGATAAATCTACAGGTTTGATTCTTGATCGTGCGGTCTCAGTAGCTTATAGTACTAGAAAAAAAGGGTCCCCTATGCATTGAATTCATGGCGGCAGTGACATTCCCCGTGGGGTTTAATCAGCCCGGTGAGCGTGACTTAAACATTGGAGACATTTGTCACCAACAAAAGTACTCTTTTGGGTTTAGTTATACCGCCTCCATCAAAAGTGTAAGTAATATTTTATTTTCTGTTTTTTTAAAAAAAAATGAGATGAGCATATTTGTAGTCTCAATATGCTAAATTAAATTGTTGGCTGAAACCCAATGTGTTATTTTAATACGCATTGGTAGTATGCATACATATATTTCCTTGGTCTTGTCATATGGTGAGCGAGCTAATTCTTCTTAATCTTAATGATAAAAGAAATATGTCTTAAACTTTTGGATGGAGGGAGTTTTAGTCGTGGCTCCAGTAGCTAGTAGGGACTGTATAATAAATAAACCATATGCATAGTTTAAACTCTAATAAGATATAGATTTTTCTCTGGTTTCTATTAGCACGGTTTTCAAACTACTAAACGGTGTGTTTCGTGCCTAAACTTTTTATATATAAGTTACTATAAAACTCAAATAAATCTATTTTTAAATTTTTAATAATTAAAGTTTAATTAATCATGTGCTAATAATTTGTTTTGTTTTTGCGTGTGCACTTAATCTCGGAGAATCGAACGGGACCATGTGTATAGTGGTAGAGGCAACATCAATCAAATGATTTGTTTACACATTACCAACTACCAACACAAACACCATCAGCAGCAGCAGCAGCATTATGCATGAGAGTGAGTGATCAGTAGACCAATGCAGAGAGAGGATGATGCATTAGCATTAGCTATTAATTAGCTCTCCTTTAGCCTTTTCTTCTCCTGTGTAATTCTTCCAAGACTCCAGTAACAACCCTCCCTGTTGTTAAGTTTAACTCATGCAGCAGCATCATCAGTTACTTAGGAGAGTAGATGCATTGTTGCAATGAGAGGTAATTAATCTGATCTTAGGAGTTAGGACATGCATATGCATTGCTTCCCTTGGATAAACATGATTAGGCACATTGGTCAGATGTTAATAACTGAGATGGGATGAATAGTATTCCTTCCCATTAGCAGTAGAGGGGTAGTGAATTGGACGCGGGTGTGCTTCCTCCTAGAAGCTTCATGGAAGGAGTGAAGGTACCCATCACTGAATTTCTTTTGAAAATACACTAGGCTTTTTTCGAATTTGAATGAATACATTGCTTTCAAATTCTTGTGCACAAATGTACCATCGTCTTATCATCTTAGCATAGGGATGCGAAGCCATCACCGGCTTTGCCGTGCTCGTTGTCCCAGTACGCGCTTTGGCGCATAGTGCAAAAAACGGACCGGACCGGTTAAACCGGAAAAAACCATAACTAGGAACCTTGACGGCTCGGTTCACTTCAAAGACCATCCATGCAATCAGACCTGTAAAAACAAGGTGAACCGAACAGTTTTTGGGAAAACCAATGAACCGGGTGGTTTTTGACAAACCGAGTGGTTCGGCGTCGTGCGTAGAAAATGCCACACGTGACGCGGAGCAATTCCCTTGGGCCATCTCGGCCCATTTGGCCGTGGTCACTAGGGTTAGATTTTCCCCTGCCTCTCATCTCTGTCGTTCCCATCTCCATGGCGGCGGCACCAAAATAGCATTAGTAGTGGACGTGAGTAGTAGTGGTTTAGTTAGGGGTGAAAACGGATCGGATAATATCCTATCCGATCTGTTCCGAATCCGTTCGAAACGAGTCTATGGTAAGGGCTTTCAGAAATCCAACTGATATGGATGTGGATGCGGATGAGGATATGGTATCTCTAAAATCTGGCGGATGTGGATTATCCGATATTTTTATCGGATTATCTGATATGCCATTTGCTGGATAATTCAAAATTATCAACACATGTAATCACTCTATCTATTGCATATAACATAAGTTGGTCCATCTAATGGCCTAATTCATCAATTAACCTAGATTTTTTAGTCTGAGGCTTTCACCGCCTCATGTCACACTTGCGTAGTTGTATTTTTATATTATGAACATCACGTATTCATGTTGTTTAGCACTTAAGCACATAATTATTACAATGGGTCGTTCATTGACTATTGTATTATTGTTTCTTACATTGTTAAGTTGACATTGTATTGATTGCATACACACGTAACATCCGATAAATTTAATCCGTTTCCAAACTGATTCCGCACCGACTCCGCACTATTTCCGACATCCGAAACAATCCGCTCCGTATCCACATCCGTGTACTATCCACACGGACCGCACCCGCTCCGAGTTCGCTTAAAAAAATATGATTTAGGATATGGTATGATCACTATCCGTCTGAATCCGCTCCGTTTTCACCCTTAGGCTTAGCCCTAACCGGAGACCACCTCATCCCATATATAAATGCCTTTAGCCTATGGTACACGTCTTTTTTAACCCCTTTAATGACTTATATCTTTTAAATCACATATTATTTTCAAGATTTATTTGTACCATTATACTCTACATAAAATATGTGACAAAACAAGATCCATGTTGAATATATTCAAACATTTTATTAATTTAAAAGTAATTTATTAAATTGTAGAAGTAACTTAGCTATACAATAGAAGTAACTCTCTATAGCATTAGAAGTAATTACATCATGACTGAGTTTAAAATAAGAAATTATGTAGCGTAAATTCACAAGCAAAGTCTAGGGAAGATTTTTAAGTAAATGTATTTATGAAAATAAATTTAATAAAGTCTAAAAGTAATTTACATAAATCATAAAAGTAATTTAGCATAAAATGGAAGTAAGTTGTTACAACATTAGAAGTAAATTCATTGTAGAGAGAAAAATATTGTCTATCTAAAAATCAAATTTAAAGTCCACAAATTATAGAATTGACTAAAAATAATAATAAAATAATCAACTTAGAGCATTATGAATATATAAGAAGTAATTTAGTCGAATCGAAAAGTAATTTATATATGTGATAAAAGTAACTTACGTATATAATAAAAGTAATTTACAAACATAAATATTTTTCTATCGTAATATAATCATGTAAGATCTTATTGTAAAGATTAAATTGTAATGAACACAATGATGTAATTGGATTGTAGATCAGATAAGTAATTTGAGAGAAAATTTTATAAGAGAAAAAAAAGACATGCATGCATAATAGCAAAAAAGACATGCATGTCTTTGTATGTGTGTAATTTTTCTTTGATGTATGTGATGCCGGCACCATCGTGGACATATTATGCATTCTTGATTCTTTCGGCATCGAGTCAAGACAAGCCATTAATTATCAGGATTTTCGTTATTCTGTGTGACTTGCACTGGAGTATATCCACTTGCTTTCTCCCTTTTTTTTCCCTTTATCGTTGGGCATGCTCTTTGATTTATTTATTTACAGTTGGGAAACCCAGAAGTAGATTTTTTTTTTGGACGGCAGGAGTACTGGATAAGAATTCCTGTCGTATATGTAGCATAATTACACTTTTCTGCATTAGAAATAATGGTAAATGAATAAATTATTAATAAAGTTTGAACCGGTAGTTCGATCGATGATCTAGCGGTTAGACCGGTGAACCAGATGCTTGACCGGGTTGACCTCCGGCCCGTTGTTTTACACTTTGCTTTTTCATTAAAAAAATATGGCGACCGGTGAACGAGCACTTAGGACAGCTGTAGTGTGTGTTCTGAGAGTTCTGTTCATACCAGTTGAACAAAGCTTTCCTCACATGAAAATAAAACTCAATCTCACCTTTCCTCTCGCTCTCACATCCGGCAGCAACAAATATATTTTTTATTTTTATGATTTGTGTTCGACCTCTCGTTTGAAGTCGCTTTTTCATCTGACCCAAACCATTAGCTCCTCACAATGTGCACGGTTCTTTTTTTGTTTTTGGTTAAAATCGATTTTAGGTTCACACTGGAGTTGGTCTTATAGGGAGAGAGCTTTGGCACTGGTGAAGACTTGATTTTTTTTTTCTAAAACAGTACTAGCCATGGCTGTCTTCGGATGTGATGGCTGTACCTGCGCAGCACCAGCAGCTGCAGCTCTCTCAGGGACAACCGTCGTATTTTTCATAAAAAAATAGTCAATACATATTTACTCCCTCCATCCCAAAAAAAGATAAACCATGGGTTCTCGTGCTAATGTTTGACTGTCCGTCTTATATGAATTTTTTTTATAATTAGTATTTTCGTTGTTGTTAGATGATAAAACATGATTAATACTTTATGTGTGACTTATCTTTTTAATTGTTTTCATAATTTTTTCAAATAAGACGGACGGTCAAACGTTGGACACGGAAACCAGGGTTTGCCTTTTTTTGGGACGGAGGGAGTACACTGCAAGTCCTTAAAATTAAATGTGTATTTACAATTACATGTGTAAGTCTCAAAATTACATATGTAATTAGCAGGATGTAATTATGGTGTAACTAAATTAATATGAAGTATCAATCATTACTTTGATCTATCTGTCAAATCAATACGCCTGCCTAGTGTTATAGTGCTAGAGGATGATAAGGACAAAGCGCAACAGAGTAAAGATGGCGCACCCGAGTAAAGATGAAGAAAATCAGTAAAGCATGTGTGGCTAATGCCACGTGAGCACGAATCTCCGTGACAATCCTAAGGCCAAACTGTCGCCACAACTATTGCGAATCCGTTCTATAACATGCCCACCAACCCGCGATCCCGGCGCACGCACAACTGTCTCTGCCAATTCCGCCCGCCGCCCCTCTCTAAGTCTCTACTCTCTTCCAGTTCCGCTGCCGGTCGCCGGCGACCTCTCGCAAACATGGAGATCGCCTCCTCCCCAGTCGTCCCAGATGGAGATCTTCCGCCGGTTCCCCACCATGGACGTGCAAGCACTTCGCCGTCCATTGCCGTTCATCTGTCACCTCCCTCGTCTCCAGCAGTTGTGCCATCGACTTCTGCGGCAGCATCTCCTCAGCCATCTGTTTCACCTGCTGCAGCGTCGGCTCTTTCACAATCTGCTCCAGCCTTGGCAGCTGCACCTCCACAACCACCAAACGCAGAGGTTTTCTTCTCACCGTCCTCTTCTCCTGGTTAACTTGCCAGATTTAGAGCTCGTTCACTTTGCTACTATTTTCAACCTTATCATTTTTTTTTGCAAAGTTATCAAAAAAAAATGGCTACATTTAGTTTGTTGCCAAATTTTGATAAGTACGTATGAAATTTTGTCAAAATTTGATAACCTTGCTAAAATTTTGATAACCTTACCAAAATTTGACAATGTCAAAACTTGATAAGATTGAAATGGAAGCAAAGTGAACAAGCTCTTAGTGATTCATCCTGGAAAGAAAAAAAAACCTTTCTCCTTCGGGGCTATTATACTTTTACTCCTATTTTAAAGTTCAATTATAATTTTGCTCTTATCTTTTAGGGGTTAGCATTTCGATTTGCATTTTGGCCTCTGCTTTTCTGAAACGGAGCAGAGATTTGCCCTTTGTTTTGGATGGATGATGGTGTTAAGTCGAGCACGAAAATACATATATGCCTTTACTTATTGCATATTTACCCCTACCTGTAGATATCACTGGTGTTTTCACCCATATTTTGCACATAAAGCTGCAAACTGTTTTGAGCTTAAATTTTTTGAAATAATTTAAATCTTATCATATTTTTGACAAACTTTGACAAATATGATAGTTTTGGTATAATTTGAATATAGTTTTGGCAGAATTTGACACAACTAGCACTAGCACTCACTTGGTGGTTAGTCAAAGATTAATCTTTTTCTCTAATCGCCTCGATCAGCAGTTATGAATGCAAATTACATGACAGCAATGAAGAGACAATCAACACTAATCTTCCTCTCACGCCGTGCTGGTCCGCACTAGTCAACAGGGCAAGCGAAGGAGGAATCCACCTTGGCAAACCTTCTGTTGTGCCCTATCGAGGAGCCACCCCGCCCCGCCTGCTGCTCGCGTCGAGAGGCTTCCGCCGCCGCCGGAGTGGTCGCCGCGCCGAGGAACCGCCGCCGCCGCCGCATCGAGGAGTTGTCGAAGCGACCTGCTGCTCGATCGCGTCGAGTATATGCCTCCGCATCAGGGAGTCGTCGCCGCGACCTGCTGATTTCGTCGAGGAGCCGCCGCCGCCGCCGCCTGGTGCTCGTGACGCCGCGCTAGCAATGGCCGGAGCCACCGTCGCCGCCTGCTCCATCTCCCCATAGGATTTTGGAATGGGAACGATGGGGTCTTGGGGACACATACTCATGGGTAGAAGAGTACTCCCATATTTCTTAAACCATTTTTTTTCTTTTCCATTTCTATTTCTTTTAACTCAATACCATGGGACCGACCTAACTATCATCTATAGTAGGGGCAAACGGTTACTTCATTTGAAAAAAATAAAAATGAATTCGTAAAATTGAAAGTTAGGGCAACACAATTCTTCCTTCTTTATATCACACTCATGCATATAATCGAGTTATATATCTACTGTTCCAGGGATCATTTACACGAGAGGTGTTTCTGTTCACCACATCAGGCAGCATCTTTGTGGGACTCGCTGCGCTCACCAAAGTCATCACCAATGGCTGGCCGCCGGTTGCCAGGACACTCTTCGCGCCATTCGCTGTCTGCAGGGGCAGATCTAGAAAAATATAGTAGTAGGGGCTGAACAAACTACATCAGTATAAATTGAACCTCTAGTCTCCATATCCTATAAATCTATGGGAAAAATATTAGTGGGGGCTTAGGGGGGTCTCCACTGTCCCGGGGGCGGTAGTGGGGTCTCAAGACCCCTCCGCCCCCATTGTGGATCCGCCCCTGGCTGTCTGCGTGATGATCCTTCTAGCAGCAGGCTCGATTGCAACCACCACCATGTCAGACCGTCCTAAACTGCATTTCCTGGCGAAAGTTGCAGCGAGACTTTCCCTTATTCTAGCTATCATGATGCTAGAGATCCCATTCATTCAGATGGCTGCAGGATTATCTGCCCTTGTGTTCGCGCCGATTCTTATGGTGATTACGCTCATTATACTGGGATGTATCTGGTGGTGGAGCGAGCCTGAAATTGTGTGCAGGTTGATGAACTCACTGTTTTGTCGACACCGTCAGGTTCAGGTTATTCCTGAGCCCGCTGCCGACAATGTGTGAAGAACCGAAGAAATCAAACTTCAGGTAAGTGTTGGCTTTCTGTTAACTTCATCGAGATTGTGAATTTTGTGATTCATTTCTGAACCTGTACGCCCAACCCAAACAATTTTTTTACCAGGTCGAAATATAATGGAAGGGGTGGTGGTTTTACATGAGACTATACATGAGACCATGAGTTTTACAAGAAACATATGATGGGGTTATTTTTAAAATTAATTTTGAAAAAGCTTATGATAAAGTTAAATAGTAATTCCTCCGACAAACATTATACATGAAGGGTTTTTCTCAGCCGTGGTGTCACTGATTTCTAAAATGGTTAAAGGGGGAAGTGTCCGTATAAAAGTCAATGATGACTTGGGTAATAATTTTCAAACGCACAAAGGCTTACAACAAGGAGATCAAATGTCGCATATACTTTTCAATATTATGATTGATATGTTAGCGATTCTCATTGAGCGAGCTAAATTCGATGGTTAAATTAGAGGAGCCATTCCACATTTAGTGTAGGATGGTTTGTCCATTTTACAATATATCGATGATACATTAATCCTATGTGTGTTCGAACAATTCTCAGGGCTAAAAATTAACTTTCATAAAAGTGAGATTTTGCTTTGGGAAAGCCAAGGAAGTGGATGATCAATATAGACAACCTGTTCTATATAGTAATTTTTTTTGGGGGGGGGGTGGCAAACACTGTTCTTTCTGCTATGCGTAAGAGACAATCTAACATGTTTTCTTTGAGTGTCATGTTGCTTAGTTTATTTGGAGATGTGTGGTTTTTTTTGCTTTTAATATCCCTTCACCCCGTAACGCGAAAAATATTTTTGTTAATTGGCTTAGAGGGGTACCTAGGTCTATTAAAAAAATTATTCTAATTGGAGTTAGTGCTGTACGTTAGGCAATTTGATGTTTTTGTAATAATAAAGTTTTTAATACTAAACAATTATCTAACTGTATACAGGTTATCTTCATGTCTTTCTATTGGCTTCATTTTTTTTTCTACGATGCTACCACATGAGGAGCATGATACTGCGCACAATGGTGCTACACTCTTGGAATCGGTAGCCAAGGGTCTCTAATTCCATTCTAGGTGGCGTAGTCCATTAGAATTGCTAGCTAAAAATCTATGTGGTTTAACGCTAGCTAATAATAAAGGAGAATTGAGAATTTTTCCCATCACTTTGTTTCTCATTTTGATTTATTTAATAATGTTTTTAAGAAACTTATGGTTGTGTGTCTTATGACAGAAGTCGAAGATGTAATCCATTTCCATAATAAATTTTCTTTTTGTCAATCTATACTTAAACCGTGGAAGAAGACTGAATAATTAAGGGGCAATTTTGTTCTGCCCCTACTTTAATATTTAATATTGATTTTACCCTTATTTTTTAGGTTTTCGTTTTTTGTCCTCATTTTTTTTAATGAAGCCACGTTTTGCCCCTATTATGGATGGCCAAGTTAACGGTGTTATAAATTGGTAAAATGACATTCATACCCTTACTTCTTGTTGCACATTTGCTTCCGTATCTATTCATTAATTATGTTTTTCCCCATATTTTTGTACATGTAGCTTGGAACTTTATTTTTTATGAAGATATCTAAAGTCAAATGATTTTTTGACGAACTTTGATGAATATAACAATGTGGACAGCATATGAAAATAATTGTAACATGGTCAGATTTAGAAGTTGACACAATTTTGACAGAATTCGGAAAAAAAAAATAGTGAACTGAAGGATAGCACTGGTGACCCAACGATTTGCGAAAATAACATGCTCAACATAGCATGTTTGAGATTCATGAACCTGCTTCCTTTGTAGCAAGTCCGCTTTACACATTCATGGACAGCTTGCTTACAAGAGGAATGGCGCTACGAAGCTCGGTCAAGGAATACTCCAAGGGATTGTGAAGTACTCTCTCCGTATTTTAATGTACGACGCCGTTGACTTTTTAACAAACGTTTGACCTTTTGTCTTAATAAAAAAATTATGTAATTATTATTTATTTTACTGTGACTTGATTTATCACCAAATATTCTTTAAGTATGACATAAGTATTTTTGTATTTGCATAAAAAATTTAAATAAGACGAATGGTCAAACGTTAGTTAAAAAGTCAACGGCGTCATATATTAAAATACGGGAGTATCAGATACAGGGTCACGTATCGCACTCACCGTGGTCGACAGGAGCAATGGCCGTCGTAGTGCGGAGGCTACACAGCGTGCACCGCGTCACGCTCAGCCACTCCAGCGCCGATCACTCCGGCAGCCGTCACTGCAGCCCCACAGCCTCCTACCTCTCCCCGTCGCTGGCCCGTAGCCTCCTACTCCCCGCGCACCGTAGCCCCTGCCGACCGCCGCCGTGGCCTCCTGCGCGTAGCCGCCGGCCTCCCCTCTTCACCGTGCGCCCGCCGCCGCAACTTCCTGCCTGCCTCTGCGGCCTCCTGCCCGTCGCCCTCCCGGCCGAGCCGCCGCCGCCGGGTTTCCTAAACGCCACCGGAGCCTCCTGCCCGTCGCCGCCTGCTGCAACCTGCAAGCCGGGACGCCGCCGCCAGGGATGGGGGATTGAGGATTGGAGATAAGGTTTTGGGCAGCGATTTGGCTTCCTTACTTTGCAAAATAGCTAGGGGTATAAAGGTAATTCAATAATTTGCAAAATCATTATTTCTTTTCTTTTCTATTTCTTTACAGCAACAATTTCGGCACCATTAACTTCGGTGAAAAACAGGGTAGACGCTTTGTCTATTTAAAAAACCAGGGATAAAAAGCGAAAACCTAAAAAACCGAGGGTAAAATTATATTAAAATAGAGGCAATAACGAAATTGTCTCAATAATTAAAGTTGTTGGCATCGCTATATATTATACTAGGTGAAACCCCGCGCATTGCTGCGGGAATTTAGTATGATAACAATAAAAAAAATAACATATAAGATAGCTAGATAACATCAGATTAAGTAAATTAATGTGGTTTATGATAATTTAAATTTAAATAGTATGTAGAATGGTGATTCAAACGTAAAAAGTAAGCTGGTATGACTTTATGGAAGAAGAAAAGTAGGGAGATATATTAATCATCTAAAGACTAAAAACAATTGATGTGATATGACTTAATTAGAGGAAAAAAAGAGAAAGATAATTTGGACCATAGATTAATCATTTAAGCACTGACTAAGTGAGAATGACCTATATACTTTATATCATAAAACATAATAAAGATATACATTGAAACATTATGTGAATTATGTTGGATGATAATTTAACATGTTTGTATTTTAAAAGCTCTTAAATTATAAAAACTATAAATATATAGCATGTTTGTATGATGTTTAAATGTGATGAGTGTTAGTGGATGATGATGTGACATCTTGTTAATTAGTGGATGATGATGTGACATCTTGTTAGTGGATGATGATGTGGCATCTTTGCATGTCAAGCTTAAGAAGTTAGTGGGAGATAACTTTATAGGAAGATAGGATTGGTGCAATAAGAGAAGAGGACTTTTTTCGGTCTTCTCGTCTCTTTGCGTCTCTCATTTCCTCTCTCTCCAGTGCTCTGCCGCCGCCGGCATGCCGAGCGGCTACGATGGGGCCGTATATGTCATGGATATTACCTGAAAGGTAAGTTACTAAATCAGTCTAAGAGTTAATGAGTACTTATGAATTTCATCTTAAGGATATCTTTGAAAAATTTGAGGATTCCCGACTTCACTGAAAGTCTAGAACTTCTGAATTTATTTCTGTGTTTCGAGAGGAACATATTAGTTGTCGATAGATTTTCAGTACCTTTTTTTTCTGCATTTGTGCTAAAGGAGATTTTCAGATCTAATGGTTTGTTTTCTTACTGTTCAGAAGCATCTCTGTGCTTGGCTGCTCGCCAACTCGCCGTAGCCGTCGCATATACAAATTACAGGCTGATGGAGCAGCAGCATGCGCAAGAAGTAGAGACATGGGTTATGTTACCGGAATAAGTTCACTCTGACTCCCTTAACTATTGACCAAATCTGTTTCGTATCCCTAAACCACACTATCGGATAACTCGACCCCTTAACTATTAAAATCAGTGCAATTTGACTCTTTCGATGGTTTCGCTGACATAGCGCCTACGTGGCAGTATTGACCTGGTCTTCGTTCCACATGGCATTGACATGAAACTTAGGTAGCATTAGAACTAAAAAAAAAAAAGTGTTTGACCTATTTGTCATTCACAAAAGAGTATGTATGGGACCCACGTATCATGCTCTATCTTCTTCCTTCTTCCTCCTCCCTCTCTCTCTTTCTCTTCCCTTCGGCGAGCGTGGGACGGGGGCCAACAACGGTAGGAGGGCGGGCGGGCGAGGGCCGGATCCCCTTTGCGAGCCCACAACTTCGAGTCACCACAGCGATGCCGTTCCTCGCCATCGCCGAGTTCTGCGTCGGCCGTCGCCGCTCGGGCGCTCGATTCCCTCTCTTTCAGTCCCCAGTCAACCCAGCCACCGCCACAATCGAGTTCCTCTCTTCCCAGCAATGCCATTCCACCCCTCGCTGGCGCCCAATCGCCACCATAGTCGAAACCCCCCAAATCCGGTCTCTGTCGATCGCCATTGCCGAGATCGAGCCGTGACTTGCCGCTACAATCCATCCCCTTTGGAAGCAGCGGCGAAGAGCGGCCTCCCTCCTCTCTCCTGTGGTCAGGGCGGCGTGTCCATCAGAGGTTGGGAAGGAGCGGAAGGCGGCGGTGAAGAGCGGAAGGCACATAAGGACGAAGGCGGTGGCCACCGCTCTTCCCAAACGCCGTTCTACCGCTGTTGCTGCTATCCAGCAGCAGTATCTAGCTTCCGATCAAAGCTACTCCCTCAATCCTAAAATATAAACATTTTTAGCATAGTGACAAGTCAAATTATTTTAACTTTGACTATTGATAGCAAACAAATAAAAAAGATTAATCATATAAAATTGATGTTACTAGATTTATCATTAAATAAACTATCATAATATGCAACTCTTTTTATTTAAAACATTTTACTTTTATAGATATTGTTGGTCAAAGTACCATTTCAGAGACCATGTCAGAGTCCAAAAGTTGTTATATTTTAGGACGAATGGAGTAATATAGTTTTAAAAAAACAGAGCCAATATTGATTGGCACTGAATGCAAAGTGACTCCCTCTTACGGTTCAGGAATCGGGAATCCTCAGTTCCGTTGCATTGTTCTTTTTTCCTTGTTTGATCGGACGGTCTATGTTGCTTGTCCTTTTTTTTTTTCCTCATTGGCATCCAACGGTGCATTTTATTTTCATGACGTGGCTCATTCCAATATCATCTTTGGTTTCACTTTTCACTAGTGAAAATGTCATTATCCATTCTGGAAAATAAAACGACTATACATATTCTGTCACTGCACACTATTTTACCGACAAATTGGAGATGTTAACCGATTGATTCAGGGATCTTTTACCTGGGACCGGGAGGTGTTTCTGTTCACCGTAACAATCGGCATCTTCCTCGCACTCGCGGCCCTCGCCATGATCATGACCAACGGCTGGCCGATGGTCTACAGGACACTCTTCGCACCTTTCTCTGTCTGTGTGATCATCCTCCTAGCAGCTGGTTTTTGAACAGGAAGAAGGACTACAAGGATGGGAGGTTCTCTCAGGTTGTTTCTAACGCTCTGGACATGAAGCTCAGGGATGACCTTGAGAGGCTGAAGAAGATCAGGTGATTTCTGATTAATTTGTGCTCACGTACCACATTTTTTAGGTTCATGGTAACTTGCATGTGTAGGGTAGATTTATCTTTTCATGCTTTTGTTGCACTGATAAGTTGTTTCATGCTTTGTTACATTCGTAAAAAAAAAAAGCTAAATTTGTGCGGTTTTAGTGAGATGTTTACTGCATCAATCATGGGCAAATGGGAATGAATCATCTCTGGTTAAATCATATATCCATTTGTGTTATGGTGAAATTCCTAGCTAAGTATGTACTGTTCATGTCATCAGTCATTCTCAACCAAGATTGTCAGTATCCCGATACGTATCCTAGTATCTTACGATACTACGATCCTACCAAGCCGAAACGATACCGATCCCACCTAGTATCCTAATTTTCATAGTATCTCCATCCTACTATTCATTACTACACGATCCTACGAAATCTTAGGTGGTATCTCGATTCTACGATCCCTACGATACTACAAAATATTATTTAAAATAACATGGTTTGAAAATAATATAAATAAATATGCTCAAATTTTTATAAAAATCAGTTAAATATATCAAAACCAACGTGGTTTCTCTCGATAAATGTCTCTATTTGCATGACATATATCATTACTATATTTTTTTATATAGAATGGCTATATATAATTAATATAAATATTAATTAAACTTAAAAAAAGAAAATATCATAGTATCCCGATACTACGATACGATATTACTTTGAGCAAAACGATACTACCTAGTATCCCGATCCTGACAACATTGTTCTCAACCAGCTAGTGGTGTGAACTTGGTTTAAATCATATTCTTTCGTTATTTGAGGCCTTGGACCGAGTACTTTTTGTATTCTCACAGTTGAACAAATTGCGCTTTGATTTCATTTGAACTACTACGATTAATTGTAATCGAACCATATCTTTTTGTAATTCAGGAACCACCGTGGTCTCCGTCACTACTGGGGTCTCCGTGTCCGTGGTCAGCACACCAAGACTACTGGCAGGAGGGGAAAGACTGTCGGTGTCTCCAAGAAGAGATAAATTCCATGCCCATCAGCACAGCAAATATGCATTTTGCTTATCTTATGAGCGTTTTAATGATGTCAGTCTTGATAGGCAGTTTTGTTGGATGATGCTTTTGTCAACTTTTATACTCCGATATTGTAACTTGGTTGTTTGGTACTGCGAATTTCTGAAGCCTAATTTTTTACTGGATGTGTTTCTGGTGCAAGTTATGTTTCCATATTTCATTGCTTGCCACAGTTGATTTGCTGTTTCAACTCACACGGTCAGCGAGAAGGCGAGAACCATTGGAATCGAGCTCAATTCTCACACAAGAAAAGAGATTTTGCCTTGCCAATCTTTCCGGCAGCTTCTCTGATTCTCTTCTCATCCTTTTATGCTCGGTTAATCCCTTTTATATGGAGTTCGAAAGAGATTCGGACATATTGCTATAGATTTACCTCTTCAGTTTTCGTCTGCAGTACTTTCATTTTTGGGAAAAAAGAGGGGATCAGGTGTCATTTTTGGGAAAAAAGGAGGGGGGTCAGGAAGAGGGGATCAGGTTTCATTTTTGGGAAAAAAAAGGAGGGGATCAGGAGGGACTATTTGCCACTCTTTGATGGCATAACGACAATAATAATACTCCCATTTTAGAGTTATTATTAAGAAATAGAAGTGAGTAGTGTAGGGTTGTGATTAGATGAATAGTGAATATAAGAAGTTTTAGAGTTTGGATACGGTTATTAAGAAAGTAGATAAAGTGAGTGGTGGAGGGTTGTGATTGGATGAATAGTGGAGGGTTACTAAGAAAGTAGATAGAAGTGAGTGGTGGAGGGTTGTAATTGATTGGGAAAAGAATGTTGGTGGAGAAGTTGTTATATTTTTGAACAAATCATAAAGAAAGTTGTTATATTTTGAGATGGTGGGAATAATAATTTTGGGACAATAACGACAATAATACGGAGGGAGACAGGCAGTAACAAAACGGGCAGATCGTAGTTTTTGGCTTTTTGCGGACTGGTTGTGGCAGAAACAGTATCGGTTCGATAAGCGGCTTGTGGGTATTGGGATTCGCGACGATGAACGAACCAAGACGGACGAACATCAACAGAGCCCCACTGCGGCATTGCCACTAACCCTTGTAACGTCACGGCCTCACAAGCCGACCAGTCGATCTTTTCTATTTTTCTTTAGAAAAAAAAAGCCTCACAAGCCGACCAGTCGACCCGTGTGTTGCAACGGAAAAAAAAAATAAAATTACAATAAACATTAGATGATAAGCCAAGAAACATTTGACCCCATTGTTTCTCTTATTTGGGGAATAAGCCAAATGGTATATTTACAACCGAAAAATAATTTGTGAATAAAACTTTTATATACGTGTTTTTAGCTATCTAAAAGTAAATGTTGAAAAATAAACTTCAATGAAAACCCTCAAAATAACATGTGAGCTCTTATGTGTCTATGACATGTGGATCGGCAAATCATTTATCACCATCCGTAAGAGTGGCAAATAATTAATTATTCCCCCCCATTTCTCCAACCATGTCTACTACTCGAGGTCATCCGCTCGAAGCACCCTGAATTGGGCGGACTACGGACGGGCGGGCGCGCAAGCAGGACTACGGACGAAATCAGAATCGAGCCGACGCAGCAACCAGATGCACGCAGATAACGTGCTAACTCTTCGGTAAAGTGATACCCCGCGCTTCGCTGGGGTTCATGGATGAGTATATCTTAAATATTGTTGAAACGATGAAAGTTGAAATGTTAATAAAATAATAAGGAAGATGATTTGTAGATGATGTATCATGCTTGCATGGGATAGTAATTGCTAGTTAGTGAATATGTGTCATATTTGCATGGGATTTAAAATAAGTTAGAATAGTAAGTGCTAGTGAGTGAGAATGTGGCATGCTTACATGGGATTTTAAATGGGTTTGAATAATAATTGCTAATGGGTGATGATGTGATATGCTTGCATGTTAAGCTTTAGCTTCTAATAATTGTTAGTGGGTATCAACTATATAGAAAGTATACATCGGGCAGCTGATGTTACGGCGGAAGAAAAGGTGTGTGATTAAGGAATCATATTCAATTTTTATAATAGGTTAAGATTTTTTAAATTTTTTATTACAAATTTTAGAAAAGTATTTTTGTTTTGAAAATTTACAAATCTAGACGTTTAAAAATTAAGGGTGTTAAGGGACCTAAATGCAAAAATTTTATTTGTATTCGAACCCTTTTCACGGGTTTCAATTGCTTAAAAGCTAATAATGCTTATTTGACACTCTAAACCGGAGCGAATCCAAGACCAGATTGAAGGAGGAACTTATCTCTTTCCTTCTTCTTCGGTCCCCATACTCTTTATTTTTTCCCTCTTCTTCCCCTTTTATCTCTCCTTCTATCAAGGCTGATCCAGCGGGGTAGGGGGCTCGAGTCCCCCCACACCCATGCTGGATTTGCCCCTGACTCCAAATGATTTTAAATGGAAAAGTAATAAACTACAAAGTTATAGAACTCATCTAGATCTACGTCTTTTATATAAAGTTTATCTTTATCCAATATTGTTTGAAATGTTGGTTTGAGATTTTTTAAATAAGTTTTAGATTTTGTAACAAATATTCGGACATCTAAACGATCTTAAATGAAAAGGTTGTTAATTACAGAGTTGTAGATCTTCTCTAGCTCTAAAATTTTGATATAAATTAATTTCATCCGGATTTATTTGATATAGTTTTAAATTGTAAAATCATAGAGGTAACAAGCAATGATGAAAAATTTGCATTTAGATTGCTTAACGCTCTCTGGAAGGATGATTTTTAAAAACACCCCTAAAGGGCGTGGGACGACTAGATTTGTAAATTTTTGGAATGAAAAATTACGTTTGTAAATATTTAAATAAAAAAATGTAAAAAAAAAAAAACCTTTTCTAACGGTTCACCCCTAGAGGATTCCGTGCGTTCTGTCATTATTAGCAAACATGACAGTATCATTATAGGGTTCATCATCCCTTGACAAAACGAGAGGAACGAGAGGATTCCGTGCGTTGTCATTATAATTAGCAAATACTAGATATTACCCCGCGCGTTGCTGCGGAACTTTGTGGGAACAAAATATTCTGACAAAGGGGTAACATGAAAATAAAATGGAAATCTTACAGGGTCATCTATAAGCTTATGATTTTCTTATAAAAAAAAACACGGTAGAAAGGAAAGGAGTAAAAAGTAATGTCCAGGTGAATTTAATTAGGTATTACATAAATAAAACAGTTGGTAAATACACAGATTGGGAACTTGGTGTATTTAGGGATGAATATAGTTGCACCAACTTGATGAATCTTTCAATGTTTGACAAAATATTCAATTGTGCTATTACAAAGAACATTCTTTATACTCCAGCCAGAAAGAAATATGAAGAATTTAGTTACATGAATGCAAATACGATCATCATGTAGCAATGAAAAATTAGTAAGGACAGTTGAAAAATTAGGGTCTAATATGTATCTAAAATCTGATAGTATAGTTATAGAAGGAACTGTTTGTACCTTTGCAAAGCAAGTATATATCTTAGGATGGGCATATAATAAAATATATGGAAAGTCGCTGCTTGTACCTAAAATTTGTGATGACCATAAACAAACATGAGGCGAGGCAATTATGATTACCCAATATATTGCTTCAGCGGCTGATTTGGATGGAAAATGTCATGGGGGCTGATCTTAGCGGTAGCCCATAGCTGCTGCTACAGCAATAGCAAGCAATCTAGTACTGGCAATGATCTGCAACCGAAATTCAGAAAAAAAAATCAAATTATAGCTGCAAGCACGCGTCAGTAATGTAAAATTGTTATACATACCCGTTATCCTCATAGAATGAATGATCTCCTTATCTTTCCAGTGGAGGAAAAATAGTTTGAGTAATTATTAAACCTATCTAAGTTTGTCTCTTTTTCTTATCTTCCTGAAATTAGTGCAAAGCTGTTCTGCATTGCAACTACTATGTACAGTTACTTTCAGTACCATAATTAAGTCCACACTGAATCAACCTCTTGGCCCTAAAACTTGTTTGGGTCAGCAGCAAATGCAATGGTCAGCAAACAACAGACAGCAGGCTGGAACACATCAAAATATGGTTCTAACTTATATAAACCAATAATTCTGCAGTGGTTAGTCAGCAGCACAACTCACAACATGCAGGCATAATGATATGCATGGAGCAAAATGGGCAAACATGTGCGTGCGTGTGTGCGTACTGCGTGCTACTCCCACAGAGGCATTTCCACAAACACGCCACGCGCGTTCAGAGGAAACACACGAAATTGAGCTTGCAGTTACAGGCACATGCAAGGTCAGAAAAGCAGTACAATCCTGACCTCAGAGGACGGCGCCGGACCTAGGAAACCGCCATCACAGCACCTGCACTGGCTGGCTGCTGCTACAGCAATAGCAAGCAATCTAGTAGTGGCAATGATCTGCAACCGAAATTCAGAAAAAAAAAAATATCAAATTATAACTGCAAGCACGCGTCAGTAATGTAAAATTGTTATGCATACCAGTTATCCTCATAAAATGAATGATCTCCTTATATACTATAAATAAATTTCAATCGGGATGGTAAAAACCTAAAGAAGAGCCAAAACAAAACCATTCTCTCTGTTTTTTTTTTAATTAATTCTTCAATAATCTGAGAGATAACAGAAACATATCAATCTAGCTTGACTAAAAGAAGAAGCCAATAGATTGGATATTTGGATGAGATATATATGATTCAAGAAGAGGAAGAAGAATACCTTTGGGAGGTGAATATACACCCATACGGTTTCAAGGTGAAGGAGCAGCATAAGATATACTATTTCAGAGGAGGGAGAGGTTGAGAAAGCCAATCGAACTATGATTTCCGCTGAGGGAGAAGCCGTGGGAAGCGATTTGAAGTAAGGGAATGGGGCTCGACAGCCATGAAGCCTGCGGTGGCAGCGGTTTTGAAGTGCCGGGGGGAGGAGAAGCGCCGGGGGGAGGGGGTTGGAGGAGAAGCGGCGCGGGGATGCGAGAGTGGCCGGTGGCGGGCCCGCGCCTCGCGCGTGCGTGACTGGGGAAGGAAGCGAGAGCGGTCGACGGCGGGCCCGCGCCTGGGAGGAAGCGAGAGCGTCGCGCGGACTGGTGGGGAAGGGAGGAGTCGCGCGCCCGGCGGCAGCGGCGGAGAATCTGGCGCTCGGTGGAGGAGGGAGGCAGCGCTTGGAGGAGGAACGCATCTAACCGTTTGTAGCAGCTGATCGAACGGCTGGAGTTAAAAGGGTGACGTGGCTTCACCAGAACTCAGCAAAATCCTAATAACTACACCTCTCGTTTTGTTAAGGATGACACTGTCACCACCCTTAAACAAGAGGTTCCTTACACGCTCGGACTGAATGCCAAGCAGTGGCGGATTCAAAAATTTTCATAAAACTGGGCAAGTCTAACAACAAATGAGGTATATACAAGCCTATATAATTTATAGATAACTTTAGTATGAACATTTGTTTTAAAAGTTTGTGTTGAGCGCGCTTGCTGCTATACTAGTTGCATTGTATATACTCCCTCCGTTTTTTAATAGATGACGTCGTTGACTTTTTCTCACATGTTTGATCATTCGTCTTATTCAAAAATTTTATACAAATGTATAAGTTACAAATCACACTTAAAGTACTATGAGTGATAAAATAACTCATAACAAAATAAATTATAATTACGTAAATTTTTTAAATAAGACGAATGGTCAAACATGTGAGAAAAAGTCAACGGCGTCATCTATTAAAAAAACGGAGTTAGTATTGTCTTGCCGGTGGCTAAGAATGATGATTACTAAGGTAATTAGGCACTAATTTACCGGTGAGTTGCTGCGTGCAGCTGGTAGAGCCTGGGCCATTGCCCGTGCAAGCCGGGCCTCGGCGCCTACCAAAAACTGATGCCAAGTCGGCACACTGTGAATCGCCTACCAAGACGAGAATATTTCTTATAGACTCGACTGGAATTTCAGCACGGAATCTCTACTGAGGCATTTGGATAACTGGAATTTCAGCACGGAATCTTCCAAGAGGTATTTCTGTTGTTTATCGAGCTCCAGATGGGCGGCTATAAAGCAGCCAGCCACCATCAACATCCGTCATCGGCGGCGCCCAGGGCTTAGGAGAGTAACGTCGCCGGTCGTCAGCCAACCACCAACATGGAGACCCCCTCCTCCCCAGTCGCCCAACTTGGAGCGCCTCCGCCGGTTCCCCAATCTGGGAGTGCACCCACTTCGCCATCCATTACCGGTGCAGTCTCTCCATCGGTTGCTGTGCCATCGACTACAGCTCCTCCAAACGGAGAGGTTCGCCGAGTTAACTTGTCAGATTTATAATTATTTATTAAGTCATCCATTCGTGCGCACTATAACCTGTAGTATTTTTATAATCCATGCATGATTGTTTTTATATCATTAGCGTTAGCGTGACTTTAGTCGTTGCCTATAATTTTCTGTTTTCTCTCATCTGGAGTATACTCCTTTGAAACGTTGCCAATGGTGGTGTCCGTTCTGCCTATACTATCACTGACATGTGGGACCGACGACGTTATCCCGGACTTGGCCGATCGGGAGTCCCTTGACGCCCTCTGAAAAACCCCACGTCGCTGACGCTGCCGATGTCGTCGTGCCGAAGTCGCCATCGCCATCGCGTCGGAATCCGCCGCCGTCGTCGTCGCTTGAGCAGGGCGGAGAGGCGGCGGGATCCGCACGAGGAGGAGAGGCTACCGGATCCGTCCCTCCCGTCATCGCCGCCGACGGATCCGCGCGCATCGGTGGCGGAGAGACGGCGGGATCTGCGCGGGAGGGGGAAAGGCCGCCGGATCCGCGCGTATGGTGGGCAGCCTGCTTGGAGATGGCGACGGCCTTATGGCGCAGAAGCCCGACGAGGTTGAGGCAGAGCAGCGTGGTGGAGGACGGGATGCGCTGTGGCGTCGCGCCGTGGTTGCGGTGGTGCAGCGTGGAGGACGGGAGCACGCGGCGTGATACGGAGGCTGCGGCTGTGGCGGCGGGGAGGCGAGGAGCGCTGTGCAATCTGGACTGAGATTAGGGTTTCTTATGCGCATACAAAATGGGCCACCGTTGGTGTTTAGTTTCTTACATGGGCTTTGACCATGTTGGAATGAGTCCATTAAGGTCCCTCAACTATAGCCACAGTTTAACTAGCGTCCTTATAAAATACTCCCTCCGTTTTTTAATAGATGACGCCGTTGATTTTTTTTTCACATGTTTGACCATTCGTCTTATTTAAAAAATTTACATAATTATAATTTATTTTGTTATGGGTTGTTTTATCACTCATAATATTTTAAGTATGATTTATATCTTATACATTTACATAAAATTTTTGAATAAGACGAATGGTCAAACATGTGAGAAAAAGTCAACGGCGTCATCTATTAAAAAACGGAGGTAGTATAATATGGCTATATATATATATATATTCTGTCACTGCACACTGTTTTACTGACAAATTGGATACAGGGATCTTTTACCCGGGAGGTTTTTCTGTTCACCGTAGCAATCGGCATCTTCCTCGCACTCGCGGCACTCACCAAGGTCATCACCAACGGCTGGCCGATGGTCTGCAGGACACTCTTGGCGCCTTTCTCTGTCTGTGTGATCATTCTCCTAGCAGCTGGAGCGATTGCAGCCACCACCATGTCAAACCATCCTACATTGCATTTCCTGTCAAAAGTTGCAGCCAGAGTTTCCCTCATCTTTGGTATCATGATACTGGAGGTCCCGTTTATTCAGATGGCTGCAGGATTGTCTGCCCATGTTTTCGCGCCGATATTTATGATGGCTACGTTAGTTGTACTGGGGTACATCTGGTGGCGGAGCGAGCCTGACGTCGTGCGCGCGTTGTACTCACCGTTTTGCTCATGTTTCTTGCGTAGCCATCGTCAGGTTCAGGTTACTCCTCAGGCCGCTGACTACAATGTGTGAGGCAGAAGAACTGAAGATATCAAACTACAGGTGTACGATGTTACATTAGATATGTGAAAGTTGTGTTTTGATTTATTTCCACTTTTCCGGTTAACTACACAAGGTGGTGCGCTAGACGATCTGGGTTCGACGCATCACCCCTTCTAATTATTTAATTTTACGTCATTACCTAATATTCGTGTTTCTTTATTTATTTCCATTTCAATGAGATTGTAATTCATTTCTGAATCACCAGTAAAGCTGTTAGCATCGCCATTGATGTACTTTACAGTTCAGTGATGCTCTTTTGGGACAGACTATTTTGGAACAGGGGAATTCAGGTTGGAATTTCGCTTTAGCGGTATAATTCTCCAAGAGATACACGAAATTGTTATATTTCAAAAATAATCATCAGGGCCTGCTTGGCAAGGTCCGAAAATTTCAAATTGATCAAAATAGTCTGATGAAAACACAAATTGGAGCTAGAAAACAGGATAAATTCAGACCAAATCAGTAAAAAAGAAAACCTCTGCGCCTTCATGACAGTCCAGCATGAAGCATGAAAAGTTGAGATTTGAGACAAGAACACTGCATTACATCCTAGCAACTGCAAAACTAGACAAATCAATGAAAAATTCAGATCAAATCATCAAGGCCAGCACCCTTGTCTTCTCTCCACTACTGAGGCACCAAATCTGACCTTGTCGATTGTGGAACGGATGAGGGAGGAGGAGCCACCAGGATGGGGAATACGGAATACCTTTGGTGAGGCCTGGGAGGTGTTAACCAACGTCGTCGTAGATGAGGATGTGCTTGCCGTTTCCCCTGCCAGTGATACCGAAGGAGTCATCTCCAAGATACAAGACTCCTCCAATAGGCAATTGGGACTCCAGTGTCCGATTGGCTGGGAGCCTGGGATGGCTCCGGCAACGCGGATTGCGGCAGCCGGCGCAGCAGCCGCAAGAAGGGACCGGCGCAGCATATGATTGAACTGAATGCTGAACATTCAGCAATATCACTCATACACTCAGTCAGGCATTTCATTATGCATTTACAAAACAACCAGTGAACACAAACTCCCAATTTACGGAACCGTCATTCCGCAGTCCTGGTTCACGATCATTCATCATTGAATTAAAATCTTTGGTGTACAAAACACTAGTAATCCTCAAGCTTACAACACGGCTGGCCATTGGGTCTGCTCCAACATCGCTCGTCGTCGGACCTCCTACCACCTACGGCGCCGTGAGTTCACAGCACGATATCGCCCTTTCTCCGACGGCAGCGCAGGCTCAACAACACGGAGGTCGGCGGGTGTGGAGGTCGCCGCGGCGGCGCGGAGATGGGACTTCCTCCTCCCTTGGTAGCACGGATCTCCGGTGGCTCCGGCATCACCTTGCAGAGCATAAGCTTGGTCCGCTCGGTGGCGCAGCCGCGCAGGGACCACCGGCAGCGCGGGGGATCCCGTAGGTTGACCGAGCGGTGTGAGGGTATAGATGGCTAAATGGGCCGCCCGGCCCGGCATGGCCCGAGATCGGTCGGGCCAACACGGCCCGCTCAACGGTCAGGCCGGGCTGGCCCAAAGGTGGCAGCCCATTGTGTTTTTTATAAGTCTATTTTGCATCCCTCCTTTTTGGCCGTGTTTTATGGTTGCCGCATATACTTGATGTCGACTTTTTTTTTTTCATTTTTAACTTTTAATTTTTTAATATTTACAGAAATATATTACCAGCGAAAATATTTATAGAAATAGATCATGCCGTCAAGTAGACGGCGGCAAGGTGATATATTACATCTTGCCATCCAAGTTAAATACTCCCTCCGTTTCAAAATATTTGACACCATTAACTTTTTAGCACATGTTTGACCGTTCGTCTTATTAAAAAAAATTTGTGAAATATGTAAAGCTATATGTGTACGTGATAGTATATTTAACAATGAATCAAATGATATGAAAATAATAAATAATTACTTAAATATTTTGAATAAGACGAATGGTCAAACACGTACTAAAAAGTCAACGGTGTCAAACATTTTGAAACGGAAGGAGTATATTCTTTTAACTTTGTAATAGTTATATATAATTGTTCGTACCTCGAGTAGTTATCATAAAACTATTCAACTATTCAGAAAAAAAAGAGTACATCTTACGGGAGAAGGCCAGCCAAAATTAGTACATCTCATGGTGGATGCCAACAATCAACAAAACCTACCAATCCACACATTATTACACCTGAAAACGATCTCTAGCTCTGATTAATTTCAAACTTCGATTATGGACTAGTCAACACTTCCTAATAGCAGTGAACTTTGATTTGGCCATATGAATACTCCCAACTTTCATACCGAAAATTTTATCTTCAAACTATGAATTCTAAGGATATTCCCTTTTAGGCCGATCACTAGTTCCCCTTTTTATTTGCAGAGAGGAAACATGCAAATTTGATATAGAAATATACAAGGGGGAAGCATACATATGATGCCTATCTGCCATCCCAGGTACATGCCTATCTGCCAAAACAATCAACTAACCTACCAAGTACCAATCCTCCCATAATTGAACAGCTGGACCAGGAAAAATCATCATCTGTGTACATCTTAATTGACCATATTCATGCAAGCTCTGATCAAGTTGTGCAATGTCAGTATTATATTACTAAGTTAGTAGCTAGTTAGTTAAATATCAGTCTAATAAATGTCTAATCAGAGCTGTTAGTAGGAAAGAGTAGGTCACCAATCTCTCAAAGACTTATACAAGCTAGATTCCATCACCACACTATATAAACACACACACACCTGAACACCAGTCACACAACCAAATCAAGCTCAGCTTAATCAATCACCTCATCACACACTCTTAGCTAAGCTAAGCTAAGCTAAGCTAGAGCTAATACAAGAGCAAATTAATGGCGGTCGCGAGAGGAGTTGCACTGGCCGTCGTGCTCGCCGCGGCGGCGGCGATCCTCGCGGCGAGCCCCGTCGCGGCGCAGGGCGGCGGCGGCGGCGGCGGCAGCGGCAGCTGCATGACGGAGATAATCAGCCTGGCGTCGTGCCTGGGCTACATGTCCGGGAACTCGTCGGCGCCGAAGCCGTCGTGCTGCACGGCGCTGTCGAGCGTGGTGACGTCCAAACCGGCGTGCCTCTGCGCCGTGCTCGGCGGCGGCGCCTCCTCGCTCGGCGTCACCATCAACAACACCCGCGCCCTCGAGCTCCCCGCCGCCTGCAACGTCAAGACCCCTCCGGCGAGCCAGTGCAGCAGTAAGTCGATCTCCTTCCATTCTTCCGGCGAATCGCAGCCGTGATCATCACTGACCGTACGTCGTCGTCGTTCTTGCAGCTGTCGGCGTCCCGATGCCATCTCCGGCGACGCCGGCGACACCGGCGGCACCGGCGGTGCCAAGCGAGACTCCGGCGGGAACCGGCGGGTCGAAGGCGACTCCGACGACGGCGACCACCACCACCGGGCAGAGTGCTTCCGGCGGGAGCGTCGGCAAGGCGGCGTCCATGGCGACCGTCGTCGTTTCAGTGGCGTTTGCACTGATCCATGTTTGATTAATTTCTGCATGGGTTAATTTAAGCCGTTCGATTTGGTTGTGTCCACGTGTCCTTAATCGGCTTTATCATTGTTGTGTTGCGAATTTTTTACACTATTTTAATTGTATTGTGTGTGTGTTGAGTGTGCCATGAATTTCTTGATGTATTTTTCTTAATTGGTCTTGATTGTGTATTCATTATGTCATATTATTTATGAGAACATATTGAGGAGAGTTCAATTTGTTTCACCTATGGGTGTCTTATCCTATGGCCCGTTTGAATTAGACAAAGAAATGGATAATAGTTGATGGATGATATATTGCTTTATGGGATAATAAAATAAATAGTTGAAAGAAATTGATTGACAAAGGTTGTCTATGCATTTCTGACAATGAATGTTTTTTCATAAAAATTGTACTCCATCCGTTTCAGGTTATAAGATGTTTTGACTTTGGTCAAAGTTAAGTTTGACTAAATTTATAGACAAATATAGCAATATTTATATTACCAAATTAGTTTTAATAAATTAATAATTAAATATATTTTTATAATAAATTTATATTGGGTTAAAAATATTACTATTATCAAAATCAAAATATCTTTTAACCTCGGAGGGAGTAGTTTTAAAAGCGTAGCACGGATAATCCGATTGATAATCTGATACGCGTAAGCAGTTCGAGTGTTTCCCTAGATTCACAAATAGTAGTGATAGCTAATTAACTATGTGCAGTAATGCACACAGTTCATCCTGGGTGTCATACCAACATGAAACATATAGTTCTAATAAGAACATGAAACATACATTGATAATTTACTCTACAAAGTGTTTTGGCACCCATTATTTTTTAATTATGAATTTACATTTTTTAAGTAAAAAATGAAGGGGGTGAAAGGTTGGGTACACCTATGTACAAACAGTACCTCCTTTGCCTTGTAAAATGTAAAAAAAAAAAAATCTGTCGACAATTAGTCAGGCCATAAATTTTTCTCACTTTCACATTATTAACAGAGACTCTGTTTTTCTATTAGAATTCCGTTGCACTGATGACGTCTGTATGAATATAAAATTAAACACTTGCAAGTAATTAAAACTATTTCCTTGCACTGGTACATTTTCTCCTGCTGCATATATAGAACATAGTGCATGAACCTAATAAGCCAACTGGTAAAAATCTATGAATTGGCAGGTAGCATTTGGCTGGAGTTGGCCAGCCAGACTAATCTAACTATATGCAAGATACTACTCACCTACCTAATTAACCAGAATATAAGCACAAAAAAATGGCATAATCTGTTGTGCTTCGACTAAAAAAAACTCAAGTCAGTATAGAGCCTTTCGTCACTAAGATTCTGGGACATGAAAAGTCATATTTTAGTCACACTTGCTAACTGAACTTGTACCTCCTCTCAACTAAATATAAACAGTTCACTTAACCTAGAATTACATATAGATTTATTGAGATGGTTTGGTCACCAACTATCTCTTGACTGCATGCTCAAATCAGACTAGCTAGTCCTCTATGAATGCCATTAATTTCCTCATTACAATTCAGAGAAAATAATATGGTGAGCAATCACAAAAACATCTCCATCCATAAGATGGAATCCGTTTGATCAATCTCACAAGAACAAATCAATCTATCACCATCAACAACCCTGCTGGCCCCCGTTGGTTGGGATATGCTGATAATAAACTGTACGACATATTTTAAAATAATATTTTTGAGTAAAACTTTTATATACATGTTCTTAGCGATTTAACAGTTAATACTGAAAAATAAACTTCAATAAAAAATCTTTAAAATTAAATTTTGGCTACGACTGATTTCATATAGAGCGAACGATTGGAAGCAGGAGCAGATGTCCGCAGTATGTCGAGTACTATACTCTGAAGGGAAAAGTACACCGAAGGTCCCTCGACTTGTCATTGAGTTACGAAATCGTCTCCAAACCGCAAAACCGGGTATTTGACATCCTTCAACTTACAAAACCGTTCACTTTAGGTCCTTCGGTGGTTTTGATCCCGATTTTGTCTGATGTGGCGGCTGAGTCAGCGTGGGACCCACGTGGGCTCCACATGTCAGGCTGCCACGTCACACCCCTCTCTCTCTCTCTTTCCCCTCCTCTCCCTTCCCCCTTTCTCTCTCACTTTTCACCTCCATGGGCAGCCGGCCGGCGGGTGGGGAGACGGTCACCGGGGCATGGCTGGAGAGGATGTCCGGCAGCCGGCGACGCGGGAGAAGGGGAGGGTGGCGGCGGCGGGAGCACAGGGGGAGCATGGCGGAGGCGGCGGCCTCCGGTCTCCCCGACCTCAGCCCGTCTTCAACACCGAGCACCGCCGCCGTTCTTCTCCCCTGCTGGCCACCGGCCACGCCGTGAGCCACCAAGGTCGGGGACGCGGCGGCCGAGCGTGGAGGAGCGAAGGGTCGAAGCGAAGCCCGTCGGTGCAGCGGCGAAGAGGAACCCATTGAGGAGTGCTAGGACCACGTCGGCGCCGACGTGCACTTGGTCTCGGTGAAGAAAACGGGGAAGCCGTCGTCCCCGTAGCCAGGCTGCCTCCACGGCGCCCGCTCCACCTCCACACCCATCGCTGCGACGCCCGCCTCCGTGCCAACCGCCGCGGCGCCCGCCTCCGCATCCACCGCCGCGACGCACGCCTCCGTGCCAACCGCCGCAGTGCCCGCCTCCGCACTCACCACCGCAGCGCCCGGCCCCGCCTTTGCCTCTGCGCCCACCACCGCAATGCCCACCACGGCGCCCGTCGACGCCCACCGCTGCGTCGCCCAGCCACACCTCCGCCGACTCGTCGCCCCCCGCAGCGGCGCCCGTCGACGCCCACCGCCGCATCGCCCGGCTCTGCCTCCGCCGCCTCTGTCGCCCCCTGTCGCGGCGCCCGTCGACGCCCACTGCTGCGTCGCCCGGCCCCGCCTCGTCGACCCCCGCAGCGGCGCCCGTCGACGCCCCCCGCCGCGTCGGCTGGCTCCGCCTCCGCCGCCTCTGTCGCCCCCGGCCGCGGCGCCCGTCGACGCCCACCGTTGCGTCGCTCGGCCCCGCCTCCACCGCCTCGTCGCCCCCCACAGCTGCGCCCGTCGACGCCCACCGCCGCGTCACCCGGCCCCGCCACCGCCGCCTCTGTCGCCCCCCGCAGCGGCGCCCATCGACGCCCACCGCCACGTCGCCCGCCGCCGGACCTCCTCTCCCGCCTTGCCCCGACGACCCTCTCCTCACCCGCCGGCTGGCTTTCCATTGAGGAGAAAATTGAGAGAGAGAGGAGGAAGAGGAAGGGAGAGGAGAGGGGAAAGAGAGAGGGGGGTGTGACGTGGCAGCCTGACATGTGGAGCCCACGTGGGTCCCACCTCTGACTCAGCCGCCATGTCAGACAAAACCGGGATCAAAACCGCCGAATGACCTGAAGTGAACGGTTTTGTAAGATGAGGGATGTCATATACCCGTTTTGCGGTTTGGAGACGATTTTGTAACTCGATGATAAGTTGAGGGACCTTCGGTGTACTTTTCCCTATACTGAAACATCGCCAGTTTAACTTTGGCCCATTATTTCTGACAAGATTGGGGCCTGGTAAAAAAATTGGGCTTAAAGCCTCACCAACACAAAGAGCCCGGCCCACGGCCCACGCAAACATGCCCTCCTCCTACTCCTTCCCCCAACTCTCGCTCGGTCGCTCCCCTTTCCCCGCCGGCGGCGGCGCCAGGGGCGGCGGAGGCGGAGGAGGAAGATCCTGCGGGGGATGGAGCGGCGTGCGCCCTTGGGGCTCCAGCTAGCAGCAGCCGGTAAACCTAGCGTGTGTGAATATTACTACTGCACTGTGCGAATTTCACCTGTTCATAAATTGCGTTAATTTTTTTTCTAGAGTAAACGAGTCTTATATGCACCTTCACTTTGTTGATCTAATGCGGTAGTACTCGTCTTGTAGGTTCTACGTATGGAGGAGGGATATTCTTCCTTGATATTGTATTTCCGATTGATTATTCGTTTAAACATCCCATGGTAAGAACACTAAGAATTTTCACTTTATTTTTATTTTTTTGTCTTATGTTTGCTTAAATGTGCTATGGGGTTTCTAGCCCATCTACGTCTAATGCTTGTGTAGAATGTTGACATTTTCTCTCCTTGTATGTATGCATTCTACCTAATGCCTTGATTCATGAGTGATGATGAGTATGACCAATGAGTGATCATATGATCCCTGTTGTTGGGAAAAAATAAAATCTAGAACGATGTGACACTCCAATACAGTAATTATTGATATATTGCTATGGATTCTCCACACGGTAGCGGCGTAAAGGTAAGGTAGTAAAGACTTGCATCGAAAGAAATGCTTTTAAGAGACACCGGCATGGCTAAAATCTTGAAGAACTGGAACAGGAATTCAAATAGGGTGAATAATTGGTTGGGATAGTATTTTTGTATAGCTCCTTTTGGAAAAGCGATGAGCATTAGTATGTAAATGCATATGTCATTTTGTTTCAAAAGTCCAATGTCACCAAACTTATTTTAATTTATTCCATAAGAATGGTATAATTTAATTTGCTAAACCTTTTAGGAAATAGAAAATGCGCCTAGTTGTCTCTCAAGTTTTCAGACCCGAAAATTTTCGGCATTTAAACCGGGCCTAAATGACTGTTCAAGGACAAGCCCAGCAAATAGTGTGATGGTTTGAAGGACCTAGATTGCAAAAGAATTATGTTAAAGCCAATTTATTTTACTGCTAATTAACTCTATGTTTGCTTCTTTTGAAGCGGCTTGCGTTCATTTGAAGGTAAGAGCCATTTTACCTCTTTCCAATATGGTCTTGATTATTTATGAAGAAAACTTATCAGGAGATTGTTTTATGCTTAGTGTCCAAGAAATAAGAAATTAATTGCGCAGAGTTGCTAAAATGTTGTTTTCCTAGTTGCCTGCTGTTTTTTGTTGATACTGATGTGAAAAAGGTGTTCTTTTACAAAGAATGGTTTTGTCCATTGGAAGCCTTACTAATATGTGCTTGGGCATCGCATTCATCCTATGCTGACATATTTGTTTTCGTTTTGTGGATCTTGGCTTAGAATATAAGGGAGTCTGGTGAATAACAAAAAGCCTTCTAAATGCTGTTTTTCAGTACATTTAGTGGTGTCATTGACTAATAAGTATCCACCTGCTGGCCATAGCCTACAAGCCCTATGTGAGCACCTGCAGCTTGTTTTGGTGGTTACTAAGACTGCTACTATCTTTTCCAGCTATTACCATCATCAACTTATAATGACTTGATGGTAGGTAGGACAGGAGGGATCCAAACAGCCAACCTCAATCTCCGCTCTTCAGTATTTCATGGAGCATCTGAAATTCTCCCCCCATTCTCTAGATATCAGACCTGGAAGCCTGGAGCAATTCTAGCACTTCTTTGACTGAACACACAACCCTGTAGTGGCCTACCTTTTACCTTGACCAGGACATGGAACCATACAAACACCAATGCAGGCGAGGCGAACATGGCAAACATTTTTTTTTTTTGAACGACTCGCACGAGACGGTGCGAAGTTCTATTGATAGAGCAGGAAAAAAGTACAAGATTACAACCATGGAGAGTCGTAACCAGGAAAAGAAAAAAAATACCACCACCCACACGACGACATCGCCAACACACACGCCCAGGAGAAGACTAGTACCGGATCGGCTACCGCTAAGCGTGGCCGACCGCCACTAGACCAACAAAGGCATGGCTGGCGCACCGATGCTCCACCACCGCACAAGCTTTGCCGACATGTGGGACCCCTGCACCGGCGTCCTTCGCCGGCCAGCCTTCGTGCGCCGAAGACCGCGCCACACCCACCGGCAGCTCCTCCTCATACCTAGGTCGCCTCCTCCACCGCCGGCCGCGCCTCTCTGCGCCAAGCCGGCCTCCTCCACCAGACGCGCCTCTCGCGCCAATCCGGCCTCCCTCCATCGGCCGCGCCTCTCGCGCCAAGCCGGCCTCCATCTCCGCCGCCCGCGCCTCTCGCGCCGAGCCGGCCTCCGCTGCCATCGGCTGCGCTTCTCTGCGCCAAGCTGGTCTCCGACCCCTCCACCGAACGATGCTGCGCCGGCCAGCTGCAGCCGTCTCCCACGCCCTCGGCTAGTCAACCAAGGCCGCCATGCCTCCGATGACCGCAAACACGGTCACCACCACCACAGCCTTGGCTCCCGAACACCCAGCCACCTCGCCCCCGACTCCTTCCCCGCCGCCGACGTCGCCACCGCCTCCAGAATCACAGCCGCCGTCGCCGCTGCCACCGACGCCAACCACCGCCTCTGCAAATCGCTGTTGCGCCGTCGCCCTCCACCACCGTACAGCTAGTAGCCCGACGCCATGTCTTCCGCCGCCGTTGCCAGATGACACGGCAGCCACCACAGCCGCCACCGCCGTCGCCAACTGCCGCTGGCCCAGTGCCGCCGCCACCGCCGTCACCACACCGTCGCCGTCGTCGCCAACTGCCGCCGGCGTCCAGATCCGGCCGAGACCGCCGTCACCAACTGCCACCGCCGCCGTCGCCGACTGCTCCCATCCTCCAGATCCGGCCGAGAGGCGCGGATCTGGGGGCACCGCTGCCGTCGCCGCCAAGCATCGAGCCGCCGGCCACAGCAGCCGCGCCTCCGAGCCTGCCGCGGCCGCCCGCGCCTGCTCCACCGTCGCGCCTGACGCCGCCGTTGCGCCTGCCACCGCCTGTCGCGGCCGCCAGCGCCCACGCCTCGCCGACGCCGTGCCCACGCCTCCGCGACCGGATCCAGCTGCGAGCGCGCCAGATCTGGTGGTGGCGATGCCGGATCCGCCGCCATGAGCCTTGACGCCGGCGCCGCTCCGGTCGGCCACCGCCTTTGCGTCCACCCGCGCCAGGAGCTCGGGAGATGGCCGCCGCGAGCCCCGCCGCCGCCGTCCTCGCGAGCCGCCGGCTTTGCCGGCCGCTCGCTCAGGCGGCGGCAAGGCAGAGGAAGGGGTGGGGAAGGGCGGCGGCGGCGGCTAGGGTTCCGCCGCCCGAGTCGCCCGACGCGGGGGGCGACGCGGGGGCAAACTATCTGATTTTTTTCAACATGGCAAACATATTGATGCTGATAGTACTATAACCCTCCAAATAATTTGGCAATAGCAAGTGAATTTTCTCATGTTTTGTAGACAGTTGATAGCACAATTATAATAAGAAAAACACTGTAAGCTGATAATTGTGGCTTCATATTTGACGTTTCAATAATTAAAAAAAATATTTAAAATACTTTACTCTTCTAGTTGAACGTATTAACTTCTCAATATTGAAGGGAGTTGGAATTTCAATACAGTATATATAATAGAAGCATGGAACAATTGAGATCCCCCTGCTGTAATTTTATTTGATATTTTAGCATTAGAGGACCTCAACCTGTGATTATAACTGTTCTATCACTACTGTAGGTAACTTTCAAGACAAGGATTTACTACTGCAATGTTGACTCCACTGGTAACTTGAGTATGGGCATTTTAAGGGAAGGCTGGAGTCCTGCTTTTACTATTTCAAAGGTGCTACTTGCCACTAAAGCAATCATCGCAAACCCGGATCCATGTATGTTCCAAGTTTCAGCATATTATCAGGATAGTTATGTTTCTGAACTATCTTTTATTACTTAACATGTAGTCCTGTTCAAGCTAGTTGTAATATACACATAATTGTTGCTTCATTTCAACTTGAAAACTTCCTCTTGTGCCAAGCATTGGACGTTTATAGTTGACTGATAGAAATAAGCACGATAAAATAGCCGTGGAGTGGACGATGGGGTTTGCAAGATAGGCAGTTCTATCTGCATCTAAGCAAGATCACTGACTCTGTAAATGAATATCTTTGGCGTGCCCTGAGATGTAAAATGTTGGGAAAGGACCAATACTTTTTTTAGGTTGAGCTGTGACATAATATGTAGCCTGTGCATTCTATATTAGACAATTATTATGATGGTATTGTACTTATGAAAGCTGCCCTCAGTATTTCTTCAGAACCAATTCTTCCAATTTATGAGTAAGTTTCTTAAATGCTATTTATTGGAACTGGGCATTACCTCCTATCGCGAGGTGTCAGTGTAATTTGTTCAAACAAATAATTTAGGTTAACGACTCCAGTCAAAGCAAGTGAAGATGTGTCAGTACTCAGTCAAATCTTTTGCTTGAAACCAAATATTGCTGGTCCTCCGCTCTTAGGTAGTTGGGAATAGCTTCAAATACACAGCAATTTTCTTTATTTCAGAACTTTTCCCCTTCTTCCTAGCATTCCTTATGCTGCGTGATTCATATATACTGTCATCTTGCAAAATACAATTTTGATGTACTAGAACCTTATTATTTCAGAACAAATATTATAGATGTCTGTGGGCTTGTGGCAGAATATTGATCACTTGTTTGCTAATACTAACTTTAATTTCACTTCTTGTAGGGATTAAAGGCTACTAGGACAGGCACTGATCTTCCAAATGACCAAACCAGACTTTACCTCTGAAAAGGACATTTTACCAGATCACCTATTCCCAGTATGTACTATGCATCTACTGATCACATCAGGCAACCTATAACAACTCCACCCCTGAGAAGAAGCAAGTTGCTCATTCCGGTGATCTTTCTCCCCAAACCACTGACAATGGCCACAGAGTGTGGTGTGAACAAATCCCGCCGCTTCGATCCTGGCATGTCGAGGCGAACACGAAGATCAACAAGTCTCATCGTTTGTTATCAAGATCAACATGCGCCGTCCCTGGTGCAGCAGCTACGTCAAGATGACAAGCTGAAGACATTGTTCCAGCGCCAAGGTATGGAGCTTCAGCCACCATATCCATATGAAGATCAGGAGCTGCAAAGCGAAGGTGATGAACAGGAGACACCGAATCGATACCATGATGAGCAGGAGGAGAAACCTCACCATTATCTAGATGAAGAGCAGGAGAAGAAACCATTCCAGGATCAAGACGGAGAGAGGAAAACACCAAAGCAATATCTTGATGAGGATCAGAAGACAGTGCAGCAATGCCAATATGAGGACAAGAAGGTGCCAAATCAATGCAAAGATGAGGAGAATACTCCAGGGCAATACCAAGATGAGGAGCAGAAAATAGCTAAACAATGCAAAGAAGAAGAAGAAGAAGAAGAAGAGAATGCATTAGAGAAGTATCAAGATGAAGAGCACAAGTCACTCAAGGCACAACACCAATGCCAAGACACGGAGCGGAAGGCCCCGGGGCAATGCAAAACTGCGAAGACGAAGCTGATCACGCCGCCTTGTGCCAACGATGTGCCCCGGTTCTCCCTTCAGGATCTGATACAAGAGAAGCAGCTCCTCATCGGAGAAGCCAAGGCCACCAGCAAGCTCGGAAACGGCAAGAAAGCCATTGCTGATCGTAAACTCCCTCCACCTCCGGCTGCCTCCAGCGCGACGTTGGCTATGGTGATAAAGCGACCTGATGGGGGAAAGAAGTCGATGGGAGTGATCCGCCGGTGCGTGCAGGCCCTGAACCAGATGGTCAAGGCCAAACATGGCTCCAAGAAGAACAAGCCTCCTTTCTAATCAAGTGAGTACATGCATCTGGTCCAGAGTTCCCTGGTAGAATCAGCACGTCTCAGAATAATGCACTGTTACTGTGCAAATACATAGTTTTTTGGGGATAGTTCTTCAAGTTGTGCAGAATCTGCCAAGGAACTCTAGAGCAAGGCCAACCATCTTTTCAACTTTAGTAGTAAGGTGTCATGATCTATGTGTCATTATGGCATTTGGTCAGCAATATTTGTAATTACTCAATGATGTATCAGATGAGAAGCATCAGAGTCTAGCTAGTTCACGCGCTCTGAATGCATCTTTGTGCAAAGTTATACTGTATATTACAGGAAGTATGAACAGGAGGGAATTGCACAGTTCTACACCGACACTTTCTCTGAGTATCAGGTCAGAGATGGTGTTGGTGCACGCTCCCTTTCTATATTTCTGATAGTCACCTCCCCTTTTCATTTTGGTTTATGCGTGATGAATATTGAGAGTACGTCTTAGGGAAAGAAAAATGAATGCAACATGCCATCACATATTTCTGCATTGGGTTTGTGTTGTTTTCAAAGCAATTGGCTTCACATTTTCTTTAAGAAGAGGTTTGCTAGGGGTGTGTTTTTAATATTGTCTATATGAACTGACATAGAGCAACCTGTCAAAAAAGATAAGGTGGCTTTAGAAAAAAAAAACTTGGAAAAAACGATAGGCTCTGCAGAACTTAAAATGTAGAAAACATGATATGTATAGTCCATTGTCATCAATTTATTTATTTAATGAGTTGAAAAGACATCCTGTCACAAAGCCTAAGTACCTCCAGTGGTGAAGCCACCGGGGGTGCCGGGGTGGGCCTGGCACCCCCATCCCCATGCGCTGCAAACCCCACCCCCGGGTGATTAGCTATCTAATCCATAAAATTAGCTCATTAATTTGTTGCAAGTTGAGCCTATACCTACCTAGCTGTCCAATAAGTTTTAGCTTTACATGATTACCTGGTTTAATTAACGTAACTAAGCGATGTGGTTGCAAGTCTCCAAAATTAAAAAGGATGAATAGAAATGATGTCGTGTGTTATTCTGTATTGAGTAAAGTTGGTGCTATTTAGTGACTTTAAAAATGGTTCTTTTCATGCTATATTAACATACATTCGGACATACATCCTCCATTCTAAAATAAGTTCAATTTTATACACCAAGATTCACACTATATTATCTACCGAGGCGCTAGTGAGTTCCTACGTCTCCTGGCCAGCACCCCCTATACCTAAATCCTAGCTTCGCCACTGAGTACCTCTGAAAGGGAACTTGAAGCAAAAACCATGTGTTTCTCTGAAAATGTGGATAGGTTGGTAGATGTAATAATCATACTTAATACTCGATTTCTATAGAAGTCCCCAAGAAAATATATTTCAAGAGGTATGCAACACAGACCTTTAATTATCAACAAATCTTGAAATACTTAGTTTGAAAAAATAAAAATGTTACGTGCAAATTTTTGCACTGAAAACAGAAGTACTTTCGTAACCTCATAAACTTCTTAGATTTTACAAACATATTACTCCCTCCGTTTCAGGTTATAAGATGTTTTGACTTTAGTCAAAATCAAACTGTTTTAAGTTTGACCAAATTTGTTGAAAAAAGTAGTAACATTTTTAACCCGAGACAAATTTATTATGAAAATATATTCAATTATTGATTTAATGATGAAACTAATTTAGTATTATAAAAATAAGTATATTCGTCTATAAACTTAGTTAAAAATATCTTGTAACCTGAAACGGAGGGAGTACAGTAAAATGCATTTGGCGCCGCCACGCCCGCCCACGCGGGAGACGGCATCGGAGCGCCAACTTCTGCGAACACACACACACACAACACAATGTCGTCGTCGACGGTCAGTCACCCACGCCACGGCCCACGGCGGCGGAGGTTCGCCGGAGAAATGGAAGAAGATAGTAATAGCACTAGAAAACCTGGCGCGGCAAAGCCGCGCCCTTATGGTGATTGGCCTAGTGTTATTGCAGAGTGGCCTTAAACCAGGAAATTATGTGCATACACAGTTATGGTAATGCATTTTGTTTTTGAAAATACTCCAATATACAGTGTTCATTAAAAGGTTTGAAAATGTTAAGTTAAACTGCCCACATGTGTGGATCATGCTTCCATTGAAAAAACTTATAACAAAAGACAACAAATATAACTATACAAATCATCATTGAGGCACATAGAAGAATTGCATCGTTTCATAGAAGTCTGTCAGCACATCCTGTCATACCAACTTCGATAAAACCGTAGCCCAATCAACCTCATCCTCATTCATCGGATTCATCTCAGCAATCTTAGCGTCCATTTTGGCCATTTTGGGATCAAAATGAATCCACTCCTAATAGAGTGCACATCATATCAATATAGCAATTGTATGCATTGATAAGGACTTTAGTGTACATGCTACGTTCGTAGTAACATTCCCCTCAAAATATTTCCTTGCAGCACCCCTGATACAGCTCGTCATGTAGATGCACAATCTTTATGTCTTGATGCTCATAGTAAATAAACAAAGTTTTCCTAGAAAATAAATTGAGTAAACAGTTATAACTTGATATATTGTTATGTTCACAGATAAAACAAAATGAGAGAAAGAGAGTAAAAGGATAGGACTTGATATACCATTGCGTTCACAATGAAAGAGCAAATCTATTAAAAAAGGAGGGCAACAGTCAGACGATGCACAACCCCTATGCTTTTTGATTGTGCATACCTAATGTTTTTTTTTTGACAAATACTACATCAGGATAATTGTATCAGTTACTCAGACGATCAGATCACATGATCCATGTTCTTTGCTGATACTAGAGTGTTTTCTTTTATAAGAGGTTGTTAGTTAAAGAAATATATCTTTTTCGGTTGATGTGGTAACACTCTATCTGTGAACCTAAAGTAACATACATGCATACATGGCTGCAGTGCAGTGTAAAGCTAATCTTTCGCTCTTTTTAAGACCAAGAGAACAGGAGGGAAGGTGACAAATCGTGGTTATATTTGGTGTGTCAGGATAAAGTATATAGAGCATGGATCAAAGCAAGACAAGTTCCAGACAGAGGGAAATATTTCATGTCTATACTTGGTCTAGTCAATACTATTTTTCCCAGTTACAAACATGAATATTATTTCACTTCACAGTCAATGTGACCTTTGACTTGAATTGGTACACTTGAGCTCTAGCTTTTATCATGTGGATAAGAGGACAATCTCAGATCCTTTGCATTTGAGCTAAGAATCTCAATGTTCTCACTTTGTGGATATGCACAGACTGGCTACCTGCTAGCCCATCTATGACAAATGGATTAAAAGCTGCTCATCATAAAGCTACTTGCATATCTCTAACCAACATCGCACCGATAATAAAAAGTGCATAGCTGCCAGAATAACAACATTTGCATTATTTTCGTCTATTTATACACTTCTAAAAGGTATTCTTCTTACATGCTAAAATGATTTCTCACAATAATTATGTCATCTGAAAAGTAAAGTCTTTATGTTAATTTCCTTTTGGGCTTATTGAAATCAAACTAAACGTCATAAAACAGTACGCTATGTAACTAATGCTGACATGACCAAAAAATCAATGGTTCCTACCATCCATGTGTGCTACTACTAAGAATTATTTCATCAGGTCACTTCCTCTTTTGAATAAGTTATTCAGCTCCCAATGACAGTAGTGAGAAACTCTACCTCCTAAGATTCATGGATACCACACACATTATGTATAATTTGCACATGGTTTATTCCGGTCCACTGCCATCTGGTTTAAACTAAACTCAAAAAATTTTAGCAAAAAACTTCTTAATTAGGAATGACCTAATCTATCTTGTTTATTTGAACAAAGCGCATCTGCTCTGTGCATTTACAAATAGACCCATCAAAGAACATTGTTTTTTTAAAAAAATGAACTATAGGAAGATGCAAAGCCTGACTGAATCATTTACATTGAACCATAAGAGTTGTGTGCCATGCAATGCAGAATTTCTTTTCTCAATTAGAAATTTAGCTCTGTTCTTGATATACTGATCTGAAGCTACACAACTGGCGTTTGTTATATTAATGTACCTCTGCCATGTCGCAGTGCTGAGCTATGTAGGGTCACCGATCCATAGCATCTTCGCATTAGGATACTTCAACAGATGAGCTGCCCTTGTCTTGACATTCTACTCCACAGTTGTCAAAGAACCAATATCAAAATGCAATTTCGATATGCAGCATTAACAAAGACAGGGGGAAAGGAGAGAGGAAATGATGGGTGATAAGCTTAGGCTGTTCTTCAGAGTGCTACTAACAGGCAGAGATAAAATACAGAGCTGTAGAACATCTCTTTCTGCTGAAGATTATTAAGAACATCAACGTAAAAGTGAAACTGGATTAAGAAAATGGATAGTGGATTTAAGTTGATATATTAGAGAGATGATGATGCTAGTCTAGAGGTTTCAAAATGTTACAGAAGACTAATTCAATCAAAGGACACATTTCTACTTCAGAAGAGAGCATTTGCTTTTCATTACTCAATGTTCAATTTATATTTTGAACTCATGAAACAGTAAAAGCTGAAGTACTCCTACAACATATTTAGCCTGTCATGACCAAAGTAGCACACTGAGAAAATTCAGAAATCATGGTTTGCAGAGCAACAGAACATCAATTCACCAAATTTATTGAACATTTCAACATTGGCACAGTAACAACTAACTTCAAGGCATCAAGGAATATTCACTCTAATTAACATGCCTGGGTGCTGATGTGCGAAGGTGTTCCAGATGCTTGGTCTCTGCCACCCTCAGCTGCACCACCCTTGTACTGCATGTCAAGAATGGCTAACTCATCAGATTTCAGATCAAAAGATAAAACATGTCACGATGTGATGGTTAATTTTTGGCAACCAATCCATTCCTTGGTGCCAATCTTAGCATTATTCAGTAGCATCGTGTATCACGCAAAAACCACCATCAAGTGCAAAAGAAAATCCCTTTTTTTCTGAATTATCGGTGGAAATTAATCACATGTGGAGTGAACACGTAGGGGAACAATGGAGGGAGCTCCTACATCACGGCGTCCAACGGCGGCGGCGGCCGTAGCGCGGTCCTCAGCACCACGCCCTTTGCTGCACGGCCAGCGGTCTCCATCCGAGGCGGCCGGCGAATCAAAAGGCGGTTAGGTAGACGGGCGCTGGTCGATGGACGTGATTTTTTCCTACCCCATCCCCGTGCACACCAACCGAGCTCGTCGCCCTATCTGGCGAGGATCTGCGCCGCCGCTGAGCTTGAGAGGAGAGGCAGCGTCGTCGTCGGAGCTCGTCGCTGACGCTGAGCTCCTCTCCCCATATAGCGACGAGGAAGAGGGGAGGACAGCAGACTGAACGGCGTGCCAGCGCGTGGTAGGCTCGGCCTCGGGCGCCGGAGGAAGAGGCGGCGGCGGCGACTTCGGCGCAGGTGGGACTTGGGAGGGGAGATCGGCGGATAAGAGGGGGTCGACTGTCGAGATGGTGTTGATGGCGGCCTGACTTTTTGCAAAAAAGCACCTAAAATTTTCTATATTACAACGAGGTACACCGCAGCGATCCATCACCGTAGATCTGCGATCCGACGGCTGCTAGAGGGGGTCTAACGCTGGAATCGCATGGCGCCACGTGGAGGGTCTATTTGCAAGCGAATCCGCGCAGATTTCGATATTTAGAGATACTACATATGCTACCACTCACGGCGCCAGCAGGCTGACCGCTGACGATGATCTCCGACGTGCATCCGCTCTCCGCCGCGCCCACGGGACAACCCAGAGAAAACATAACCCAACTCGAATCCGGAATCCGAGTCTTATCAACGAATTAATCAATCCAAATCCGAATCGTTCTCATCAGACTCCTGCGCCTATATATTCAGCCCAGGCTGCCACCTTGCAGTTGTAGCTAGCAGCAAACACGATCGGGGCGCAGCAGCAGCATACACACCGATTTGTTCGCGCCTACTACTCGTTGTCGTCGTTGTCAGCGGCGGCCGGCGGAGGCCTCCGGTTGGATCGCCGGCGAACGGCGGCGGCGGCATGAAGGTGGTTATGTCGGAGGTGGAGGCGAGCATGATGGCGAAGGGGAACATCCCGCCTCATGTGATCGTGGTCATGCCTAGCAGTAATCCCGTTATTACAGACCAACTCGACACGACCAACACAATCCAACCTCCCTCTTCCTCTCCCTGTCCCGACTGGATTATAATGGTTAGTTACTACTACATCCGTTTCAGGTTATAATATACTTTAAGACTAAAGTTAAAGCCGTTCGACTTGCACTAGTTTATGGATAAATATAGTAATTAATATTTACATTACAAGTTAGTTTATTAAATTAATAATTAAATATTTTTTATAATAAATTTATCTTGGTTCGAAAGTATTACTATTTTTTTCTATAAACTTGGTCAAATATGAAGTAGTTTGACTTTAATCAAAGTCAAAACATGTTATAACCTCAAACGGAGGGAGTATTATTAATTAATTACCGCCTCATTCTCTCCAACTAGCTTAATTCTATGATATCCGTACTAAAAGAAGAGATTATGTTTCTTGTTGCAGGTACTTGTTTTGGGTCTGTTCATCGGTATATCCATCTTTGTCTCGCTCTAATTTAGACCAAAGACAGACTACTAACAGGCAAAAAAAAACCGACAATTCAATACTTCACAGAAAACAGCACAAAATACTGCCAGGATTCTTCTCAATCTTCAGGATTAGCTCAGACCCTCCAAGTATAACTTTTCCTTCAAGGACTGGATGAGATTCTTCCAATGTTGTATCAAAGTGATTATTTTTTAAGATTAGTTGTATTGGATATTTCAGCAAAATGTTATCAATCAAAAACAAAATTATTTCTTCTTGTTCGCAATGCCCAGCAGATAGCTGCTAGAATAACCACACTTATGTTCAGCATTTTCGGCTCTATTATTTGCTGCCATGGGCGTGGGGAGTATGACCTTAATTATGAGCAATCCGTGTTAGTGTCGGAGTAAATTTCTTTTAGAAAAAACACATATTGTAGGCTAGGGTTGAGACTTGAGCGTTATACCTTGCTTTTGTTGTAATAGGCAAATCTCTTTCGCTAGAAGAAGAAAAGTTAACTACTATGTTTCGTTCAAGGGAGTAGCTATACTAATTTATGGCATCATATTTTTTTTTTAAAAAAATCAACATGTATTTACATTGTAAGTCTCTAAATTACATACGTAATTTTCGTGTATTTACAATATAAGTTCCAAAATTATATACGTAAGTCTCTAAAGTATATATGTAGTAAGTCCAATGTAATATAATGCAAGTGCATAATGCAACCTTTATATTTTGCATTGTAAATTACATATATTTATATAACATCTACTGCATTAGAAACCTACAAGTAAAACCATCAAAAGCCATGCTTGAGGTGGTGGTGTGGCGGAGCGATAGCATTGTCGAGAGAGAGAGAGAGGCAGAGTACATGGATTGAGGTGGCAACTATGTATAGGGTGCAACAGAGTGGATTGGGCAGCGGTGACAGAGACGCAACGATGACTAAGGGTGCAAGTGGCTAACCCGCTAACTCACTTATTACAAGTGGCTAACCTACGAACGCACCTCCGTTACCCATTTATTTGATCTATAGGTTGGTTTGCATGGTCGCTACTTGCACCCTTAACAGTGTCGCTAGGAGTGGATCATCATATTTGATAGTTACTACTTTCATTCTAGAATATAAATATTATTAGTGTTGGACGCAGGTATTAAAAAGTAGATAAAATTAAATGGGAGAATGTTGTGATTAGTTGAGAAGCGGAGATAGATGGGGAAATTATTATATTTTGGATAAATTTTGAATAATAGAAGCTGTTATATTTTAGAACATAGAAAATAAGTTTTATAGCCGTTCCCAAAAAATATATTTATTTATGGTGGAATTTATTCATATGAGTTCTGAGTGTTAGATTTGATATGGATTATAGGGTAGATGACTAATTATTTTTTTAAGTAGAGACACTCGTATTTACGATAGTGAGATGGCTGTCGTGGCTTCATCAATATCAAGATACAGGCGTAAACCCAGCCTCTTGAAGGTATTCATTTAGGTAGGACGTCCGTGTGCGTGTTCATAAGGAGATGAACGTGCGTGTATGGTGAGCGATTGTATTTGAATCATGTTTCTAAAAACGATGTGCATCGATAATTTACTCTAAAGTGTTTTGGCACCATTAATTTTTAGTTCTGAGCTTACGCTTCCTTTAAAAAGAAAAAAAAAAGGGACAAAGGGTGTTGGTACACCGGTACAAACGGTATACCTTGTTATGAAACTATTATCTCCTGCCAGAGATAAATATAGGCTCATACCAAATATATGGAAACGTATCATAATGGGACTCTTTCTATTATGGGTATATATACAGAGAGGGCTTGAGAGGTTGGTTGATGTATCCACATATGAGAAAGCAATAAAGCTGTGATGCCTCTCCCTATATCTGTGTTCATTGTTTATCTATTGTGTGCATGAGATCGTCGTCTTCTACTCTGGATCAGCGAACAGGCCACTAGTTATCCAACACGTTATCAGCACGAGTTCTCGCTCGTTCCGCTGATCCGGGTAAGCGTTTTTAATAGATCAATTTGTTTCGTTACTAATCAGATTGATATATTGTGTTTATGCATGTGTCTGCCGTTGGCCGAGAGGATCGCCTCCGCACGTAGCCGCGCACCGAGGCAAACCGTCGGGTGACGCGCGTGCGTGTCGCACTCCACACACAGAGCAGCAGCACCGCCGGTCGTCCGCACTGAGGCCGACCACGCCGCAAAACTTCCTGACACGATATACGTCGATCTGCATCAACCTGACCGGTGGCACATGCATATAAATGTATGACTGATCTTGCATGTGTATGGATCTACACCAGGCATGTACTACCTCCGTCCCAAAATAAGTGTAGTTTTACACTATTCATGTTCAACGTTTAACCGTCCGTCTTATTTGAAAATTTTTTATGATTAGTATTTTTATTGCTATTAGATGATAAAACATGAATAGTACTTTATGTGTGACTAAATGTTTTTAATTTTTTCACAAATTTTTCAAATAAGACGGACGGTCAAACGTTGAACGTGAATAGTGCAAAACTGTACTTATTTTGGGACGGAGGTAGTACGTAGTAAGTAC